TCCTTAATAAACCAGTGCGTGTTTTAATTCACACTACGAACCGTAAAAACGTTACAGTATTTAAAGATACTTTCCTGATTTTGTTATTTTTTTTGGCCATGGCCATTGCAATAGTTTTTAAGATGTTGAATTATTAAAAATTTGATACTTTTTTTTTGATCGTCCATAACTTTTTACAAAAATAATCGATTTGGACATGTTTTTTTTAAATTTTTCGTGTTTTGTTTTTCTGTATTTAAGTCAAGTTTAAATAAGAAAATGGAAAAAATAGTTGGACCACGTTTTTTTAAAAAAAAATTGAAAAAAATCGAAGGACCCGCTGCGGCTGACCCGCACACCTTTAAAGCGCGACTTTAATAGAAAAAGTTTGAAAATGCGACATCTTAAAAACTTTCGTCGCCAGGGGGGCAAAAGGTGGAAGTTGCACACCCTGTAAAATTAAAATACTATACAAATGGGCATTTATAAAGCTCATTTAAATATTTAAACATAGATTTTGAAATTGCACGTAATTATTTTGCCCCCCCTTCTGCCGTCACCCATGAAGCAAACTTATTTGATAGACCTGTACATTTAGCATGGAATATTCAATATGCATATTATGCCCCATATATATATATATGTACATTGTACATACGTATATTGTATGTATCTTGGTATGTATACATATGACGTCACACTAAACAGGCATACCTTTCATCCAACAACTCTTTCTCATTATTAAAGTTTTCAACTATAGAAATCTGCTGACATTGTACTTCTTCTATTTTTTTAAGAATAGGAGCCTCATCATAGAATGACAATTCATTTTGTATATCTAATATTTCGTCGTTAATTTTAACGTTCTCCTGGATCCGCAGAGCAGATTTATTTTTTAATTGTTCAATTTTACTGAGTAAATTATCCGGATCTAATTTTGTGGCATCGTTTTCTAAACCTTCAATCTCTTTTTCTAAAATCGCCTTTTCTGATCGATAATACTCTATTTTGTCGTCATAGTGATTTTTCAGAGCTTCAATTTCTTTTTCTAACTCATTATTATTATTATTATTTAATTGAGACTGAATTTTGGGAGTAATTTCCGAAAATAAAAATTCAAATTTTGAGTATTCAATCTTGGCATTTTCGGAATCTTTAAATATCTTCTGACAATTTTTGTAGATATCTTTTGTTTTAGTAATAACATCTGAACTTTTTTGTTCGATGATATTTTTCAGATTCGAATTTTCGCCAATTTTAGATTTGAGTCGCGCGTTAAGAATTTTTTGCGTATGTAATTCCAGTTCGAGGTTTAATTTAATTTCTTTATTCTGAGCGAGGGTATTTTCTAAATTTTCAAGCCTTTGCTTAGCTTCAGACTAAAAGTTTATCGAATTTTATTTACCTACGTAGGCACGCGTTTTAAATAAAATAAGGCACAGAAAACTTACGCTAGCATTGAATATGGTGGACGTATGTTGATTTAACTCGTCTAAATCCATAATTAATTAATAGCAGACACTCTTCTCTATTTTTATAAGGTTAGTTTTCTTTACAGCTTTTATTTTAGACAAACTTCAAAAATTCTTCAGGGTTGTTTATGGCCGCCTTGATTTTAAATAATATTGTGTCTATCTAATCTATGATTGTGTCTAAAATGACAACCTTAAAAGCAATTATGCTACTGTTTATGTTCTGTGACTGTTTCCTACTGTCCTACTGTCAAGTAAATACAACATTGTTATTTGTTAAATTGGATTAATTCTCATTTAAACAAAATACTTAAATAATAAGATAATAATTATTAGTGGCACTGTCTAAAATAACGAAGAAACATAACCTTATATTTAAAAAAAATAACTCTAAAACTCTAAAAATCAGTTCGGTTTTGGTTCTCGTGTCTGTCGGTTGCTCTATGAAAGAGTATTTGAAAAATAAGTGACTTCTCGACCCAGGAGAGGCAAAATCGGACTCCCAGTGTAAAAACAAACTGGTTTTAACCAAGAATTTGCAAAAATATATGGAAATACTTAAGAGATGGATCGGATGATTGAAGATTAAAGATAATTGGAAAATTATGTGTATGAAGCCATGTGTACATAGTGAAGCGAAAAGATGACATGGTTCTATAAAATTTTATAAATAATTAACAATATATAAATGATTCAAGGGATGAGTTAATCTCAGATTCTTTTAAATAAGACCCTTGATCATAATAAAGAAAATTTAATAATATAATGTGCTGGCCAAATAGCTTTTAAATTAAGCTAAAGGTCATTCCTCTGAACACAGAATTGTGTTCAGAATTAAGAAGAAGAAGAAGAAACTCTAAAAATAGACATAAAATAATATTAAAATAAACTATGAAACATAACCTTATATTTAAAAAAAATAACTCTAAAAATAGACATAAAATAATATTAAAATAAACTATGAAAAATAATATTTTAAAATAAATGATTCAAGGGATGAGTTGTACTCAGATTCTCTTAATTGAGACCCTTGATCATATTAAATTTTCAAAAAACATAATGAGCTGGCCAAATAGCTTTTAATTAAGCTAAAGGCCATTACCCCTGAACACAGTGCATCCAAGATAGAGTGCATCAGTGTTCAGATTGAACAAGAAGAAGAATCTAAAACTCTAAATCACAGAACATAAGAGAATTAAAAGCGCTGTAGTGAAAAGTGGCAACAGGCATTGTTTGATTTTGAAATCTAGCAGGCTTGGAAATCCGAGGTGCCAGTAAGCCATTGGTGGAAATATCCACACGATTTATGCGGCGCGAATTTTGAATTTTTATTTAAAATATGGAATTATAACCAAAATTGTTAAAATTTTATATTTTTTTGGGTTTTTTAAAGAACCATATAGTTAATATTGTTCTTTAAAAATCAAAAAATATAAAATTTCAATAATTTTCGGTTATTTTCCACTAATTAAGTGGAAAAACACACATTTTTGTTTTTTTTATAAATATATTAAACAAAATATACACTTAATTCAATTTTAAATTAAATTATAACCAACAAATAATATTTAAATGAGGAGAAATTCAAAGTTAATTATTCTATAACTTTTAGTGAAATTTAAAAAAAGGTTTATCAAACATGTATAATAATTTATAATTATTTGGGTATAATTTATCAAAAAGTATGACATTAATTTGATAATTACCCTCTTATATATGCCTACAAGACAATTATCGCTTGATTACAGCGATAATTTTCAGAAATTTTAATTTTGTGTCACATAATAACAATTTTTATAGGTTTTTTAAGATTTCTTAATAAAAATGCAAAGGTTTATAAACAAATTAACTCTAAAACATATTACAAACCATTAAAATATTTGATAAATTCTTGATAAACAATAGTTCAATACTTATTGGTCCTTATTAGAAAACAAACCTTTTAAAACAGTTCGAGTATATTATATAATTAAAATTATAACTATAAATTATAATTATTAGTTTAAATTTGAATATGTAATTCATAAAAATAAATAATTTTGTAATACATACTGACTTATTGTATACCTATAGGTATTTTCAGATTTCTTAATGTAGTATTAAATTTCTTTATTGGAATAAACCAAAAGGCTAATGCCTAAAATGTTTAATGCAATAATTAGACTTATTACAAACCATACTCTTATAATTTTTAGGAATTATGATTATAATTTGTTTTTAAAATAAGCACAATACTGTATAGGAATTCCTTTTTGCCAAAAATTCTATATTTTACAAAACTATAGTTTTGTAAAATATAGAATTTTTGGCAAAAAGGAATTCCTACTTATCCAAAAATTAAATTACATTCTTTGGAATATTTAATTTTTAGTAAAATAGGTTTAATTTAAATTAATAATCAATAGAACCACTTAAATCTCAATGTTAAAAATATTGTAATTATGTATTTGGCAAAATTAAAATCTTTATGTATGATTTAACTTTCTGGTCAATATTAAGTATTAATTGTCTTTTTTCTTGTTCATGATTCATGGATTGAACCTGCGTCTTTTTCTTGATTCAATGAAGAATATTCAACTGCAATTAATATTTTCTATGTTCTTTTGCAAAGAAGTTTGATAAATTCAAGTCCTGTCTGCTTCTTCCATTAACACAAACCCAAACCTGAAATCAATATCAATTTTAAAATCAATTTAAATCATGGAGCCCAATAGGCTCAGCCTATACAAGGAGCCCGAACTTAATAGGGGAAATTGACAATCCCAATTGTTTAAAATTTAATATACCTACACAGAAAGTTACAATTTTATTTAACCCAGAGATTGCTATCTATGCTGACCAGGATAACCAGGTTTAGGGTTTAGGGCTGTCTTCAGCTGTTTAACCTAAATATTGTTTACAGGCTTGCTAATGTGCATAAATGAACAATTTTTGCCAAACTTCTATAGAAGTTTGGTCTAAACTTAACGAAGTTTGCAAGAAGTTTTAAGCTATCGTGTTGGGAAATGAACAACCATTTTACTCCTCTTCTGTAAAAAATAAACCTTATTCTATCAGGGCTGTGATCAAACTGTCAAATGTCAATTTTAAGGTTATGGTAAATTAACCTTAAAATTGACATTTGACAGCTTGATGACAGCTTTGATAGAATAAGGTTTGCTTACAACTTGTAAGTTACAAGTGCCTATGTAAGAAACACAACGTTTAAAATGATTATTAATCTGTATAAACAAACCCAAAGCACAAGAATTTTAAACAACAAAAATGTCTACCCACAGAACATGTGTCTACCCTACAGAGTAAACTCTGTGCAGTGTTGCAGGGATTTTTAGTATTTTTAGTACGAGAGAACAGACCTTGTTTCATAGATAAAAAACCTTGTTGTGTGGATTGTGCGGGCAAGCAGCCGCTTTTATAATCTATGAGCAGTCGAGAGGAAGGAAGGAAGGCTATCTATAAATCAGGCTTAATGCTAAATGATTTACCGTTAAACGTTAAAAAAAATCAGTTGACAACACTGTTTGTAACTTCAACATAGAACATAACCTTATTCTTATAAGTCAAATTTGACAAAAATGGATCATGCTGAAGAGCAGAAAGGTGAAGTAGAGGCAATAGAATCTATATACTATGGTGATGTACAAATTATTTCGGAAAGTCCATACTACAAATTCTCTATACCGATAAAAACCGAGGAATATGATGCAGAAGAAAGCCAAAATGGGTTATGTTGCGATCTTGTTTTCACGTATACTGCTAAATATCCAGAAGAAGCGCCAATAATTGAAATAGAAAATCTAGAAAACTTTGAAGAAAATTATGAGTCTGAGTTGCTTACATATTTAGCTGAACAAGTTAAAGAAAATTTAGGAATGGTAATGGTTTTTACTATTGTATCATCAGCACAAGAGTGGCTTAATGTTAGGTATGAAACAGTTAAAAAAGAACAAGAAGAAATTGCCTCTAAAATATTAAGAGAAGAGGAAGAAGTAGAAAGAAAGAGGTTTGAAGGTACAAGGGTAACAGTGGAAACCTTTATGAAGTGGAAACAGCAGTTTGAAGAAGAAATGGGTATTACCAAAAAGAAAGAAATTGCAGAAAAAGAAGGCAAAAAACTAAGTGGTAAGTTAATTTATTTTGTTTTTTTTTAATATCTCCAACAATGTTGGCAAAGCTGTCCACATTTTTGAAAGGCTAATGTAATGTCGGTGCATATCGTACCAGCCTTTCTGATGACTCATTTAAGTCAGATCGAATAGCCCATTATATTATGTAGTTGCAAAAAAATAAAAATAGCTATAACTAGGTATACCATATATGGGATAAAATTTATTATTTGATAATTTATTTTTTAAAATTTAGTACTAATGTGATAAATGATATTGTATTGTGTTTATTTTACATATACCCTCCACACCATGCTGCACTATACTATAAAAAAACAATTTTTATTTTCTAGTTAATCTGTTCTCTATTTTTTTTTACATATTTTTTATTTTTCTATTTAAATTGTATCAAACTACATAATTGTTTGTATCATCATTTAAAAAAAAATAACTGTTTATAAGTAAGTTTTCTTTTAATAAAACTTTCAACCATCACCAATTATTGTGAATGAAAATATTTTTATAAAAATATATTACTTTAATTGTTTAGGTAATAAAAATATTAGCCTAAACAGAATTTAAACAATTGTTTATTTTAATAAGTAGGGCTCTGTTTTGGCAAGGGTTTAAAATTTTACGATTTTGGAGCCAAATAAACTTAAGTTCCATATAGTGTTTTAAAGTGTCGAAAAAAAAACCGGAAAAATTGTGAAAAAAACATGCTTTGGAAAAATTGGCTTTTTTGGTAAAAATTGAATTTTTTGGGAAATACACATTTAAAAAAAAATTCCTTACAGAAAAAAATAAATAAAATAAACGTAAACGTTAAATATACAGTTTGTTGGGTCAATTTTTTCGGAAATTTTAAAACCCTAGTTCCATAACACCTTTTTCTGAAAACATCTTTTTAAAATGCATGTGTTTATGATAATCCCAAGAATGTGGATAGTTTTGCCAAAAATCTTGAAAAAAAAAATTAAGCTAGATATAAATACAAAATATTAAATAACTGTCTTAAGATATGTACGTAAGCTAGAAATACTCATTAGAATATCAACTTTAGAATTACTAAGTAACTTGAGTAAAGCAAAATAAAACAGTCAAAAATAAAAAATATATATCAGAATACCTATCATAAGTTTAAGTTTGTTTGTTGAGTAAATTTGCTTATGCAAGATAAAAAAGTAAAAAAATAAGAATTGTATATAGATTTTATACAAATTTTGTATTTTGGACTGTTTTATCTTGCTTTACTTAACATATGTATAAATCTAAAGTTAATATTCTGATATAATCTTTTTATTTGGGGCCACGGGTAGCGCAGTGGGTTAGGCGACTATGCCGAGACAAACTGCGTCCGAAGGTATCGGGTTCGATCCCCGGTCACAGCCTTGGGTGTTGTGCGCGTTGAAAGTCGGTAGATGAGTCTCGAGGACCGTGGTTCGGATTCCACGTTAAACAGTAGGTCCCGCTGAAGAACCGAACCTTATAGGATTTGCCTGTAAGCTGGATACGTTACTACTCTTCACTCTTTTGATTTTGTACTCAACTTACTTTTAAGACTGTACTGTGTATAAATCTAAATTGATGTTATGATGAGTATTTCTAGCTTAAGAAGACATTTTTAAGACAGTTAAGCTAGGAATATATATTTATCTTGCTTATATATTATTAAGGCAGTTATAAGTGTCTATATATTTAAGCTAGAAATACTTATCAATCATGTATTAATTTAAATTAATTAATTAAAACTTTTACTTTGTATCTGAAAACGGGTTAAAAAAATGCTTTATTTTAATTTAATTTTAATTATTAAATTTTGATTAATACTTAATGTGAAGACTTTTGTTTTTATTTAACATAGATGTAGATCTACTGTTTTCGAAAATGTTTAATAAAATAAACTAAAAAAAAAACAATGAAAATAGCGCTATCTGATTGCCTTACTAAAAAGTGCTAATATCACTTAGTTTTGTAAATTTAAAAATTTCAAATAGAACATCTTCTTAGAATTTCTCAAAGAATTTGTAGTTAAAATGAGTCATGTAGAATTAAACGTGTACATGTCCTCTGTTGTGCTATGCACAAATGTGCTAACTACAATATCAAGTACAGTATTTACCACCTGTTTGCTTAGCTGAGGACATGTCTGATTTTGATTCTACAGTACTCAAATATTTTTCAGTGAAGGGTTGGGCTGGATTAAAATTTTGAAGTTAAAAGTAAAATACTATTTAGAATTATTTTTTATTTTTGAGTGTATTTTGTAAATTGTTTTAAAATAAATTAATTCAAAAAGTCCAAAAGTTCCAACCCTGAGTAATTTGATTTTTTAGGTCGTGAACTGTTTATGACAGATAATACACTAAATGAGTCAGATTTGAAATTCCTTGATGGGGATCCAGTCAAAGTAGATGAATCACTATTCCAAAATATTGAAGATTTAGATTTAGATGATAGTGAAGATGAAGATTTTGAAGTGTCAGATGATTTTGAGGGCTCATCAGACTCTGAAGATTATAATTGATTTTTTGTTGTAATTTTTTATTAATTATATTTATATTATTGCCACATCTACTAACTTACCCTTTTAATACAACCTTTTATGGTATGAGTATAAGTATAAGAAACGTATGGCTGGGATATTTTACCCGCTTTCAGTTCTCCTAGGTCTCCCGCAACTGCACAGCATTACCTGTGTTTGATGGATCCGAATTTTTACCCTGGCTGGTAATTTTCCCCTAGGAGGTCGTGTTAAGGCCCTTTCCGGAATTTTGTCGCTGGGCCGGGCCATACGCCCGATTTAGGCTTTTGGAGTGCGGGACAAGGAGGGAAAACATTTTGGTTTTTGGGGGACAATAAACTGACCCAAACTAAGTACAATCCGGAGTCTCCCTTAACCAGGGATTTACTAATTTCATAAATGGGGCTTCATTGGTTAGTAGACTGCTTGGACTTGCTGGTCTTGTAGTACTTCCTATTTGTCTGTGTCCATGCCTCTGTCCGAGTCAGATTCTGGAAGTTGGTACATTTCTTCATTTTCCGCGTAATGTAAAAACAGTATAAACATATCAGCACCCATAAAAGTGGGTGCTGATACGCATCTATCGGTCGCGGTCGATGTTTAAGGGGGGGGGTAAGGTATTAAAATTTTTTTTTTTCGATTTTTTTTTTATTTTTCTAATCGAATGCATAATATCTCAAGAAGATTGTGTTAATATTTCAAGTCGATCGGGGCAAAATTGACGAAGTTATGAGTATTTCAGCGTCCGTTGCCAGCCTGAGGTTTTATACCTGAGCGACAGCTGCGCGACGGCCGGACGCTGACTCATCCGGCCCAAACAGGCCTGTTCAGGTAAAGTCGAGTATATTCTGCTCTAGATCATCTTGATGGAAGCCTTTTGCTCTACGGACCTGGCATCGACGACTCTGTGTGAGTATAAAAAAATTGTCGAATTTTATCTTGAATACTTCAGTACGCAAAACTTTAAAGCGTTTTTCTGAGACTTGTCATTTTTGAAGTCCGTGCCCACCATAACTAAAAATCTACTGGACCAATCGTTTTGAAATTTTGCACAGTGTTTCTTCACATAATTCCCCAGGTATTGTCGAGAGCTTTTTTTTTTCAATAATTATCAATTTTACAACAGCAAATTAGCCGTTTTTTTTAGCGAAAATCTGGTTTTTGGCTTCCAAGTGCTACGAAAAATCGAAAAATCGAAAAAAAAAAAAATCCTCTCGTGAATACCTCGACAAACATCTCCTTTAACGAATGCATTTTGATTTTTTTGTTTCTGATAATTTGGCTGCGAGTTATGATGGGCACCGCCAAACAACTTTTTCTCGAGGCGCCTCCGGAGATTCACTGTCACTCGCTCAATTTTTGATATTTTGCAATGAAAATTTAGGAGAATATTGTTCTAATGTTACATTATCATGTATGGATCGACTGAATAAACTAACACCATCTGTATTGCCAAAAAAAAATCTTGAAAACATGCCTTTTTTTTACCGAATTAACCTTACCCCCCCCCTTAAGAAGCGGATGGTCTGTGCGAAGGTGTCGAGGAACGTCTAAAAACCCGAGATTTAGCAACACCCACATTCAATTGGGGTTCATAAATGGGGCTTGGTTGGTTAATATGCTGGACTATCGTGTTTCTTGTGTTACTTCTTGTTCGTCTGCGTCCGTGTCACTGCTGAAATTATGATGAAAAATCGGTAACCGCTTTAGAATTGAGATGCTGAATCTTGTCTTCAGTACCGAAGTGTTGCCGACTACGACAAGCCGTTAGCGCCCTCTGCCTTCGTGAATATTCAACCCACACTGTGGGTCCCACAGTGATATCATGTAGAACTCACGGTGTGATATTTGCAAAATTTGCGCATGCACATGTCATGTCATGTCACATTACACCGTTATAATTTATAAAACGTTGTTTGAATATCACGAATGTTGTCCGGGTTCAATTAAAAAAGATATTCCATTCCACGCGTAACGGATGGGACAGTTGCAAGTTTTTATTTACAAAATAATATTCTATTATATTACTATTATAATGTCAAATTTTTATAAATAGTTCTAAACATAAGTTGTTTAACAAGGTTTTTATTTGTCAAAATTAGGTAACGTGGTTGTCTGTTTAATTCCTTAAAAATTAATTTTTTTATTCAAAAACAGGACTAGTAGTCTTTTTGAATAAAAAAAATTAATTTTTAAGGAATTAAACAGACAACCACGTTACCTAATTTTGCCAAATAAAAACCTTGTTAAATAGCTTTTGTTTAGAACTATTTAAAAAAAAATTTACATTAGTAATATAATAGAACAATGTTATTTTGTAAATAAAAACTTGCAACTGTCCCATCCGTTACGCGTGGAATGGCCGTATACTTTTTCTCTCAATGTTCGAATGTGGCGCAAAATAAATATCCAAACACGGATGGCATAAAAAATAACTACATGATTTTTTATGCCATCGGTGTTTGGATATTCATTTTTGCGACACATTCGTACATTGAAAGAAAAAGTATGTTAACAATTGAATCAACAGTTTAACATTCAATATGTTTTTGGATTTAAATTAACTATATATAGTTAATTTAAATCCAAGAAAATATTAAATGAATTTATTTAACCGCAAAAACTGTTGATTCAACATAATTTTTCTCTTAGTGTACGAACGTGGCGCAAAAATGATTATCCAAACACCGTTGGCATAAAAAATCACGACATGATTTTCATTTCTCACGCAGTGACATCCGGATGATGTCCGTATGAATAAAATTTGTGAAAATCACGACGTGACGTTCGTATGATTTTCATTTATTACGCGGTGACTTCCGTATGATATCAGTATGAATAAAATTTGTGAAAATCACGACGTGATGTTCGTATGAATATCACGAATGTTGTCCGGGTACCTACTTATTATTTTTTTAATCCCAATATTTGTTAATAATTATTTAAAGGATTTATAAACCCATTTCTTTCACTAACTTTGCTGATGATTATTATTTCAATAAAAACTTAATTAAATTAAATTATCCCTATTTAAAACCACGGCATGTAACATAAATAAATTTAATTTAAAAAACGTATCGTAATCACAATTAACTATTTTTAAATTATCCCTATTTAACACCACGGCACTGGTTGTAGTCATCTGTAATATTTGTTATATGTCAGCTGTTTTGGAGTACACAATACGTCACTGGAAGAAAACATAAAATTCTATAGCCAATTTAACGCTTAGACTGTGACCGTTCGTTGACCGCAAACAAAGCATTCTTATTGAATGGCAATGCGCCGTCATTTGTTTTGGTGGTCTGATTCAACCCCTCATGCCAAGTACCGCCTTCATAATATTCAGCATGGTCTTTATTCACTAAGATATTGCTTTTTAATGCACTATTTGAGTGATTTAATATTTCTATTAAGAATTTGAAGAACAGGCACAGGCACATCTTGGCACTAATTTCGCACAGTATTTTACTTAAACTACACTATATGAGCGAGTTTTGTTTCTTTAATTATTATGATTAGGTACACTTAAAAGCGTTCGAGTTCGTTCGAGTGAACTGCTGCCTTTCTGTATTGGTACTGGTATATATACATTTTATAGTGTTAATAAAAAAGAACATTTTTTTTTAATATATATTGAATTAAATAGGAGAATAATTAATATAAACAAGTCTACAAAATTGTAAAATAAAACTGAAGATTTTTATCACAACTAAAAATTTCCTCCAAATTTGCGATTAAAAACCAAGACTTATATACAGTGTAAAAATAAGTAAAAAAATTAAATAAATTTGTTGATATAATTGGCAGAATTAAAAAGTTCCATGGAAATACATTAATTTTGTTAATTCAGTTTTTGGTAAAGTTAAAATAAATAAAATGGTTTGGCAATCAACCAACACAGTTAAGTAGTACAAAATATTTTATTTTCAGTCCTGCAAAATGTATATCAATATAGAACGGTAAATACCTTAATAAATAATATAATTACACTTTTTTACAACCAATTATTTATTTTAAACAATTTTATAAATTAACTATTTAATGACATGTTGGTCATAGCTACTATTGGGGGTGATTAAAGTAATTTGAGGCGTTTGGATATCTTTCTGGAGTAAAATCTTCGTTTTCTCTTAAACTAGCTTGCACACTACTACGCAGTAAATTCCTATATGCAGTCTGAATTTCTATTGATTCTCCTGCTGCTTGCACCACAGCATCCAAAGGAGCCGCTGACGCCAGTCCACTGGAAGTTACTGCTTGTCTAACACTCTCTGAAATTAATTATTAAGTTTAGTAATCTTCAAATGCAGTATAAAAATGGCAAAAAGGATGTCAGTCAAAAAATTTTAGAATTTTTATTTAATTTCTTCAAATTAAGCTCAAATAATAATTACAAAAATTTATTTCAGTGTCTAAAAACCAACTTTACAATGTAATGTCACAAACATTTCTTAACGCCAAACAAAAAATCTTTAGACTCCACACATTTTAAGTTCTTAAAATTTTAGAAAAAATAACATACTTAAGACTTAACTGCTTATTTGTATTAAGGAATGTTAAGTAGGTTCGGGCACGATATTAGTCGCTATGAGAAAATGAGAAAAAATTCGAGGTAGTCTACAAAGACATTTACAATGATTTAAAAAGATTGAGTCTGTTTTCCGAGTAAAAAATTAGTTTCTAATACTACAAGGGATGTTATAGCTAAATATTGCTACATTGTGTTGTGACTGTTTAAAAAAATTGATATTCCAATTCTACAGTGCATGCAAAAAAATACATCTCCTATACAGCCCATGTCTTTAATTAATGCATATCTTCTAACGTAACATTGAAAAATTAATGAATTGCATAGCATTTTACCGCACGATAATGTTATCAATCCGTCATTCTAGTCTAGGAGATCCGGCAACACTGGGTTACGAGCACGATTATCTAGGGATATACCATAATTTCGATTTTAAGGAAAATTATTAAAAAAACACAATTGGATTGTTATTTATCTACTCCTATTGCATAATATTGGGTTTTTCATATATAATTATAAACATTATAAATTCTTAGGCAGGGAATAATAAACTTATTATTCATTAAATGGAAAAACATTCGGATACTATTGGAATGAATTTGTGTCACGTGGGAATATTCGGCTGTTTCCGAAGCGTCATCGGTTAATTAAAAAAGATTTTTTTTAATAAAATTTTAAACACTTATAACTATACATATAGAGCTTATGCATATTTTTATGCATGAAAAATGTTTAAAATTTCGCATGAAAAGTGACAAAATATTAAATAATAAAAAAATTGCATGTTTTCCTAGGTGCCGAAAATAATTTGGATGCACATGGCATTTATGCACCTGGTACCTACCAAAAATATGCATCATCACTAGATTTTAGGTAAAATATACAATAATTTACAATAAATGTATATTCTGTCAATAATTAACATTAATATTTAAGAATATGTGAAGTATTTTAAGGGTATCAATTTCTTGTGAAAATAGTATAGATTATCTATCTATCTACTATTAGTAAAGTAAAATATAAAGTTTCTTTTATTTTTCATAATTATAAATTTTGAATAACGGCGGCAACGTTGCAAATTTAGGGTTTTGGTTGGTAAAAACAGTTGTCCAGTTGGTCGCATTGATTAAAACAAACTAAGCTAGTTATAAATCTAATTGTGGTTATGTATAAATTATTGTAGGTTGCATTGTGCAGTTGTCAAGTTAAGTTGTCGAAATTCGTAGATAAAAATGCAATTAATTTGGCTTTGGTGGTGCTTGGATGAGTCAAATCATATAAAAAAAAGTAGTTAAATATAGGTTGCTTTACGGCCCAGAAGAGAAAGTATTCCTAGCTGATAATAATCTTCGCTTTGAAAAGAATTTATACAAAAAAAATTAAAATTTTTTGTGAACGAAAATGTTGTCCAATGGTGAATAATGTGAAAATAATGTGTGATGTAATATTTATAAAACCAAATTCGTTACTTTTTTTACTCCAAAAATGTCGATAAGGCGATGTACTTTTTCTTCCATTGTGGCATTCGGCATAATTTCATCAAAATGGAGTTTTGCCCTAAAAAGGGCTTTTACATTCGAATTCGTTGCTATTATTTTTGGCATAATTATCTCTTTATTTATAATTGACAAGTAAAATATCAATAATAAATATTATTGTCAATTTGACAGTGTCAAAGTATTTAATTAAATTCTTTATCAGAAGTACCAATTTTAAATACTAAAAGTCAAACTGGCATAAGCCACCAACCTAACAAAAAAACAGTCCAGAATCCAGATAAAAAAATGAAAGGTATGTCTTTTCAATATTGTAATTAAAATTCTGATGTTTAATGCAGTCTTAATATTGCATAATTTATTGAGCAATATGTAGCAACAAATATCAAACAAATGTTAAAATTCCTTATTTAAAGTCCTTTATTTGTATTTTTATTAAATTATTTTCAAATTTTCGTGAATTAGGTATGAGCGAATTTTTGACTAAAATATTTGTAAATTTTAGTTGACTTGATTAATAAAAAAACCTGTTCAAGGATTTTTTTGAGAAAAAAAGCCGAAATTTTCAATGAAGTTGTTCCATACTTTTGCTGGTCACTGTATATTCAAATGATAAAACATGCATTTACCTGATATCACTTGAGGAAGGCTTCCTTGCGGTTTAGAACTATTAACAATTTTCCTTCTTTTACTCGGCATACCAGAGAGATACGCATCACTAAAAGGTCCTTGCGGATTTTGACGTCTCTGTTTCTGCGCATCACGCGCTATAATAGGCACCCAATCCTAAAAAACAACACAATTGTAAATGTAAACCGAAACAAATAATATAATTATTAATTACCGCTGGAACTTGCGCATGCCACGGTTCAGATCCTAAAACAATATTGGGCAATGGCTCGCTGTCTTCCAGAATTATCCCGGGAGTTCCCAATTCGTTCCCGGAGCCAGACGCTTCTTGTTCCTGATCGTCCAGTTCCATAGCCTACGATTAAAATCAAAACATATTTTAGAAAATAGGATATTTTCCTAGTATTACCGTAACGGGTTGAACGTTGTTTTGTACACAAGCATCACCAGCTGATACCTCGTTTGTTACGGGTTCCGCCACTGAAACAGCAGGTTGTACCGGCGCCATGTGCACAATGTACGGTTGCAGAACATTTTCGGGAACGCTTAAATTCGATAGAAACTGTCTTAGGTGCACGCGACTGCTCAAAAACGTCCATTGCTGCATTTCAGGAGGGACGTCCAAATATCTTTCCTATAAGGAAGATTATTTTTACAGAAGTATTGGTTTCGTCCACAGCTTTGGTTTCGGTGCTGTTACACGAATTTTTGTCGGATTGTAATGGAATGTACAAAATTTGTAGCTACTTTATCGTGCTAAAAACACAACTGCGCGTGTCAAATTTTTTATTAAGGGTCATTTTTACTTCTTAAATAAATTCTGTATAGATAGAGTTACAAATTTTGTAAATTTCATTAAAATCTGACAAAATTGTTCGCGTAACAGCACTTTGAATTTTCAAAATTGCCGAGTTTTGGCTAAAAAACGATTAAATTTTTTAGTTGACTTAGGACCCATTACCAATGATCCTTGGTTAAAGTATTTGATTTAAACAATTTACAGGGTAAGTTTTACATTGACACTTCTTTTTAACAGTGTGTAATAATCAAATAGACAAAACAATATTTCAAGTAACTTTTTTATCAAAACTCAAAAATAAGGGAAATTTCTTATTTAAATACAGACTTAAATTTAATTAAACTTGGAGGCCGCCCTTGGCTATAGTGTTGCCAAAAAAATATAACCATAAAACAAAAATGACAAATAACACTGGTTATGTTCCGTAATTTATCCAGTACTGACGCAACAGTGACATGGCTACGCAAGCGAAATTTCTGCATTTGACTAACCTTACTCTTGGCAGGACCAATGTAGTCAGATGTACGATAATTATCGTTCGAGTACGATAATTTTAACCTTCGTACGATAAAGGATAATGACTAGTTATTGTACGCCTTCTGTACGATAATTTTGATATTATTACAAATAAAAAAATTATAGTTAATTATGTCATTAGGTCAAGTATTTTTGTGCTGAGCTTAAAGTTTGAAGCCCGTCGCCAGCAAAGCACAAAAAATACTTCTTATAAAGCATATAAAAATAATAAAGCTCAGCACAAAAAGACTTATTTCTTTACCTTATGACACAAGTAAATATTAAAACATTTAATAATAATTCTATTTTTGTATTTGTAATAATTTCAAAACTATCATTATCGTTTATCGTACTAAGGTGTAAATTATTGTACATGTGGCAACATTGCTGCAGCTGCCGAAAGAAAGGTTAGTCAAATGCAGAGTTTGTGCTTGCGTAACCATTGTCACTATCTGCTGCTACTGGGGTGCGTTCCAATTTCATTGTTGCGTCAGTACTGGATAAATTACAAAACAGTCCTTTTCCGCTACTGACAGTAATGACAGTAAATTACGGAACATAACCACTATGTGCGAATTTATTCAGAAAATGTTTGCAACAATAGCCAGGACCGGCCTCCAACTTTAATTAAACATTAAAGCCCGCTTCACAACAGCCCGGTAACGGGAACGGGAAACTAAACGGTAAAGGTGGGAGAGGCTCAGCGAACCCTATCAATCAACAGTGGTTTTTTAGTCTCTCCCACCTTTATTGTTAGGATTCCCGTTCCCGTTACCAGGCTATTGTGCAGCGGGCTTAAAAACCTGTTTCTTTTATTTTAGAGTTTATATAGGATAGGACAGCGACAAGTTCGCGAAATTGTTCCAATGTGTCAACTTTGCTCTGGTACACTAAACTGTTTATGTTGCCCCAGAGAAACTACAATAACAACCGAATCGTCAGTAATCAATGATAACAAAGTACCTACTAACCAAATTTAAATAAGTTTATAAGTATGCTTGATATTTAATATACATAGTGTAATATGTAATTTACATACGCTTGTTTCTTTTTTGTTTGGATGAATAATATCATTTTTTAGAGGTAAAAACTAAGGCTGGGAATCGATTACAAATAATTCGCATATTCGAGTATTCGAATAGAGGTGTAAATCGATTATACATTATTTGAATACTTGAATATTAAAAAAAATTAGGTGGCTTACGAATTTTGAAAATTAGAAAAATAATCAAATTCGAATTTAAAATAATAATTTTTTCGCCACAGTAAATTTTTGTACACAAAAAATTAATGACTTTTTTAAAGTTACAGCTTAATAAATAAATTTTTAAAGGTCGCTCACAAATTTAAAAAAAATTGAAAAAATCAATAGTCGCTTCGTTTTGGACACTAGCGAAAATTAATTAGTAATTTATAATTACTAATTAATAGGTATTCGTAGGCAAAATTTGCGGCAGCCCGCTGCTTTCACATGCAATTTTAATTTAGAATTTCTTGCCAAAAAGCCTGAAATCCGAAGGTATAGGAAACTTGCCTATATCTACTAGATATTAAATATTATCTGGGGTTTAAGTAGATTTTGCTGAAAATTTACATTTTTTCGAATTTTGACCAAAAAATTGTTCGAATTTTGAATCAAAATTTTTAACCATTTTTTGAATTTTTAAAATTATTGTGTGACCATTATTTTTTTTTAATCAATTGAGCTGATTTTTTAAGAGAGCATTTAAATCATGATTAACTAATATTATTTCTTAGGAAACTCGAAAAATTGTTTTTTTTATAATAATAATAATGTCTTTATTAATTAATGCACACATTAATTAAAAGGCGAAATCTAGCCAGGATACTCCAGGCTCCTTTTGCGGAGAAAAATTTATAGCCTAGAAAATATTTGAATTATCCGAATATTCGGGAATTCGAATATTCAGGTATTCGAATATTCATGTACCTACTTGTATATTCGAATATTCGGAATAACGAGTATTCGAATTTCCCAAACTAAAAAATTCCCAGCCTTAGTAAAAACAATAATGATATATAGGATAGGACAGTGACATCCAGTGGCTCCCTGGTTTTGTAAAAAAAATCATAATTTATTTATTAAAAAACAGTAGGTCTAAAGCAAAAATGTTAAAGGAAAAACTTTTTTATTTTGGCGTGTACTATCATCCCCCCAAAGGATTACAATTTATTAGGTGACACCCAGTATACGAATTTTGCTGCCCCTTCCCCTTGTCGCACTTCGTCATAAATTGTTTGACACCCCTCTCCCTAGAGCGTAACGTAATTTGTCAACGGCCCCTCAAAGTAGTGGGATTTTTTTAAATTAAAATGTTAAGAAAGGAACTTACCAGTATTTGTTCAAACACTTGTTCAACACCGGGTTGTCCAGTCGAGCATGCGCGCAAAGTCAATGCGCACAAGTGTTTAATCGTCGTCAAACAATGATCGATCAGCACTCGAATGTTAGATGGATTTAGATTGATTGCAAGGTTTATCATGTTTGGTATTCTAGTTCTGAATATGTTTTCCGACGACCTAACCACGTCGATGTTATCTCTGGCAGGTATTAGTCTCTGAAGTGGAATTTAATTGTTAGAAATGTTTGTTGGTGCGTTATATTTTGTTACTTACAAAGTTCTCAAAGAAGGGTCTCATTTCTGTAAGAATCCTTTCTGCCCCACTATTTACGCCTTCAGGTGATGTATCATTGTCCAAAATCCTAGTTCTGACAAAGTTTTCGATTTCGCTACGACACCGGTTTATCGGGTCGCCGTTGCCGTTATTTAACGTACATATATCCCTAAAAACCCAACAAAATATGAAAGATGAAATTATTCCATTCGAAAATCACTTACACAAGGGTTAAATTTCTAAATAGGAGCATTATTAAATCGGTAATAATGCTCTCGCCTTGTACGTAGGAATCGTCTTGTTGGAATTGTTGAAGGATTTGATAAATTGTCGGACCTTGTCGCAACAAATCCCCAATGCTCTAATATAGAATATAACATAGTTAAACATTTCAAACGGTCGCCAATTTTAAGCGAATATTTTGATGTAATTTTATAAAGAGATCAACATAAAAAAAATCATTTATTAGGAAACTTTCCAAAATGAAACTTTTTTTCAAACAAGATATAGAATTATAATAATACAAAAAATAATTAATAAAAAAAACCATTTAAAAATAGAAATTTTCATAAAAAAGTAGGCACCACGCACGACAAGCTTTTTAAAAACAAATAATTTAACATTACAACATTACCTGGTCTTATTTTATTTGCTTAAGTGTGTCTGATAACGAATCATTATTAGTAACGACCATATTAAATTTGGAATAATGTTATACTGCTGGACAGACCCTTTTATTTGATAACCATGAATACATAAATACCAAAATTCCGACAAAAATTATAAAGTTGATTTTTCTTTTGGATTTTTTGAAGAAAAGTCATTCTTAATAAAATTCACGTGATAAAATTTGTGATTTTAACTACAGGGTGTTTAAAATTTCGAATAGATTTTATGTTTTCCAACTTCCAAACACCCTGTAGTTAAAATCCTAATTTTACTATGAACATAAAATTTTATTTTATTCACCAGCCAAATGGCTGGTGAATAAAATTATTTAACTTTAACCAGTAGGCGAAATTTTAGTTCTTTCATTCGTTGGCAAAATAGAGCACAAACCCAAGGAATAAGAATTGTAAACAACAAAAATTGCCGCCGTTAAACTTTGTCCAGTGTTGCAGTGATTTTTATTATTTTTAGTACGAGATACCACAATCTACACAACATCTCGTTTCGCGCATAAAGAGTTTAACGGCAGCCATCTTTGTTGTTTAAAATTCTTGTGATTTGGGTTTGTGCTCTGTTTATGCAGATTAATTATTATTTTAAACGTGTTTCTTACAGGCACTTGTAAGTCTTAAAAGAGACCTTAAAGTGCTAAGAACAACCATTTTACTCCCCTTGTGAAAAATATACCTTATTCTATCAGGGCTTTCATCCAACTGTCAAATGTCAATTTTAAGGTTAATTTGTGGGTTATGGTCACGGTCTTATATACAGGTCCTGCAACTTCGCCCAATTTCAATAGGAAAAGTGACCTCTCTAATGAGACACCCACCAGATGGCGCATCGAGTTGGGTGGTAAACCATAGATGTTTAAAGGTCGTTTTTACCTTCTTTATCTTTGGGTTTTACAATCGTTAGATAAGCTCTCTGGTGGATAATTTTCTTGGATATAAGGTTTCTATGAAAGTTATCCGCCAAATAAGCTAACTTAATCTAACGATTGTAAAACTGGCTCTAAGTCCTTAAAGTCTATGGGATAAAAGTCAAATGAACTACCTACTTATGTTCACAGCTGTGTTAAGAAACATAACCTACATTTTTATAAACAAGCTTGTGTGTTTTGTTACAGGGAGTTTTTACTTATTGTTATTGTGATATCCGTTATTGTTATATTATATTGTTCTTATTTTTGTTGTTATTTTTTCTTGTTATATTTGTTCTTGTTATATTTGTTCTTGTTATATTTGTTCTTGTTATATTTGTTTTTGTTATATTTGTTCTTGTTATACATTTGTATTTGTGCTTTTTAATAGACATGAAGTCCTGTGTTGTGCCAAAATGTAACCAGCAAAGCCATCGTTCCGGCATTAAAATTAAGCGGTCCATGTTTAAAGTGCCAACAAATAAGGAGCAGTTAAAAACATGGCAATGTGCAATAAAAAACATACTATTGAAACCTTCACATTTTGTATGATTAATTTATAATTAAGCACATCGTGTTGGTGAAATATATATTATTTTAAATAAACAATCAACCCATCCCCGCCAAGACAATAAAAAAATCGGTTATTAATAAATTAGCCAGAATATTGGTTGGTTAGTTTGTAAACTATCTAAAGCTTGGCTAAGTTGTGTTACTAGAAATTTTGGTTTTCATATTAGCCAAATTGAATTGGATAGTTTACAAATTATCCAGCTATTCCTAAATAATTTCAAGTAAATTAGCCAAGACCCTTGGTTGGTTTACAAACTAGCCGCTAATTTAGTTAAAAATACGTTTTCAATTAAAATAGCTGACAGTTTGGCTACTTTATAAACTACCCAGCTACTTTATAAACTATCCATGTTTACTCATTAGCCGTAACATATACCTATATGATATACGTATGTATTTTATACATTAACATGTTTTACTTATGTACATGTTTGGTCTGGGCATGTGACGGCCGAGGACTTTGTGCATATAGTATAGACTTTGTTGTCCTATTTTGTTAACGTAAATTATCCGAAACAAATTCACAAATATTAAATTTTTGAAAATGTAAAAAAAACATAGAAAAAGAATTTAAAGTTAGGTTATGGTTATGCAGTAGTTCCACATTTAACTAAGTAGTAGTTTAATTGACTTTACCCCTTCGATCTTAGCGCCACCTAGCGGCTTGGCACGTTAAGGAAGCCACCTCGAAGCTTAAAGTTGCAGGACCTGTATATAAGACCGTGGTTATGGTAAATTAATCTTAAAATTGACATTTGACAGTTTGATGAGAGCCCTGATAGAATAAGGTTTATTTTTCACAAAAGATGAGTAAAATGGTTTTTCTTAGCACTTTAAGGCCTCATTTTAGGCTTACAAGTGACTCTGTAAGAAACACAACGTTTAAAACAATTTTTAATCTGTATAAACAGCACAAACCCAAATCACAAGAATTGTAAACAACATAAAAATGGCCGCCGTAAGATTCTGTGCACTATTGCAGTTATTTTAAGTATGCGCGAAACGAGATATAGTCGTCGCGGCGTATAGTCGTCGCGGCGTTTCAAATTGCGTCATGAATGTCGAATGTCAAAAACCGATTTCTCGATATACGGTTAACCTAGCGGTTCCTTGGATTATACAGGGTGAGTCATTTAACTTGAAACTTTGAAATATCTCAGTTAGTATGCATTTTACGAAAAAAATGTTTAAAATAAAAATTAAATGATTCAAGGGGAGAAATCAATCAGTACTAAAATTGTTCCTCATACTCTTCTCCTTATAGGAGGAACAGGGGGTAAATTTAAAATTTCCAATGGAACTCCCTATTTTTTTTATTGCAGATTCGGATCATTCGACTAAAAATAGGTGGATTTTGTCTAAAACATTTTTTCATATTTGTAATAGATGGCGCTGTAATGAAAAAAAATCAATTTTGTTCGATTTTTCTTCTTATACAATTCTGCAATAATTTTGCTATAAAAATATCACTTTTTTGGTAATAATTATCTTATTAAATTAAATCTGATTTTTTAACTAATATTTAAGTTTCCTTTGGTTTAAGTTTTATACATTATTTCATTATTATTATTATTGTACTATTATTAATAAAAATACCTCATTTAAGGTTAAAAAAACATTGTTTTGTTAATTAATTAATTTAATCCTAATTGAGGTATACAAAAATGGTATTTAGTTATAAATAATAATTATTATTGAGGTGTAAAGAAACTATTTATACATAGTTTAGCATTATTTAATCAATTTAGTTCGAAGATTAATTTGCAAACAAAAAGACCTACTTTCATTAAGCAGTTATTCATAATGGATTTTTTAACAATAGAAGTAAAAATATAAATGATTTTGATTTATGTAGGAGCAGGCAGGAATCTTGATGATGCTGTTACTATCTACGCTCAGCGTTTTCCGGAAAAAATTCGATCACGTACTTCATTTCACCGTACATTCAAGCAGTTTACTACAAACGGGAGAGTTCAACCGAAAAAAAAAATAGTTCGTCGAGCACAGTCACAGGTGGAAATAATGAAATTAATGTATGAATCAAGAAATGCTTGTGCCGAAATTCCAGCAGATACGCTTCTTAGTTGTGTAGTCATTTGAAATTTTGAGCACCTACTTATATATATAAATTTAAAAAATAAATAAATGACTCACCCTGTATATGTAAAAGAAAACAACAATAATTGTAATGTCTGTGCTTGGTTCCGAATTTGATGACGCAATTTGAAACATTCGCCGCGACAACTATAGAACAGACCTTGTGTGAATTTTGCTATTTACCAGCGTTTTAAAATAATCGAGCATTTTTAAGCATTTAATGACACTTTTAAAAGTGCTCAAGCATCTGCCATCTCTGATATTAAGGGGCTACATACAAATGAGCTCGTAAAAATTAACGGTTTTTGCACAATCCACACAACAAGGTCTGTTCGATCTTGTAGTAAAAATACTAAAAATCACTGCAACACTGCACATCATACGATGGCGGCCATTTTTGTTGTTTACAATTCTTGTGCTTTGGGTTTGTACAGATTAATAATCGTTTTAAACGTTGTGTTTCTTAAAGAGAGACTTGCAAGCCTTAAAAGAAACCTCAAAGTGGTAAGAACAATCATTTTACTCCTCTTTTGTAAAAAATAAACCTTATTCTATCAAATGTCAATTTGAAGGTTAATTTGTGGGTTATAAAATAACCTTAAATTAACCTTCCAATTGACATTTGACAGCCCTGATAAAATAAGGTTTATTTTTTACAAAAGAGGAGTAAAATGATTGTTCTTACCACTTTGAGGTCTCTTTTAAGGCTTGCAAGTCTCTGTAAGAAACACAACCCTGGTGGAAATGATTCTACAACATTCTACAACATTTAACGCGAAAACTACAACTTTCTACAATTTTTTACAACTTTTTGTATTGTTGTAGAGAGTTGTAAAGACTTGTTATTTATTACAAATTTTTACAACATTTTACAACAATAATTCTACAACATTCTACAACATTTAACGTGAAAACTACAATTTTCTACAATTTTTTACAACTTTTCGTTGTTGTAAAGAGTTGTAATTTATAACAAATTTCTACAACATTCAACGAAAATTATTCTACAACATTCTACAACATTTAACGCGAAAACTACAATTTTCTACAATTTTTTACAACTTTTCGTTGTTGTAAAGAGTTGTAATTTATAACAAATTTCTACAACATTCAACGAAAATTATTCTACAACGTTCTACAACATTTAACGTGAAAACTACAATTTTCTACAATTTTTTACAACTTTTCGTTGTTGTAAAGAGTTGTAATTTATAACAAATTTCTACAACATTCAATGAAAATAATTCTACAACATTCTACAACATTTAACGCGAAAACTACAATTTTCTACAATTTTTTACAACTTTTCGTTGTTGTAAAGAGTTGTAATTTATAACAAATTTCTACAACATTCAACGAAAATTATTCTACAACGTTCTACAACATTTAACGTGAAAACTACAATTTTCTACAACTTTTCGTTGTTGTAAAGAGTTGTAATTTATAACAAATTTCTACAACATTCAATGAAAATAATTCTACAACATTCTACAACATTTAACGCGAAAACTACAACTTTCTACAATTTTTTACAACTTTTTGTATTGTTGTAGAGAGTTGTAAAGACTTGTTATTTATTACAAATTTTTACAACATTTTACAACAATAATTCTACAACATTCTACAACATTTAACGTGAAAACTACAATTTTCTACAATTTTTTACAACTTTTCGTTGTTGTAAAGAGTTGTAATTTATAACAAATTTCTACAACATTCAATGAAAATAATTCTACAACATTCTACAACATTTAACGTGAAAACTACAATTTTCTACAATTTTTTACAACTTTTTGTATTGTTGTAGAGAGTTGTAAAGAGTTGTAATTTATTACAAATTTTTACAACATTTTACAACAATAATTCTACAACATTCTACAACCTTCAACGTGATAACTACAATTTTCTACAAATTTTTTGTTGTTGTAGAAAGTTGTAACTCAAAACAAATCTCAACAACATTCAACGTAAAACTATAGGTACATCATTTTTTACTTTCTGAAGTTGAAAGGCGTCAGAATATTTTGTCCTGTTGCGATAAATAAAGAATTATAGAGAATTATATTGATAAATAGACGATAATATATTGATATTGAAGCAAGAAGCCTGTAACATATAAGGTTAGCACAAAATATCATTAAATTAGCTAAAAAAGTGCAACAAAGCAGAAAAACCAGAAAAGTCAGTGTTGTCAGCTGACAGAAGTTTCCATTGTCAGTTGATTAATTTCCCAAATTAATAAAAACAAGAAAATATACAGAAAAACGATTGAACAGGGCCTGAAGCATAAGCAGAGAATTCAAGCTAGAAAAGATAATAAGTTCGAGAAATTACGTTTATTTAAAAATTCAAAAATAAATTCAGACGATTTCGAAGAGCTAACTGACCAATCCGATACTAATATGACAACACCAATAGAATTAAATGATAAAAATATAAAAAGAAAGGCAGACGAAGGCCTGTCTGCAAGCAATAGTATAACTTCTTTAAATGGAAACACCGCTAGTGATAAAAACAATCCAGAAAATAATTAACAAAATTTCCAAATCTCAAATAAAACAATTCCTTTTAAGAGAGTGAATAAAGGCAATATTAAGAAACCTGAACTAGTTATAAGTAATAAATATGAAGGTTTAACAATTGAAAATGTAATTCCAAAATTTAATGATCAACCAGAAGCCCAACCCATGGAAAGTAATGAAAGTCAGGAAGCTACAACCAGCCAATCTGGAAGAAATGTAATTCTTAACATTCCAGACTCAGCCCGGCCAAAACCCAAAGAAAATCAAACCACCTCCTTTAGTCATTGCTGCAAAATTTGATTCACATAGTGAGGTAATAAAGGGACTTAAAAAATTATCAATGGTAAATTTAATATAACATAATATGTACAATATAATAATATAATATAATATACAAAAAACAATATTGTAGTCAATGTAGACGACATCAGCGACTACAATAGATTGCTGTTAAAGTTAATAATGTTTTCTTATAAATCATTAATTATAAGAAGTATCACCCACCAAAAAAGCAAATGTTGCGCCACAAAGTAAGTATTTTTAATTTAATCTTTTCTTTTAAAAAAATAAATTATAAACACTTAGATTTAGCAAAGTTAAAATAATATAAAATAATAGTTTTAAATTGGACAAGCAACAATTTAAAAAAAAAACAATTTAAACAAATTTCGTACGTCCAAAATTTTCTACAAGATATTACGCGGATTGGGACATTATTGTTATATTTCGTAGAAAATTGTTACAAGTTGTAGCATAGTAATATATTAGTAAACTACAACTTTGAACAATTTTCTACGAAATATAACAATAATGTCCCAATCCGCGTAAAATCTTGTAGAAAATTGTTCAAAGTTGTAGCTTACTAATATATTACTATGCTACAACTTTTAACAATTTTCTACGAAATATAACAATAATGTCCCAATCCGCGTAATATCTTGTAGAAAATTGTTCAAAGTTGTAGCATACTATGATATTAGTAAGCTACAACTTTCTACGAAATATAACAATAATGTCCCAATCCGCGTAATATCTTGTAGAAAATTGTAGCAAAAGCTACAACTTTGAACAATTTTCTACGTTATTTAAAATAATGTAGTAGTGTCTTGTAGAAAGTTGTAGAGAATCATTAAATGTTGTAGCAAAGTCGCGTAGAAAGTTGTAGCTTTCGCGTTAAATGTTGTAGAATGTTGTAGAATTATTTCCACCAGGGAACGTTTAAAACGATTATTAATCTGTACAAACCCAAAGCACAAGAATTGTAAACAACAAAAATGGCCGCCATCGTATGATGTGAAGTGTTGCAGTGATTTTTAGTATTTGTACTATGAGATCGAACAGACCTTGTTGTGTAAATTGTGGGTTTTTGGTGATTTTTTTGGTATATAATAATAATTATATTGAAACGAACTATAAAGCATTAAATAGGATATTTCGAAGTATTCGTAAAAAAAATTGTATGCGAAAATATGGAAAGTCGTGGAAAATACGCCTTTTTTTCAAGCGTTTGCGGTGAGCAATAAATATCGAAAACCGCTCAACAGATCTTAATGAAAAAAAAAACGATATTAGTACATAGTATAACCATCTTCGTGAACGAAGGGTTTTGCAAAAAAAATGTCGCTTTTCGAGGGTACAAAAATTTAGTTTTCCGGACAAAAAAAATAATAATTTCCATCCAAATGAAAATCGTTCACGAAGGAGCTATTTTAATTAAGTTTTAAGTTCATTCAATTTGCCTTTAAATATTCGTGAGGTAGCGCGCTATAAATTGCTATAACATAAGTTCTATTGCTCCGAACTTAATGAAATTTTAAGTACATATTCTTAAAAGTATATATTGTAAGAATATTTAATTTAAAAAAAATCGTTTTTCAGCACAAATGTATGTAGGTACAGTTGTATTCATTAAAAAAGCGTACAAGAATTAGAATGAGAGAAAACTGTCAACATTATTGCGTAAAACCGGCTTTCCACTGACTTAAGTCACTATAACTGACAGTAGAAAATAAAAATGCCTCGTCAGTTAAAAAGGCTCAAATATTATCAAGAATCGAAGAAGAATGGTCAATTCATACTGTGGTATAATAGAAATAAAAAATCTATATTAAAAATTAAGCAACGCTGGAACAGGAAGATTTATTAAAACAAAAAGTTGGTTCAGGTCGTCCCAAAATATCCACCCCTGCACAGGATGCTGCTTTTTTGGGATATCTGAGGATTTATGGGAAACTATACAACTATACTATACCTAAGTACTATACTGCTGGGAAGATATTAATCCAAATATTGTATTAAATTTAATTCAGTTCATCCCAAATAGATTGGCTCAAGTAATAGAAAAACAGGGATGCATGACTAAATATTAAATTTTTTTTAATGTTTGTTTTTTTTCATTTCTAAAAGGTAATAATTTTTGTAATATTATTTAATTAACCTACGACGTCAATGCTCTTTATAACCTATAGTAATTATTTTAATGACTTATGTCAGTGATAAGCCGGTTTTAAGCAATAATATTATTTTGACAGTTTTCTCTCATTCTAATTCTTGTACGCTTTTTTATTGAATACAACTGTACCTTAACTGATAACTAACAAATCAAGTTAAATAACTGCTATGATAATAAAAAGCTAAAATAAACTTTTTATTATCATACAAAGATTATTAAAAAAGTAACTTATTACTTGTGATGGGGGAGGTTATTTTGCGTAAACAAAATTACAAATAATTATATTTAAAATCGTAATAATTGCTAATGTATTTTTTGGGTTTATATATGTAAATTAGGAATTCGCTTAAAATTGACGCTTTGGTGTTAAATTGGTAAAAATGGTATGCTCAACATATCCCAATGAATGAATGGACACTACTGTTAACCGCTCCCAAAGTGACACAAGAAGTTTATATTTGATTTTATTATTAATTGATGACGATAAAAATACTTTTTGGTAAAAAAAAAATCGACTTACCTGTGTTCCACCCATGCTGCTGAACAAGGCCTGCAAAGGCGGCAACGGTATGTTTACATTCACGCCTTCCGCGCTCGAGCCGCCGCTGCTAGTGCCTGACGATTGCGCGGCACCAGCAGGTGCGCTGGTCGACGACTGCGCAGCCGAAGCACCGGCGGGCGTGGACTGCGCCTGCGGGGGCTCGGACGCTCCTCGTCTCGGTTGCACGTTGCGAATGCTGCTAAGCACGTCGTTGATGAAATTGTAGATGTTTTGCGGCCGGGTGCCCTGCTGCCCGCGAGTTGCACCGCCTTCTTGGGCTGCGCCTTCCGGCTGTCCACGCTGTAAAACGGTCGGGACAATTACGCTCATTTTCTGACACACTTTTGAATGCATAATGATTAGTAGAGTATTCTCAAAAATAAATATGTACATTTGGGACTATCAATGTTTAGTCGTTTTTTCGCGTAAATACCATGAAATACTATGGTTATTAAACTTAACCTTGGTTAATAGTTAAGGCATTTTTGCGTTTAGAGTGCGTTCAAAAATCCTAACTATGACGTCACAAATACCATAAAACTATATCGCTGAGTTATTCAACGTGGTTAATAGTCTTTCTCTTTTTAATATATATTTTTCTCGGTTTCGCTCTGTCAAAAAGTAGTTTACATTTGAAATTTAAAATATTTTAAGTAGGTACATACAATTGCTCTTATACCGAATTTAAACTTTGTATTAAAATGGTAAACGGGGTGTTGTCAGTAAAAATGAATGATAGGGTGCTCCATATTGTGGAATCTCCACAAGAAGTGAAGGAATTATATGCAGGTTTGTTTTATTTTCTTCCTTATTTTGTATTAAACATGTAGGAGAATTGGATAACGTGTATTGAAAAAACTAGTATAGAAAAAGAATATACTAGGTATAAGAAGAGGCAAAGAAATTTATTTACACCGGTAAAAGCATAGAAATTAAATATAAATAGGTAAAAACACATTTCAAAAATTATAGGTTATGAACAAGTAAACAAATGTCAAATGTTAGACCTAACCATGGTTATACGAATTAACTGTGACGTCATGACTTATTTAACTGTAGTATTACATAGTATTTAGGCGAAAAAACGACTTTTCACTTCCCGCTGATTAGTATATATAGTCGCGGCCAAATCTGCATGGGTGCACATCATTCGTCTTGCTTCGTATGCTAAAATACAAAAGCCGGACATATATGTTTTAAAGCCGCACATACGTGTATAAAGCTGGACATAACTTTTGGGTAATTCCATTTATTAGCCACCAATGAGTGCACCTCATATACTCTAATTTTATTTCTTTTTTAACTGTAAATAGACATGGACCCAAGAAGTGAAAAAAACTCCCCTTTTCTTTTCTCCCCCTATCACCTATTTATACAGGGCTACGCAAAAGTTACTATGCAGACCTAACTTAAAAAAATTGTACTTTTTTTGCTAATAAAGCTATCGACATTAAACAAACTGTTAATTGTTAAGAAAATATTTCTCTTTTAAACCATATAGGACACATTTAGTTATTGATGCCCTAAATGGTCTTTGGGAATTTTTTTAAAAATGCAATTTTTTGACAAAATTGTCTAATTTTATAAATTCATATATTCTTAGAAAAACTTGCCAGCAAAATTTTTTTAATGTAGTTTGTTACCATAGATCTTACTCTATATAAAATCAATGAAAACATTTTCAAATAATATTGGCTAAGAGTTCAAAAAAATATAATAAAAATCCATGTTTTCGAAAAATCACTATTTTCAGCCATTTCATGGTTTAAAAAGGCTATGTTTGAGTGAGTCGATTTAAACCAATTTATGCTTATCATCACATGCACTTATTAGTCTTCAATAATCATGAATAAAATTATTGTGTATTTTGCTTTTAACTGGGCTGTGGCTGTATGTACAGCCCAGCTATAAGCAAAATACACAATATGCCCACCTGACTTTCAGCCATTTCATGGTTTAAAAAGGCTATGTTTGAGTGAGTCGATTTAAACCAATTTATGCTTATCATCCCAGGCACTTATTGGTCTTCAATAATCATGAATAAAATTATTATGTATTTTTCTTTTAGCTGGGCTGTGGATGTATATGTCCACCTGTGACTATATCCATATTATTAACCATATATTTCGAAAAAGCGTATTGTATCTTTAAAATAACTTGACAGCCTTGAATTGACTTCTAATTAATTCTAAATAAAAATGTAAAATATAAAAACCACATACAGTGGCGTCGAAAATTAACTACCCATTTATTTATTTTTTAAATTAAGAAAACATAATCAAATGTACAAAAAATTAATTAAATGACTAAAAGACATACTTTTCATAAACTTTATATTTAAACAAAATAAAACAGGTATTAAATCCTAAATTTGAATTAAACATAACTGCATATAATTAAACTAAAGAAATCATATTCTTAACTTTTACAATCACCTAAAAAACCTATTTACTATTTTTTACCTCTAAAAAGTTATATGAATCGGAAAATTTTCTTATGTGTATAATGTCTATCAAGAGGAATAAATTAACGACTTATGGCCTTTAAATGGATCGCAGCAGACTTCACCAAAAATGTTGGTAAAATTATATAGATACTTTAATTTGTGATACCTACGTACAAATATCGGTTACAGTTGCATCCACTCGCCATTCTATTATTTGTTTTCCTCCTTAGTACAAGATTCAATCTTGGAAAATCGCAAAAAATATTTTTATCCGAAATCTGCCGAAAGTAGTCAACAATCGGCAGTAAAGTAAAAGAAATAAAGTTCTACTTTACTGCCGATTGTTGACTACTTTCGGCAGATTTCGGATAAAAATATTTTTTGCGATTTTCCAAGATTGAATCTTGTACTAAGGAGGAAAACAAATAATAGAATGGCGAGTGGATGCAACTGTAACCGATATTTGTACGTAGGTATCACAAATTAAAGTATCTATATAATTTTACCAACATTTTTGGTGAAGTCTGCTGCGATCCATTTAAAGGCCATAAGTCGTTAATTTATTCCTCTTGATAGACATTATACACATAAGAAAATTTTCCGATTCATATAACTTTTTAGAGGTAAAAAATAGTAAATAGGTTTTTTAGGTGATTGTAAAAGTTAAGAATATGATTTCTTCAGTTTAATTATATGCAGTTAGGTTTAATTCAAATTTAGGATTTAATACCTGTTTTATTTTGTTTAAATATAAAGTTTATGAAAAGTATGTCTTTTAGTCATTTAATTAATTTTTTGTACATTTGATTATGTTTTCTTAATTTAAAAAATAAATAAATGGGTAGTTAATTTTCGACGCCACTGTATGTGGTTTTTATATTTTATATTTTTATTTAGAATGAATTAGAAGTCAATTCAAGGCTGTCAAGTTATTTTAAAGATGCAATACGCTTTTTTGAAATATATGGTTAATAATATGGATATAGTCACAGGTGGACATATACATCCACAGTCCAGCTAAAAGAAAAATACATAATAATTTTATTCATGATTATTGGAGACCAATAACTGCCTGTGATAATAAGCATAAATTGGTTTAAATCGATTCACTCAAACATAGCCTTTTTAAACCATGAAATGGCTTAAAGTCAGGTGGGCATATTGTGTATTTTGCTTATGGCTTGGCTGTACATATAGCCACAGCCCAGTTAAAAGCAAAATACACAATAATTTTATTAATGGTTATTGGAGGCTAATAAGTGCCTGGGATAATAAGCATAAATTGGTTTAAATCGACTCACTCAAACATAGCCTTTTTAAACCATGAAATGGCTGAAAATAGTGATTTTTCGAAAACATAGATTTTTATTATATTTTTTTGAACTCTTAGCCAATATTATTTGAAAATGTTTTCATTGCTTTTATATAGAGTAAGATCTATGGTAACAAACTACATTAAAAAAATTTTGCTGGCAAGTTGTTCTAAGAATATATGAATTTATAAAATTAGACAATTTTGCCAAAAAATTGCATTTTTAAAAAAATTCCCAAAGACCATTTAGGGCATCAATATCTAAATGTGTCCTATATGGTTTAAAAGAGAAATATTTTCTTAACAATTAACAGTTTGTTTAATGTCGATAGCTTTATTAGCAAAAAAAGTACAATTTTTTTAAGCTAGGTCTGCATAGTAACTTTTGCGTAGCCCTGTATAAATAGTTGATAGGGGGAGAAAAGAAAAGGGGAGTTTTTTTCACTTCTTGGGTCCATGTCTATTTACAGTTAAAAAAGAAATAAAATTAGAGTATATGAGGTGCACTCATTGGTGGCTAATAAATGGAATTACCCTTTTGTAATAAAAAAATTGCTAATCGGTCCATCCACAAAGTACGGCATACCTTTTTAAGATGATTTCATACCCCCCTCCACCATGTCCCGCATAATAGCATTATTAAAGCATACTATGTACTTTATGAATGTATTTTCATTGTTTATTACATATAAGTACAATTGAATCACAGATTTGTTGCAAAATTACCCAGTTATAACTATACGTCGCGGATTCTTGTAGAGCATAAAATTTCCCAAAGAATCTATACCAGAATTATTTTTTTTAATTCAAAAATTCGTGTTTGAAAGCTTTGAAAAGTGTAAAAAATCACTAAAACTGCAGTTTTAGTGATTTTTTACACTTTTCAAAGCTTTCAAACATACGAATTTTTGAATTTAAAAATATAATCCTGGTATAGATTCTTTGGGAAATTTTATGCTCTACAAGAATCCGCGACGTAAAAATTTTTATCTCAAACGGTTCAAAAGTTATAGTCTTTTTAATGAAAAAAGATTTTTTTACGTGTTATTTCAATGGAAAACTTAGAATGCTCACCGACACCTTTTAAAATTGAGCAAAAAATTTTGCCTTGCAGGGAAATTTTTTGCTCGGTATGTAGGTTCATTTTAACCCATAAATTGGATAGGTTAGTTTTTTTGGCTCACCCTAATATATATATATACAGTGCTTGCAAATCCAAGTCCGACCACACTGGAAAGGACGGCTGTTCAATACCCGCGTGAAAAGAACAAGGATAGAACGCCAAATAGAATTTGATTGGCCAGAGCCGGCTGCCGGATGCGTGCGAATTTTAAGCGAGGTCAACTCTCAGTCTGGCTGCATTTAGACTAAATGATTTAGTGTCAAGCAAACTGCGTAAGAGTGTAGATGCACATTTTAATTTTCTTTTTAAATATTTTATAGGTACCCGAATCCTAAAAATAAAATTTTTTGATTTTTTCCTTGAGAACTAGGGCAACAACAAAAATAGTATTCTTAATAAAAAAGATTTCTCAAATAAAAAATAATTCTGAATAAAAATAACTAGGTATAAATAAAAATAAAACTCTAAATAAAAATAAAACTCTAAAAATAAATAATAAAAATAAATAAACTCAAAAATTATTAACGGTTCGTCGAATTGTTTCTCTGTTTGGTCTGGCCTCGAACATTCCCGCAAATAATCTTTGAATTTCTCGTTCAGAATTACCAGCAAAATGCCAGATTAAAATCTGAACTTTTTGTTCTAACGTGTACATTTTTTAATTAAATAATCTTTTTCACTAAAATTACTACCTCTTGCTCGCACCACTGCAGTTCTCGTTCTGATATCCTCGTGTCAACCACGCTGCGAGGTGCGCGATGGGTATGCGTTGTCGTAGGCCGGCTGGCCAATCAAATTCTATTTGGCGTTCTATCCTTGTTCTTTTCACGCGGGTATTGAACAGCCGTCCTTTCCAGTGCGGTCGGAGTTGATATTGCAAGCACTGTATATTAGACTGGTTCAAAAAAATCGAATATTTTTATTTCTTCAAAGCCCGCATTAAAATATCTTCCTAGTAGTGAAAAAAGAAGCCTGTGAAAATTGAAGCTCTTAATATTAATATTTAGAGGTCGCTCATCGTGAATTTCTATTTTACGTTTAAATAACACAGGAATTCTTTTTACTTTGAAATTTTATAACTCGTTTTTGAGTGAACATATTGGAATGAACTCTATATATTTTTGAAGAAAATTAAACGTTCTACGTAAAATAGAAATTCACGATGAGCGACCTCTAAATATTAATATTAAGAGCTTCAATTTTCACAGGCTTCTTTTTTCACTACTAGGAAGATATAAAAAAAAATATTCGATTTTTTTTAACGAACGGTCAAATTTGTTACTTCTTTTAAACACAAAGGTTTAAAATAAAAGCCTTTATTTAAATGGTATTAAAAGTTTGAAAGCGATATTAAAAAATGCATTAATATTTGTATTTCTTTTATGACCAACGAACCACCTGTTTTTTTATAAAAAAAAAGTTTTGGAATAAAGGATGGTTTTTCAATTTTTTAAATACTAAAAACCAGCATTGGAAAAAAGAATAAAATTATATTTTTTTCACTACTTGGCCCAACATGAAGCAGAAAAGCCAATTCAAGGCACTCTAGATATAGAAATAAAAATTAATCAAAAAATGATTTGACTTGTAAACATTGACAAATGACATACGTAAAATTTTATTTTTAGGATTCGGGTACCTATAAAATATTTAAAAAGAAAATTAAAATGTGCATCTACACTCTTACGCAGTTTGCTTGACACTAAATCATTTAGTCTAAATGCAGCCAGACTGAGAGTTGACCTCGCTTAAAATTCGCACGCATCCGGCAGCCGGCTCTGGCCAATCAAATTCTATTTGGCGTTCTATCCTTGTTCTTTTCACGCGGGTATTGAACAGCCGTCCTTTCCAGTGCGGTCGGAGTTGATATTGCAAGCACTGTATATTAGACTGGTTCAAAAAAATCGAATATTTTTATTTCTTCAAAGCCCGCATTAAAATATCTTCCTAGTAGTGAAAAAAGAAGCCTGTGAAAATTGAAGCTCTTAATATTAATATTTAGAGGTCGCTCATCGTGAATTTCTATTTTACGTTTAAATAACACAGGAATTCTTTTTACTTTGAAATTTTATAACTCGTTTTTGAGTGAACATATTGGAATGAACTCTATATATTTTTGAAGAAAATTAAACGTTCTACGTAAAATAGAAATTCACGATGAGCGACCTCTAAATATTAATATTAAGAGCTTCAATTTTCACAGGCTTCTTTTTTCACTACTAGGAAGATATAAAAAAAAATATTCGATTTTTTTTAACGAACGGTCAAATTTGTTACTTCTTTTAAACACAAAGGTTTAAAATAAAAGCCTTTATTTAAATGGTATTAAAAGTTTGAAAGCGATATTAAAAAATGCATTAATATTTGTATTTCTTTTATGACCAACGAACCACCTGTTTTTTTATAAAAAAAAAGTTTTGGAATAAAGGATGGTTTTTCAATTTTTTAAATACTAAAAACCAGCATTGGAAAAAAGAATAAAATTATATTTTTTTCACTACTTGGCCCAACATGAAGCAGAAAAGCCAATTCAAGGCACTCTAGATATAGAAATAAAAATTAATCAAAAAATGATTTGACTTGTAAACATTGACAAATGACATACGTATTCAGAATTTAATTTTGAATCGAAATATTTAAAAATGCATAGGGTGTTTGATTAAAAAATAAAAAGTTAAGACCGTTTCTTCTTGACAAAAATATGTTAAATATGTCAAAAAGTTCTAAATTATACTTTATAAAGGTCACCCCAGTTTCATGACCCTAGATAAAATACCAAATTTTTGCGATGAACCACGAATTTACTAGAAAATGGCATTTTCATTGAAAAAATAATAATTTCGAAACGACTAATTTATCCAACTCGGGACTTTTGGTAAAAGTTGTTCATATTATAAACTTTAAACAAAAAAAATATAAAGTAAAAAAAATGTGACAATGTCAAAAATTTGACCTAAACTATTTTTGCCTTTTTTAGGAAAAACAATTAAAAAAAAATTGAGTTAACCCACTTAATTTGTTATATATATTTTTTGGTATTTAGTATTCCTACATTTACCCACAATTTAAAAAAAAATTAACAATCGAAACATTTTTGGCCAAGTTATCTCATTTCAAGAAAAAAATGTCACTCAAGAGAAAAATCGATGTTTCTGTACATTTTCAAAAATTTTCAACAGGTGAAGAGAACAAATTTAAGCAAAAAAAAATACGGGTCTCATCGATTTTGGTAGAGAAACTTTAAAAAACAATTCGTTATTGTTTTATTTAATTAATTTTATTTTGGTCAACTGACCAAAAACAATTTGACGTGTCTTACCTGTTGGGCGGCCGATCTTCTGTGCGTGACGTGATGCGAGTTGCACGGTAAGAACGGATCGAAACCGGCTTGCATGGCCTGCTGCGCGAGGTGGACGTGGGGTCGCGGCGTAGATCTGGTGTGCGTGGCCGTGGTCGGGTTGGTTTGGGTGTTGCCGCGCGCCTGCGAATTCTGACCGGCCGCCGACTGCGCCTGCTGGTTGCCGTTCGTGCTCGACTGATTGGAGGACGGAGACGAAGCGGCATCGCTACTCGAGGAGACGGTCACGTTGCTCGGCACTGCGCCGGTGCGGTCGATTATCTGGCCGGCCATTTGCATGAGGGATTGGAGAAGTTCCGGGGGTGGTGCGTTAAGGGCTCCGCGTAGTACTGAAATATATAGTTTCTTTCATTAGGCGCCCGTTTCCACGCTAGCTGTCTGACAATATTTGACACTATGTATTTTTAAAAGCAACCCTAAACAATACACATAATTTTGTAGAAAATATATTAATATGACATTTAAAACTGGATTCAAGTAAAAATATATGAAAAGGTAAGGGGTAACACCACTGTAAATTATTCAAAAAAACGATATTTTTATTAGCTTAAAAAAACGCTCTACCTTTTAGAACATAGGGCAAAAACTTTGTATTCCTTTGAAATTTCACGCCCTTTCTCCAGCGCGTCGTATAATAATTATTAAAAGTAAAAAGGGAGGTCTGCCATACTGATTTAAAAACTGGGTATCTATTAGATACTATCTAATATTCAAAGTCAAACTGAGAAATTAAGCAAAAAGTGTTTGTATATATGTTTACATACGTATATACTATAGGGTGCTTTTTTTTCACGACTATTTTTATTTTTTCGCTCCCAACTCAAAATCTTGTTGAAAATGTTCAAAAAAAAATTCCCTGAAAATTTGAGCCCTTAATATTAACTCAAAGTACTCGACCAAAGCGTATAAAGATTTCCCATTTAAAATACACGTAAACTTTAATTATTTTTTTTTAAATATCTATATCTCAGCCGCATTTTATGCTATTGGATTGTTTCAAAAAAGGATTTACTCGTAATCAAAAGTTCTACAAAAATGCTCTATGTGTCATAGCTGTAATCTGCACCTGTAGGATGGTACGGGTCGCTAAATCTTATTTTAGTGAAAAATTCTCATATTTTTGAAGATATTTTAAAAGTGACTGAATTCTTTGTAAAAATGTAATGGACAAACTTGTAGAAAATTTAATTTTCTTTAAAAAAGGTCTTACCAGTTGAATCGCTAAGATTGATATTTGTTGAGATATAAAGCGTTTACATTGACATTTTATGAAATTTTCAGGATTTTCGTTCCAAACTTTTTATAAATGATGATTTTCAATTGTTTATCAGTACAATTTCATGTAATTACGTTTTTTCTACAGTCGGGTGATTAGAGAAAAATAAATAACTAAAACAATAAAGCATAATTATTAATAAAATGTAATACACCTCGTTATATCAATTTTTAGGTTAGATATATCTTTTCTCTTTAAAGTTATGTTATTAATAATTATGCTTGATTGTTTGAGTTATTTATTTTTCTCTAATCACCCGACTGTAGAAAAAACGTAATTAGATGAATTTTTACTGATAAACAATTGAAAATCATCATTTATAAAAAGTTTGATACGAAAATCCTAAAAATTTCATAAATTGTCAATGTAAACGCTTTATATCTCAAGAAATATCAATCTTAGCGATTCAACTGATGGGACCTTTTTTAAAAAAAATTAAATTTTCTACAAGTTTGTTCTTTACATTTTTTCAAAGAATCCAGTCACTTTTGAAATATCTTCAAAAATATGATAATATTTCACTAAAATAAGATTCAGTGACCCGTACCATCCTACAGGTGCAGATTACAGCTATGGCACATAAAGTATTTTTGTAGAACATTTGATTACGAGTAAATCCTTTTTTGAAACAATCCAATAGCATAAAATGCGGCTGAGATATAGATATTTAAAAAAAAATAATCAAAGTTTACGTGTATTTTAAATGGGAAATCTTTATACGCTTTGGTCGAGTACTTTGAGTTAATATTAAGTGCTCAAATTTTCAGGGAATTTTTTTTTAACATTTTCAACAAGATTTTGAGTTGGGAGCGAAAAAATATAAATAGTCGTGAAAAAAAAAGCACCCTAGTATATACAGTATCTACGCAGATACTTTATTTTAGCAGGACGAAAGCGCGGACAACGTCGAGTTTCCTCGGAAAGAACGTGGGTATCTACAAATTTGTACTTTTTATTTCTATTAAATTCTTTTGAAGTCGGTGTCGATTTATTTTAGTCGGATTTGATGGTCGTTTGTCCTTTTGATTTTTTTTGTAAAAATTAGTTTAGATCAAAACACATTTTTTCGAAAAATCTGAAAGGAAAAATTTTAATTCGTGTTATTGGACTTTAATCAAGATTCCGCATACTATATTTTTATATTCGCTTAATTGTAGTTCAGCAGAAAAAGACCCACTTCTCAGCCTAATGACATAAATAACTATTATGTTTAATACAAAGAAAATTACGTTAGTATAGCGTCAGGGCATGTACATATTTCAAAACTTTAAACGCGTTTTCTCGAAACCGCACAATTTTCATTCCAATTTTTAACAATATTCTTAAAATAACATGTTGAAGTAAAATACGTACGGGTTTTCGATAAGTTAATTTAAACAAATAATTACCATTTTTTTTGTCAAAAATTTAACGTTTTTTATTTAGATAATCGCATATTACACAAAAATCAATATTTTTTAAATTCCCTGCGCATTTTACTTGCTATAAACATGGATATTAAGTAATTGTTTTTATTTTTCCAAGTGTAAATTTTTACCAGTCACATGCGTGATTTTTTGTTAATAATATTTGTTTGTTCTTTACTTAAATATATTCCTAAGAACTTTTTCAAATATTATTCGATATTATTATTTAATTACCTTTCTTCCATACAATTTTTTTTTCAAAAAGACCCCTTTTAAGTTTTTACAGTGGTGTTACCCCTTAAGTTAAGAGTGCAAGGTAGAATTTTTTTCAAAAGATTTTACTATTATTAAAAATTCTTTTAATGTTTTGACCTTTACTTGATGAAACTCCATGTCACTAATGTATAACTAGATAAAAACCAACACTGTTTTTTGAGTTTCACGAATTTATTTCAATTTTATTTTGACATTTGTTTCGCTAACATAGTAGCTGATCATTTCTAAAGAAGCTACTGTTAGCGAAACAATGGTCAAAATAAAATTGAAATAAATTTCTTGAAACTCAAAACACAGTGTTTGTTTTTATCTAGTTATACATTATTAAAAATTCCTTTGATCTTAGTAGACATGGAAAAAACATATTTTCAGAGGGTATTATGCATAATGATTCATAAAGTTGAATTAATAACGTATAGAAATAACAATTAAGAACCCATAAAGATTGTAAAAGTGGTTAGTAAATTAGATAAAAGGTTAATTTAACAGAAAAACATGAAAGTACTTAAAAGAACAAACATATAAAACGATTTATAAATGACTTACAATTAATTTTTAGATGTCTTAAAATATTTTTTTTAAACACAAAAAATAATCTTGCAAAAGAAAATCTATAGTGTTAATTATTAAATTAATTTTAAACGTTTATATTAAATGTGTGCACATGTAAGTTTTAAAATGAAAACCAATTAACATAATATATAGGTAGTACTTATTGTGCATTGATATATACTAAAACCATTATTGTTATGTATTGGAAAAAATATAAGTAAAGGTAAAACAAAACTTAATAAAAAAATCACTTGCTTTCCTAAATTGTAATTAATTTTAAGCATATAATATAATAGGTTTGTGCAGGTTCACGAAATTAAAGGATCAGATTCATGCGCATTAATAAATTTGCGCTCGGGTTTTTAACTACTAATCATGTTTCTAAATCTAGAAAGTCGATTTTAACATACTTCCATCCAACCGATTAAGCTTAAAACATTCTGGTCATTTCAGGGGGTTTTCCCCTAGATTTAGTATGTTTTTAACGTTTTGGGGAAGTTTTGGGGAGATTAATCATTTCCCAGGTTTTTCAGTCAAAAACTGATTATAACATAAAAAATAATTAAACTATACAATCAAACTATGCAAATAGCAAATTTCGGTCTTTTTGGATACCTATCTGATGTTATTTCTAGAAAAATTTAAGGGAATTTTCTGTCAAATATAAATAATAAATTTAAAACTTGTCTGAGGGGCTCAAATTCCTTTGTTAATTTTCTTTATTATAATATAAGAGTTTCAGTTTAGATTCTGAAGAATAATTAGTTTTGATTCCAATTTTAAATAATGTGCAAAAGAGGAAGATTTTGTGGAAGAAACTGTTCAAAGCTTTGTAACCCAAACAAACCTAAATATTTAAATTTTAAAAGTACTAAAAAATGCAATAAAATGCAACAAACTTTATATTTTTTATAACACAACAATATTCTCATATTGCAAAAATATTTTATTCAGTTAGGCTAGGAACATTGGTGGGTTTCTTTGTATAATTAGTGTTTGGATACTAGACTGTGTCAAAATAACTTTTTTTTCGATTAAATATATCCAAAAAGTTTCTTTAATATGAAAAAAACATTCTTCCAAAGTTTGAGTTCAATATCTCTAAAATTGAGCTGGCGAAAGGGGGGTCTCCTTTCCCATTTAAAATACATTTTTTAGTTTTATAATAACTACATGAATATTTTTTTTTTTAATTTTGTTTTTCACTACCTTATAGGAAATTTAGTTCTCTACAAAATTGTCTCCTTGCATTTTTTCTCTAAACTTATCAGAAACAAAGTTATATAGCAACTTTATCGACTGTAATATTCGATTTTTTTCCCTCCTATTCAGTGCTATGTAACTTTGTTTCTGATGAGTTTAGAGAATAAATGCATAGGGACAATTTTGTAGAGAACTAAATTTCCTATAAGGTAAACAAATTTTATTCATGTATGCATGTATTTAATAGGCATTAAAACTTTGTAATTTACTTTTTAAAATTAAATAAAAATTATTCATGTAGTTATTCTAAAACTAAAAAAAAATGTTCCCATGCATTTTAAATGGGAAAGGGGACCCCCTCTGCTCCAGCTCAATTTTAGAGCTATTGAGCTCAAACTTTAGGAGATTTTTTTCATATTGTAGAAACTTTTTAGATATGGGTGATTCTACAAAAGTTGGACAACTTGTGTCAATAGAGTAGGTATTTTTTGTAAATATGTTAGTATATTACAAAAGATCCAGGATTTTTTAATTTGTCCACCCAATTTTAATGTAATTTTTCTAAAGCACGTTTGTAGAAAAATAATAATAAATATTCAAAACATCAGTACCTCCTGGATCAAATATTTTAGTGGTTTTATTTTAAAATATATTCAATTTATCTTAAATTTTTCAATTTCACTACAAACTTTAAAAAATTAAATAATGTATTTTTCATATTGTATCATAGATTCGAATAATAGCAATTTTTTAAAAATTGATAATCTTTGAACTTACTTTTACCCATCAGTTCTGTGTCCAATGTTAAAATTCAAAATTCCTACGAAATATTGAAGTTTAAACGTCAAGAACTCGTTTTAACTCAAGTGTTGATAAAAAATTACCTACAGAGCCCACCCTTTGCATGACAGTTATCTTGAAAATAATTCAAGCGGCGAAGTTGTGCTGAATGCACGTATAGTTTCAGTCAAAATTTCAGTACTGTGGTGAGTAGGTATTTTCTTACGTATATAATATACAAATTTGAGATTATAATTCGGAATTAAGTATTTTACTGATATTTTTATTAGTGGATACTACTTATCAACAAATCACATATAGCCTTATATAAATTACAATGAAATATATTATATTTCATTGTAATTTATATAAGGCTATTTGTGATTTGTTGATAAGTAGTATCCACTAATAAAAATATCAGTAAAATACTTAATTCCGAATTATAATCTCAAATTTGTATCCCATTCAACAGTACTGTGTCATCAGTTCCATGTTCGATGTTTTGGTTATCTTTTTTTCGCAAACTTCAATTTAAATTCTGCTTGAGCAGAACTTATTTATTTAATGTCATTAAATTATTATTATGGGTCCCATATCTAATAATTGAGATATTGGTATACCCAAAATCCACCAGCTGCCACTGATGTGTGGTATTATTTGATTTTAAGATATTTAATGTATAATATGCTCAAAGTTGCAATAAATCTTATATTTTCCAATAAATTATGTATTTAATTAGTACCCTGGTATACTCGTCACTTCCCTTGCATTCAAATTTAGAAAACACAGATATTTCAGAAACTGTTTGAAAAAGTGACTGGCCTGGTCTGGAACAGTATATTTATTATATTATCTATGTTCTAATAACAAAATCTCCTAAAACTATATAAACAAAATGAGGTCAAAAGTTGCCCAACTTTTGTAAAATCACCCATATAGATATTTTAAAAAAAAAAAAGTTATTTTGGCACAGTCTATTGGATACATTAGCAAGACAAAAAGCACAACACTTACAATCATTAGCTTGATTAGGACCAACAAGCGCAGTCTCCATAGAATCAATTGTAATACCTTCTGGCGTAACCTGCATGAAGAACTCCACGTTGGGATTGTTAAAGTTAAACGCACCGCCTGCCGCGCCTGCAGCTGCTCCGGCGGCGGAGCTGGGCGCGGGACCGGAAGCCGAAGCGGCGGCGGGAGCGGCGGTAGGCTGCGCGTTCTCTCCGCCCGCGTCGGCCGTGTTGTTGTTTTGGGCCCTCTGCGCGGCCGCGTTGCGCGCCATCGCCCTGATGTGGCTGGGAAAGGACTGCACGCGGATGCCCGGCAAGAAGGGCATCATGCCGGGCTCGATTTGGGCTGAAAAAGTCGGGGGAGGCGGCGGCGGCGGGGCCGACGGTGCCCTCGTTGATGTTCCTTCGGCGTTGTTGGCGCTGCTGCTGCTGGTTTCAGTGGCGCTCGATTGATTTGCCGATGTGGTGGTCGCAGTGTTGCCGCTTGTCGTGGTCGGTCCGGTGGTAGAGGCGGGTTGACGTTCCGTCGACAAGTTTATCTGTGCCTAAGTTATAAGTATCCGCATTTTGTGAGGTTAATTATTAGTAGCGGCTTTACTTTTAGTTCAGACAGATATCTAGGAAATGTTAAACGAAAGCATGCTACGCGTGTTAAATTTTTAATATAAATAAATATCAAACTTAAAGTTTTTCAGTTACTTTTACACACATTTGTAATTTTATTTCACACTGTATATGCCTAGCAATACTTTTCAGGCAGTTGTATAGAAAATTTATAGAACGCCTTATTTGTCCTTTAAATTATACTGAGTAAAGTTTAGCATTAATTTAATGTTTTATTTAAGCTATCGCCGGGACTTTTGTGTTTGCTAACAAATTTAAGATAAAATAAATCAAATGACTTTTCAAAAAAGTCAAGAATGAATTCAAACTTTTATTTAAAATTTAATTACATCGTAAAACAGGTAATGCTTCACCAACCTTCATTTATTGCATTTTTATTAATATTTATTCTGGGGGCTTTTGTTAGAATTTAATACTATTTTCTAAAAATTTAAGCGAAATAAACTCAACAAAAACAATAGAAATGCGATTGATCTTGCTTAATTTTAAGAATTCCAAAAATTGGTGAGGAAAATCTTAGAATTTCTCAAGTAATTCGTAGTAAAATATTTTCCACTGAAGGTTGTAATAAATTAAAATTTTGTAGTAAAAAAGTACCAGTACAAGTACCACGTAATAAGTATAAAAAATTACATTTAAATTGTTTTCATTTCCATTGTTTAATGTGTAATTTAATGGTTTTAAAGTTAAACTTAAAAACTCTTTATTGGATTATTTATTTTTGTCATTTTTAATACCTACTTTATAACCTGTCATTTTATCATCAAGTTGGTAAATTATAATTAATTAGAAAAAGTTATTTAATTAAAAAGACTGTTTTTATTTTTTAATAAAATTGATAATTTGTTCCTACCAGAACAAAAATAAATGGTATATAAATTGGGGTAGTGTTGATAATTTAAAATAATTTTTATATATTTATGAAAATATTACACAAGAAACATTTAAACATTTAAAACGTCCTCATCAAAGTAAGGAAACTTGCGGCCAAGCTTTAAGACTTTAAGGCTGAATGTTTTAGATACAATAACCAGGGACGTAGCGAAGGTTCCGATTATTGGGGGGTGATTTTCATTAAAATGACAACTTTTTCGAAAATTTTACCGATTTTTGAACCCTATAAGGTAAGGGAATCTGTTGGATTGTGGCATTAATATTTAAATCGTGTTATGCAACAGGGAACCAACCATCAATATTTAAAAAAAAAGATAAATGTATCAATGTAATGGGGACACGTAGGACCTTTTAAAAATAATTTTAAGCATAAAAAAGCGGAAATATACTAAATTAAAATATTTAAAATAGTACAGAACTTTGCAAACTTACTTTCGAAATCTCAACAACTTTATTTTATCGAAAATAAAGAAAAAATATTGTAAGGAATTAAAAGTTTAGTAAAAAGTTAGCATTTTGGAAATAAAATTATCGCTTTAATCCCCAGTGGTATAATGATGAGACCACCTATTCTAAAATATACGACGACCCAAGGGTTTTTGCATTTAAGCACCATCACTGAGAATAGTGGAGAGCGCCCTCTTTTCGAAAGTAGGCAAGTTTTCGCTCTCAATTCCTTGAAATAAACACTTTTTTTTACATTTAAATCAAAATTTCTGATAGAAGGTACGAAACAAATGCAAATTGTTTGTTTTTCGCAAAATAATTAGAAATAAGGGCTGGTAATTACAGAAATTATTATTGGCCGTATATATTTCTCGTATTCAAGCGTAATTATCGTAATTTTTAAGTGGTAAGCCATCAAAAGCACTGGGGGGATTCACTCGGTAGCGTGACGTCACCATGTTATGATTTAAATGGTATATTGTTCTCAAAAATTGTTTGAGACACATGAAAAAAAATGTTAATAACCAACTCGTATGCGTAGATTTCAAATATGTAGTAAAAAAGTTGCATGTCCCAACCCTATTGGAAAACATAAACGGGTATAATTGGGTTTAATAATTTAGAGTTTAAAGACCAAATTTTTTTTTAATTTTTCTTATAACGTGAAAATTGTACGAGTTCTGCATTTTGATTAATGCAAAACAACAATATTGAATTTTTGCATATAGCAAACACTTTTTTGCACTTGTACCCTTTTGCTTCTTATCCATTCATGTGTGAGACACGTTTATATTTTATTGACAAAAATATTTTTTACATATAATTTTTTCCTCGACTAAAGTCAATTTTAAGGCTGTAGAACATGAAAACTTTCACTGACATATTGAAACTTTTAGATTGTGTAAGTTTGGAAGTCACTGGAAATTGTCTATTTATTAATTTTTAGCTAAATAATTTTCGGAAAATGACGATTTTATTCAAAATCATTGAAATTTCGTTCCCATTCATTGGAAATATTTGAATATATATCGGAACCTCGGAAATGCCGACTACGGAAAGGTTAAGGGGGTGTGAGAACCCCCCTACACCTCCCTTGCTACGTCCCAGTCAACAACTTAAAACATTTTAACATTTTTAACTTTAAAGTCATTAAATCTAAGATTACACCTGAAAATATCATATGTTGACCAGTTTAAAGCGTTATCAAGGAAACTTTCTCACCTCGACTTGAATCGGAATGCCTGCTTGCACGACGGCCGAATGTTGAATGAGAATGGGACGGCACAACAAAGGCCTGGGCGGCGGCGTCCTCACTCTCACTATGATGTCGCTTAAAGAATGGTACGCGTGACTGAAGAAGTGCAACACCTCTGACACTTGCGTAATCATCAGCTGAGTAGATCTGACATTCTAAAAAAACAATGTAAACCTATAGAAAATACACAAATGTCTAAAATGTGTATCTCTTAATGTTAATACAATACCTTCCTACCAAATTCCTAATAAATAATCGAATTACTGGAAGGGTTAACAACCAGGCATAATTTGTTTTCCAGGTATTTTGTAAATTACTCCGGGATATCTTACCTGTGAAAATCGCATATAAGTCCTCAGGGAAATCAATCATATCTCATGGTATTTGTAATTTGGGGGGCACATACAAATGTCAAATTAAAAACATTTGAACAAAAAAATGAATTTTAAAAACAATTGCTTATATATTACGCCATGTTAACCCAATACTTTTATAGCTGTTGAAAATTAATTTTTTTAATCGAAAGAGCATAAATTGAATAGTATATATTCTGGTTTTCGGATTGATTTGAACAACCCTACTCCGCCATGGCCCGCCAGTTTGAAAAAGACTTTTAAAATATTGACAATTTTAAGAGCTACATTTTTTAAAAAACCTATTTTGTGGCTTAAATTTATGCAAAAAAACGCAACAACTTCTTTGGAAATTGATTTTCTCCCTTTTGCGAATTTTTTAAGAATATTCTCTATTAAAATTTTGTAGCTCTAAAAATTTCTTATAAATTAACTATTTGAAATTAGTCCAGTGTGGGAATGGAAAATCTACGCTCGAAGTCGCGTGCTCTGTTTCGCAGGTTTGCTTCTTTAATTACGCAATTATGTATTAACAAAACAAAAAGTAAATTAGAAAGTTTTAAAGCCTATTAAAAATATTTTTAAATATTGTTACCAACAAAGGCAGAAAAATGTAAATTTTAAAGAAACGTGGAAATGTTGCCTAAAATGTTGCCAACTTACTTAAAGTAGAGTAGTGAAAACCATTTTCCATTTTTTTAATGTTTTTTATATACAAGGTGTCCCTAAACTTAGTGGCATAAATTTAGGAGTAGATAAAGCAAGTCAAAAGTATGAGTGAGTATATGAGTATAAGAGACGTATAACCAGCCCCATTTCCTCTTGACTCTCGAACCCCGTACAGGCCTATGTTTACTTACGCCGATTTTTGTTCTTCCCCAGCAACTGCACGGCTTCACCCGTGTTTGCTGGGTGCGAATGTCCATTGCGTTCCGTACTGTCCCCTATTTGGGGCTCGAGAGCGAGAGGCGAATAGTTATAATAGCCATTCCCGGGTTCGCCGAGCCTATGCTATACGCTCAGTGGGGTATGGAGGAGGGACGGGAGGGTGTTGGTTTTTGGGGGACAATTACGCCGACTTAAAACTAAGTACGACGCGGAATCCCCCTAGACCAGTCGATTAGTATTACTCCAAACATTTGGGATTACTATTTGGAGTTGGGGAGTTGTTATTTCGCTGCAGGGGTGTAGTCTCCTAGTCGAGGTCTTTGTCTTGTTCGTTATTGTCATTGTCCGTGTCCTGGTCAGATAGTTCCTGCCCTTGGTAAAGTGTGTCAGTTGTTTTTAATAATTTTTGTCCCAAGCACGTTTTGTGGTAGAGTTCCGTCTTTGTTTATCAAATTCCAAGCATTGCATTTATTCACTAGTCAAACAAATCACAAGCGCGATTATTCTGTTGTCTAATGTTTACGAATCTCGAGTTTGGCTATTAGGCCCCTTTTTTTTTTAATGTGTTAGAATTATGTGATCAATGTTAGTTTATCTGTCAGTCCAGTGTTTATTTTCGGTCTCGATTGGGACCGCCTTACGCATTTGCTGTTGACAGACTTATTGCCCCACACCGCGTGCCCTTCATAGGTTTTAAAGATATCCCAATAAACACTTTAACGATACCTATCACCATTAACATTGCCCGTGTAAGAATTTTTAACACTTTTTAATACAATTTTGCAATGATAGTAATTAAAAACAAAACAATTGTTTAAAGAGTAAAATATGTTCTTAACATAATCATATTTTAAAGTTATTTTAACATTTCAAGTAAAATAAATGTTATGTTTAATAAAATGAATACGGACAATGTTAATGGTGAGTCACCATTAACATTGGTGACAAATACTTTTTTTTTCAAATTTAATTTAAAACTAGCTTGCCCGTGTAAGAATTTTTAACACTTTTTAATACAATTTTGCAATGATAGTAATTAAAAACAAAACAATTGTTTAAAGAGTAAAACATGTTCTTAACACAATCATATTTTAAAGTTATTTCAACATTTCAAGTAAAATAAATGTTATGTTTAATACAGGGTTCCCACCAAGAAAATGAAACAAAATTCCCTGACTTTTCCAGGTTTTCCAGACCAATTTTCATCAATTTCCAGCAATAATTATAGGTACTATGCTCCACACCTCAAAGTCCCACCACGTGACCAAGTACGGAACGCAGTCTTTTGAAAATTTGGCATTTAAGGCTTTTCAGGTTATGTATCTGTCAAAGTATAGTCAATGAAAGAAATCATATTTATAGTGATACCGCTTATGTTTAAGCGTTAAAAGTTAATAAATCTTTATAGTATCACAATAACATGGTTGGTTTAAGAATTTACGAATATAAATACTGCATTTAATGAAATTCCAAAGTGTAAGGTGCAATATAAGTGATATTTTTGTGCATTGGGTCTACATTTCTCCATAAAATAGTTTTAACTAAACAGAATTTATTTAAAAAAATCTAACTTCTCTATTATGAAATAAGAATATCTGTATTTAATATATCAAAGGTAGGTTAATGTATTAGAACAAAAAATTTCATCTAATTTTGTATTTTAAGGTTAGAAAAATCTATTTTGACCAAAATAAATATAGGTATACTAAATAATTGTTGAATATGGTTCAAATTCAAATGAAGCTCTTATACTTCTAATGACAAAACTTGTGCATACCTCTCGGCATACCTACTTTAAGTTATGTAGATTATAAGAAAACAAACAATTTTTAGAGAAACTTGCAATGTGAAAATATTTAATACTCCCATGACATGTGATTTATTAAAATTTTTAAAGTTATAATGATTTTTTGATGTAGATCAAATTCAGTTGAAGCTTTTTAACTATTTGTATTGACAAAACTTTATGTAGGTACACTTTAAGCTGGATAAGAAAAACTACCACATTTTTAAATACCATATTATACAGTCCTTTAAATAATCCAAAATACTTATTTATTTTGGTCAAAATAAATTTTTCTAACCCTAAAATTACAAAATTAGATGATATTTTTGTAATAATATATTAACCTACCTTTTATACAGATATTCTTATTCCATAATAGAGAAGCTAGATTTTTTAAAATAAATGCTGTTTAGTTAAAATTATTTCATGGAGAAAACCATTTGGACCAAATGCACAAAAATATTACTTATTTGGCACCATACACTTTCATTTCAATTTCATTAAATGCAGTATTTATATTCTTAAATTCTTAAACCATCCATTGTTATTCTAATGTTATAAAGATTTATACATTTTTAACGCCTAAACATAATATTATTTCTTTCGTTGACTATACATAACCTGAAAAGCCTTAAATGCCAAATTTTCAGAAGACTGCGTTCCGTACGTGGTCACGTGGTGGGAATTTGAGGTGTGGAGCATAGTACATGTAAAGTAGAGATAGCGATATTATCGATATTCTATCGATAGTTTCGATATTTTAAAAACTATCGAATTATCGATTCTATCGATAGTTACAAACTATCGTCTAGCGATAGTAGAATCAAACAAAATTATTATAACTGTCATTGTTTTTTTATTCGAAATTTGACGTCATTAAAATTTGGGGTTTTAGATGGAAAAATCTAGGGACCATAGATTTACCAACGGTCTCAAATATGTGCTGTCAATTATTTTATTGTTGATGTTTTGAAACTCGATAGTTATTATAGATTTTGATATAAAGGTTTTAATAACTAAGGTAGATATTTATATTGAAATACTATACCATGGAGCCAACACAAGGAGCCCGAACTTAATAGGGGAAATTGACAAAACCTACCCTCTAAATTGCACAAATTAATTTTTTTCACTACCAGCGGCGCTGATTGTCGATACGTACTGACGTCTGCTCTTTTGGTAGCGTTTCGGTACAAATAAGTCAATTGTTTCAGAATAAACGGAACACCAGCGCCCTCTTATCTTAGGAAGATTCTTGTTTACATAAAGTTCGGACTCCTTGTGCTATACTATATTTTTGACTCTCCTGTATTTGGTAGGTTGAAAATGTGCCTACTATAAAAATAAACCCCTTATTTTTTTAATAAAATGTTAAACTATAAGGTTTTGAAATTTTAGTAAACTATCGATAGTTAATCGATAGTATCGATAGTCGCTTTTCTCACTATCGATGCTATCGATAGTCTACTTTTTACCACTATCGCTACCTCTAATGTAAAGTAAAAATATATTTTATTTTTCTTTCTACAATTTTTTTTAACATTTCTTAAAAAATAAAAAAAAAATTAAACAGAACATTCATAAAAAATTTAAAAGGAAAAAAACTTAGTTTATAAGGTCATACATTTTATAAGTATTTGCGCAAATGATTTATTTTAGTTTCAATGCCCGGCTATATTATTTGTAAAAAAGAATCTTTGGCCGGTAATAAAAATAGAAACAATTTTCGGAAAAATCAAGAAAAATTAGTTAAATTCCCTGACTTTTCGTAAAAATTAGTTAAATTCCCTGACTTTTCGTAAAATTCAGCAAATTCCCTGACTTTTCCCTGACTTTTTTACTAATATTTAATTTCCCTGACATTTCCAGGTGAGTGGGTACCCTGTAATAAAATGAACACGGGCAATGTTAATGGTGACAAATACTTTTTTTTTCAAATTTAATTTAAAACTAGCTTAATACAAAATAAATAGCCGGCCCTGTGGTGCATCGCATAAAATCTGAAACGGCCCCGGTATCAGGCGTGTAACGTATGCTTCAATAGATGGTTTATTTAGGTTATGTTATTGCGTGGGCGCTTTGTTTATTTGCCTTCCTTCAAGCTTTGCCTTGTGGCTGAATTGCAAGTCGCGTATGTTATACAATATATATAATACAATAATATAATATTGCGACGTTCCTGCTTGATTCCTTTTCGCACACGTACGCTGTTTTCGGCAATGGTTAATTGTTGCCAGTTTTTTTTTACAGATTTGCGTATTAGGTCATGCAATAATACTTATCAGGGTCGGCTGGTGATGGTGATGGTGATGATCCCTTTCGCTCTTTGTTAGACTTGTTTTTTCTTTAAATAGGTGATTCCTTGACCTGTCCCCTGTCACTTTATTACTTCGTGTCCGCTCGAACCTCACTCCTATGTTCACCGTTGAGAGATTGTCTTTTGAGGAATTATTTAATGTTTCTATTAACCCCTCGGAGAACAGGTACCCTGATTTCACCTGTACCGTTATGTATACATACTATAGTAACCCAAATAGTAGCACTGTTTCGCACCGTACTTTACTCGACTACACTGTATATAATAGTTATGTTTCTTTAAGAATTTTATTGTGGATCGGCACCGAGCTCTCGAACTACACATCCGCTCGCTTCGCCGGTATCGACAGTATATGAGTAGATAAAGCAAGTCAAAATAAGACGAAAATCTAAATAAATATTTTTCCTAATTACGTATGTTAAAAAGATACAGGGTGATAAAATGTTACTTATCATATCAGTTTTTTTAATATAACTTCTACTGTGGTATACTTGGAAATGTGATATTTTGCGAACAGTCACTTACTACCAAAACACATATTCACACATAATTACAATTGTTCAAGTGAACACAGCGTCATAGAAACAGGGGCTGCTTAAGCTTATTGTCCCATACAAACTTTGAGGTTAGGTTTTTATACCATTTGATGCAATTTTTCGATTATTCAGTTTGGCTACTATTAAAAAGGTGTACCTCTCAAACTTCGATAAAATAAACCGTTTCCGAGATATTCGAGATTTCAATAATTGTACCTATATGATAACAAATTTTTTTAATTGAAAAAACTATTATTTTTTTAATGTGACGGTCAGGGCAAAAAGTCCTGAGGCTCATGGAATGCTCTTTTTAGTTTTTTCAATTAAAAAATAAAATTTGTTATCATATAGGTACCTTTTAATCCTTTTAAATAATGCGATATAACAATTATTGTAATCTCGAATATCTCGGAAACGGTTTATTTTATTGAAGTTTGAAAGGTACACCTTTTTAATGGTAGCCGAACTGTGTAATCTAAAAATTGCATCAAATGTTATAAAAACTTAACCTCAAAGTTTGTATGGGACAATAAGCTTAAAGCAACCCCCGTTTCTACGACACTGTGTTCACTCAAACAATTATAATTATGTGTGAATATGTGTTTTGGTAGTAAGTAACTGTTCGCAAAATATCACCTTTCCAATACTACCATAGTAGAGGTTATATTAAAAAAACTGATATGATAAGTAACACTTTATCACCCTGTATCATGGAAACATAAGTGATTAGGAAAAATATTTATTTGGGTTTTCGTCTTATTTTGACTTGCTCAATCTTTTCCTAAATTTATGCCAATAAGTTTAGGGACACCTTGTATATTTAAAGTAACTGTGCGACAAACGGTTCGTAAGTTATTAAAGAAAAACGTAAGGTGTTTTTTTAAGTTGGGTCGCGGGGCTAGTTCGGATTAATACAAAAACCAGAATACATACTACATATTTTTTATTAAAAAAAGTATTGGGTCAAAAAAATGCAGAACCCGCAGAAGTTTATAAAACAATGGAACTATTTAAATTTGATTTTGAGAATTAAGACTCGCACTCGTCTATTACAAAACTAGCTTCTTCGGCGCTCGTTTAAACTTCTCGTGCGAGAAAATGTCGTCATTAGTTCTTTAATATACTATTATTATAAAAAATAGTGTTAGAGTACTAGAGTAAGTTTACTTTTTGGAAGAGTTTTCGAATTTTCCCTCCGCTTCAGGGATATATTCAAAAATATGAAAATATAATGGAATTTTACCATAGAAACGCGTTTTAATTTTTTGGACTAAAATTCATATTTTTTAATATATCTCTAAAACAAAGGGAAAATTTAAAAAGGTATAAACTGCGAAAACTGCAAAATTTTGTATAAAGAATGCATTTTTCTCGAAAAGTTAATAATAAAAAAGTTATTCTTCTGGTAAAGTCGATCCAGGGACATTCTGTAGAAAAAAAATTAAATGGTAATAAACTTACTTCTGTGGCTACAACAGGATCCTCCTGCATAAATGTCTGGTATCTTTCCAAAAAGGGCGCGAATCTGGTCTGCAGCTGACCAAGCATTGTCAACAATTCTGCCATTTCCGATGTTCGAGATGCCATCCTAGAGAACAAAGAGACTTAACAATTATTCAGGCAAAATTTGCAGAAACATACTCTGTCAATGCGTTTCCTGAGGCGTTTTCTGACCTTGGTTGTTCCGACAAATTTTCCGTCGAAGATCCTCTGGGTGTCGAGGTGCCCGGCGTGGACGATGTTGATTGGTCGTTGGATTGAGAAGCGCCCCCTGCTGCCGTGCTTGTGTTATTTTCCTCTCTAGTGATTGGTCTAAATTATTAATTAGTAAATGGACCATTCTTAAAATCTTAAATGTCTGGCATTATCAAATGTTCTCAGTATATTCTCCTATTTGTTTTATTACAATTTAATAAAATTATGTTAGAAATTAAATATTAGTGTATTTTATACTCATAATAACAGTGCCTATAAGTTATTGAGTAATGCTTTAATGCTGCCTTTGGGAAAACAAGAATTTGATTGAACTTTTTAATTGAATTATACTTACACTGAACCGGCATTGTATAAAGAATCTTGAACCACTGACAAAACCATAGCCTCATCAATGGGTTCATTAGTATTACTTGGAACAATAACTCTAGCCTCAATAACAGGTGTCACTTCTTCTTCTTGATTTTCTTCTGGTGGAGTCTGTTCACTTGGCCTGGCAGATGGATTTTCTAAAAGACGTATAACGGCTTCGGCTTTGCGCAGCATTCTAAAATATCAAACATTTAATACAACTATAAATGTTAAGATTGAAAGTTGTACCTTTTGGCGACATTTAATCTACTTCCAGCAAGACTGTGGGTCGGCGGTGGGGGTATGAAACCCTGCGATTCCATCAAGTTGGACGGAAAGGCCATCGACCCCAAATACATGGTGTTTCCATGATCGAAACCTCTGAGCACACCGCGTCTTGGTCTTTGTGGCGAAGCTGTTCTGCTGGGTCTCTGGTTTGTGTTTGGTGGAGGTCTTTGGACCAAGTGTACAACTTTGCCATTGACATCTGATATAAAATGTTGTATTAAACTTGTTTAATTGGGTTTGAAAGGTTAAGCCCAGCGCTTCTCAAAATAGTAGTTTTACATAATTCACAATTAGGTCACTTGAAGTAATAATAAATACACTTAATTATAGATATACTATGTATTCATTAGGAAATATAGTTTTTAAATATCACCATTCCTTGATTACCGTTTTCTCAGGATATAATTTAATGTTTTTTTTATTTTATTGCTCTTTTGATAATGAATAATTCAAAATTATTTTTTTAGTGCCGTAAACACGGGTGACTTTGCACCCCGCGGGTGACTTTAACCCTTTTATGAAAAATCTTTTCGCGCTCGATAAAATTAACATTTATAATTTGTTGGTCTAAACCTGTCAATTGAGCGCAGTGTTGCCAATGGTGTTAACATAATTTACACACAGATTCTGTTAAAATTCCACAATTTTGCCAACTATTCCACACATTAGGGATTTTGGTTTTGTTAGGTTTCTTTGGTAATTACATAAAGGCGTTTTCCAAAACTTACTAGATTACTTACTTTGTCAAAAAGTCTATTGTTATAAGTTATAACTTATAACCGGTTTTAAGTTACTCGATAATTTACCCTTGTAAGTTTCCAAAAACACCAAATTTTTTTAATTTTTAAATTAAGCCGAAATCACGCTGTATATATAGAAATCTGCACATAAATTCGTCCATATAGAAATCTGAACAAAAATTCGTCTCTATTTAAATGCTTGTTATAAGCATTGTTAATTTAAAGATAAAGATTACACGCAAATTCCACACATTAATGTATTACACACAAATTACACACAAAAAAATAAATTCCACACAATGCGTGGATTTCCACGTACATTGGCAACACTGATTGAGCGATTCTATTGAGTTTATATTACAGGAAAATCAGTGTTTTAAAGAAAGAAATGGGATTTATTACACTTTAAAATTGTATATATCGCATCAGTGCAAAACTCTTATAAATACACGCGTTACAATTTCTATATTATGCGCAATCCTTTGGAATGATGATCCTTGGTTAACTACAGGTCGATTTTTTATTTTTTTTATCGGTAATCCCTTGCAACAGATATATGTCGCTGCTAACATGTGTCTAATAAAAATTAAATAAAATATTGAGTTAATTTTATACGGAAAATACACTGTGTTTCAAAGTCACCCGCAACCAGGGGGTAACTTTGCACACCCAGTTTTTAATTTTTATTTTTGAAACTCAGACCTATGTAATATTATAACATAGTTATTATGAAAGAGCAACTCAAGACTCAAATTTTGGTATACAAAATTTAATGTTTATGATTGTTAAAACCACAAAAATTTTAAGCTTAAGTTTAAAGTGAGCTAAAGCCACCCGTGTTTACGGTATTGAGTTTTTTGACTCTCTACAAACAACATAGAAAAATAAATCATTCAATTGCATTAAGTAGATCCTAAAAGTACAGAAAGACTGATGAAAAACGTAAAATTTTCTATTAAAAAAGCCAACTAAAAATGATGATTTTTTGGAAACTGCTTTTCCTAACTCAGCCAGCAGTATATAATGAAGTGTGAATTATTTAGAACCTTACCATTTCGTGCAGCGCTTTAAAATTTAATATTTTTAAAAAGAAGAAAAGTCACTGAATCAACTGTAATCAATTTTTAATAATAATAAATATTGTTTTAAATGTGTAGTTATTTATACTTTTAGAATTTTATTTTTATTATTTATTTTTAATGAACTAAGTATAAACTTTATCTTTAGGTTTTAGTATTTAAAAAAAAATCCTAAATTTGGTTATAAAAAAAATATCAAATAATAATTAAACCAATTTTAATTCCATAAATTTGTCTGTAGACCTGTTTAATTAATTAATAATAAAGTACTCCTCATGTGTTATTTAATATTTTCTTAGTATTTGTCATAATCAATAACAATTTAAAAATTATAATTAAAATAATTGCTAGTTCAATGAATTTTTACAATAAGCTATAGCAATGTTATTGACATTAAAATTTATAAACACAGAAAACACAATATGTTCAAAAAATGAAAAATATGAACAGTACTGCATAAATTATGCAAAGCTTAAGATAATATTCTTTATTATTTATTAAACCATAAACTTTTGTATTTTTATATGTTAAAATATACAATATATTTTGCGGTTAATACCAAAAAACTTTTTGGTTACAGTGATTTTAATGTTTATTAATTTTTTAGGAAAATAATAATTTAATAGTTAAGGTTATAAGATAAATATGTACACTAACTTATACAGGGCGCTAACAAAAGGTTGTCAAAATATTTACTAGGTGGTAAAACTTCTCAAAAAAGTGTGTGAAATCCTAGGCGAGCTACTGTAAGTTTAAGGAAAAAAGTTTATATAAACTTAGCTACATAATTAGGTGCGCAACCGCGTTATTTTGGATATAGGGTGTTCAAAATTGAAAAAAAAAGGTCTGTGCAGGGTCGTTGATGAACTTAAAATCAATTTTACTAGAAAACTGTGTGTTTAATCAAGATAAGACAAAACAACTTTCTTCACATTAAAAATCAAATTATTTAATACTGTTGGCACAAAGTCAATACACAAAAAAGTTAAGGTTAAATAAAGTCCCACCCTATTAGGTATTCATATCAAATTTTACTCTTTTATCTTTTTAGGTTTTGAAACTCAAGCTAACTTAGGAGTTGTTTCTTGCAATACTTTTATATACCATGACCTTTCATAAACATCAAAATCATCTTGATTTCAAAGATGCATAATGTTTTTTTTGTTTTTTTGCATTGTCATTACCAATATTAATAAACATTTGAAATTTAAAAAAGTTTCATTGGGGTTTATCAAAAGTTGCCTCTTAATTTTATATTTTACTGATTTTGTTAAGGGTATAATGACAATTTATTAGGTGGCATATTAAATTTATCTTATTAGTTTAATTTTATTTCAGTGTTTTTTTCATATATAACTTGACAGAATAAATATTTGTAAATAGTAAATATTGTGCATATTAGGGTGTGCCAAAAAAACTCGATATTTTTTTTTGCTTGCTCTCCACCCAAAATATCGTAGTATATGTCCGAACAAATATTCTGTTAAAAGCGGAGCTCATAATTTCAATTTTAAGAGGTCCTCCATCGAATCTGAAGTTTTGCCGCTTAAATAACACAGAAAATTGACTTTTTTACCTTATTTATTCTTGCAACCTAGGAAGATTTTTTTTTCATAAAATCCATGACTAATTCTTACAAAGCATTAAATTTGGACAAAAAAATCTTATCAAGCCGAATTTCTATTTTCATTATTTGATTTTTTACAGAGCTTTAAATTTAAAGTTAATAATACAAAAATGATGACTTTATACGTCTGTAACTTTTAGAATATTGACGATACAAAAAATTCGCCTTAAACTTTTTTGTGGTCCATCAGACAAGCTAAAAAATTGCCATTTGACTTTTTCGTCTAACTTCAATAGTTTAGCTAAAAAAGGCAAAAAACGTAAAATTTTAAATTTAAAGCTCTGTAAAAAATGAAATAATGAAAATAGAAATTTGGCTTAGTAAGATTTTTTCGTCCAAATTTAATGCTTTGTAAGATTTGGTCATGGATTTTATGAAAAAAAATTTCTTCCTAGGTTGCAAGAATAAATAAGGTAAAAAAGTCAGTTTTCTGTGTTATTTAAGCGGCAAAACTTCAGATTTGATGGAGGACCTCTTAAAATTGAAATTATGAGCTCCGCTTTTAACAGGATATTTGTTCGGACATATTCTACGATATTTTGGGTGGAGCAAGAAAAAAAAAATTTCGACTTTTTTGGCACACCCTAGTGCATATATACTCTAAAACTCACAACAACCCTTGTATTTTATAAAAATATGTTGTTTTTTGCTCCAAAAATACAGTTTATCAAGATTAACACTCAATCAAATCTGGTTTTAATCACAAAATAAAGATTTTATATGGGTGAGTCGCAAGCCACACTATATAAAATATGAAATAAACCCAATATAAAAAATTAATCATTTATGTAATAAACCTCAAAATATTCTAAATTTAGGTAAACACTGGTATATTATGTATTAAGCTTAAATATTTAGGTATTTTGTAATTTTTTAATATAAATGGCTTATGCTTTCCAGCCCTGAAACTGTTTCAAGCCATTTACCAGCCTCAAAACAAAGCTGTTTTGTGCAACATTTAACAAAAAGTTACTGTATTAATTTACTTCATTTTAAGCTGAAACCACACACAAATAAAGTAAGGTAAACATGACATTGTGTTTTTTAAGCCATCAATAACCATTTTGGTGTGTATATTGGAGACAAGGGTCTCTGGTGTATATTATGCTCATACCCATTTTTATGATGTACTTACCATATTCACTTAGTTTAGATGAATCATTCAACACTCTACCACAATAAATGATTCTCTGTGTGTCAGCAGGTATATTAACTGTATCTGCAATCTTAGCTTTGAACTGTTCGACTGTAATCTACAATTATATTTATAAATATATATAAACATTGCAAAGAGTTTTGTCAACTTACATCATCTTCCACAGTAAATGGATGATTTTGAGAATCTAAAGTCCTCACAGTTAGTTCAATCATAATTCTAGTTCTGAAACCCAAATATGTTATTAGGTCACTTTAGCCACAACACTAGTGTGGTCATAATAAGTATTATCCAACAACTTTAAACTGACGATTTTAAGTATTTTTTTTTACTCAGGGAATGAAATGAATATTTTAAAAACAAAATTAATTGACATTACAATACCTCGATCTATTCGGACTTTTGTGTCACTATTTCTTTCCACAATTCAATTAATTACACTTTACTCAAAACTACATCAACGATATTGATATTATCATGCAATATTTTTAGTATTGGTTTTATGCCTAGGGTTTTGTGGCGTAAATTCACGCCTAAATGAAAACAAAATGGCCTCTTCTCAAATTACAAGTGCACCAACTCAAGAAATTGAAGTACACCACATTACAGTTTTCTGTTTTATAAGTTTTTTTCTTATGTTTTTTCAAAATACTTGTTTGGGTTTTCTCCTTTGGCTTCCTTCCTTCCTCCCCTACAAGTAAACAATACAATCCCGTACGAGAATCTATAAACGGCACTACGGTTTTCGTATTGTTCATCTTTTACGGGAGGAAGAAAGGAAGACAATCTATAAATCAGGCATTAATCGCCAAGGATTTAACCACAGAACATAAGAGAATTAAAAGCGCTGTAGTCAAAAGTGGCAACAAGCATTGGTTGATTTTTAAATCTAGCAGCCTTGGAAAACCGAGTTGTTTTTTTCGGCGGGAAATTTGAATGATTGGCTATTTGAATTTTTATTTAAAACAAGGAAATATAACCGAAAATTGTTTAAATTTTATATTTTTTTGATTTTAAAAGGATTATATACGTAATATTGTCCATTAAAAATCAAAAAATATAAAATTTCGACAATTTTCGGTTATTTTCCACTAATTAAGTGGAAAAACACACATTTTTGTTTTTTTTTAATAAATATATTTAACAAAATATACACTTAATTCAATTTTAAATTAAAGTATAACCAACAAATAATATTTAAATGAGGAGAAATTCAAAGTTAATTATTCTATAACTTTTAGTGAAATTTAAAAAAAGGTTTATCAAACGTATAATAATTTATAATTATTTAGGTATAATTTATCAAAAAGTATGACATTAAATTGATAATTACACTCTTATATATGCCTACAAGACAATTATCGCTTGATTACAGCGATAATGTTCAGAAATTTTAATTTTGTGTCACATAATAACAATTTTTATAGGTTTTTTAAGATTTCTTAATAAAAATGCAAAGGTTTATAAACAAATTAACTCTAAAACATATTACAAACCATCAAAATATTTGATAAATTCTTGATAAACAATAGTTCAATACTTATTGGTCCTTATTAGAAAACAACCTTTTAAAACAGTTCGAGTATATTATATAATTAAAATTATTTTAACTTTGAATATGTAATTCATAAAAATAAATAATTTTGTAATACATACTGACTTATTGTATACCTATAGGTATTTCCAAATTTCTTTATTGGAATAAACCAAAAGGCTTATGCCTAAAATGTTTAATGCCATAATTTTTAGGAATTATGATTATAATTTGTTTTTAAAATAAGCACAATACTGTAGTTTTGTAAAATATAGAATTTTTGGCAAAAAGGAATTCCTACTTATCCAAAAATTAAATTACATTCTTTGGAATATTTAATTTTTAGTAAAATTGGTTTAATTAAAATTAATAATCAATAGAACCAATGTTAAAAATATTGTTATTATGTATTTGGCAAAATTAAAATCTTTATGTATGATTTAACTTTCTGGTCAATATTAAGTATTAATTGTCTTTTTTCTTGTTCATGATTCTTTTTCTTGATTCAATGAAGAATATTCAACTGCAATTAATATTTTCTATGTTCTTTTGCAAAGAAGTTTGATAAATTCAAGTCCTGTCTGCTTCTTCCATTAACACAAACCCAAACCTGAAATCAATACCAATTTTAAAATCAATTTAAATTGTAAAACAATTGATATTACCTAATAATTTTTAAAATAAAATAAAAATAATGTATCAATATTTATGCTACTTATTTATGCTAAAGGTAATTGTTTTACCAGCATAAAAATAATTGAATGGTTTATTGTAAAAACAAGCTAAGTAACTAACTAAATATGATTTTGTTTATTTTTTAATTTAAAAATCTTATTAAAACTAATAATAAATCTTATTAAAACTAATAATGGTTTTAACATGAAAATATCCTTTTTTAATATCCTAATAAAAATCCTAAATAAAATATTTCTGCCTCAAAATAATAATTTAAAGCAGAAGTGTATGTAATATAAAAATGTCAGATTGCTTGTTTTAACAATAAACAATTTAATTATATTTGGAGTAAATACTAAAAGTGTACTTTCTTTAATGGTCAGGCTTTTTCTTTTTTTATATTTGGATTGTAACTATGGATGTGTGAATATTGAATTCAAGAATTATTTGAATAGTTTGAATGTTTCAAATTTTTAAATGGTTCAATTAGAAAATTAAAATTTTTCAATAGTAATTGAAGAAATGGAACATTGGAATTGTAATTTAAAATTTATTTTGAAATAAAAAGAATGTTATTTACTTGTCATTAACCCTTAATTAACTTATTTGAATAGATTATGATTGTAATTATTGAACTATTCAAATAATTCAAACTATTTATGTAGTTTAAATATTTAATTTTAAGTTTGAATTAAATATTACTACTTAATTTATTTGGTAAAAATATTCACACACCACCAATTGTAACTAAAAATGTATTCTAAATAAAAAAAATATATCTACCTATTATTAAAAAAAATTGGTCAAATATTTCTGTTTGGGATTGACGAGTAAAGCTTTCATTCTTTTTCTTCATGCAGGATAAATCTTGTCTAATTGTTCCATTATTGCAGAAGCTAAAATTAATTATATTAAATTAAAATCAATTTATATTGTAGCAAAAAATAATTGAATTAAAAACTTTAAAAATAATTCTTTAAAAGGTTTGCTTATGAATTTTCTAGTTTTTTATGTACATTAAAAATGTCAGACTTTCAGATAGAACAAATGAAGGGGCCAATGCAAGAATTCTAGCACTTAAGTGCCTAAGTCGCATTTTCAATTAAATTTACATTGTGGCTTCATCTAAGAGTGTTTCACATAAGGTTTCAGGTGGTATTTTCAAAGTGGCAGAAATATGTGCCCAAGTGCCTTAGTTTGCATTTACTTCAATGGGAGTTTGCCTGGTTTTCAACTTATGTGAAAACTCTTGGATGAAGCCACAATAACAATTTAATTGAAAATGTGACTTAGACACTTCTTGCATTGACCCCTTCAAATAAAATAACTATAAAAATACTGTAAAAGATTATCACCCTGTAGTTCAAAATGCTATATTTATGTAAAAAAAACATGAAAAGCACAAAACATTTGTAATATAATCAAGTTTTGAACTGTATGCTTACAAGTGTTTAATATGACCTCTTCCAGCTGCAAACATCTTGTAGATACTCAGCAGTTCCAATTCGTGTATTCAGCTTTTACAAATCTTGGGGCTCATAAACGTTATCTTTTATAAAGCCCCAGAGAAAGAAGTCGCACACTGTGATATCGGTTGAACGTGTTGACCATACATGAAGTGCCAAATTGTTGGGCCCTTTACGTCCGATCCACCGATGAGGGGGCTGTTCGTTCAATAACCTCCGCTCCACCAAATGCCAATGTAGTGGGGCCCTGGACCCAGGTCCAGTTTTCGCGTAGCTACATCAAATAATTTTAACAAAAACATACATTTTGACAAAGATTATAGGTATATTTAACATTTTGTATAACAGCAACTAGTGTCGAGAAAAAAAACGTTAAAAACTGTTTTGATTGAAAGTTTTGAATCAAAACGCTTTAAAACTATTTAAATTCTATCAAAACTTGCATTAGTTAGTCTTTACTCTTTGCCATAGGTTTCATTACATAAAAAGAATTTTATTAACTACATGTGTTTTCGGTAAACATAGAGAAAAAAACCGATACGGTTTATCACACGTATTTTCTTATTTTAAACGCGGTAATGATGCTACAACTAACTCAAACTTGACTAAAAACACCTAATAAAATGTTAAAGCCGAAATTAACAAGTTTACTTACCTAAAACAAAGAAAATTTGGATTATAAAACTTCGTCCACACCACTTTAAAAGCCGTATTACAGCCGGCAATTCTTCTTGCAGCAATTTTTCTTGCAGCAATTCTTCTTGCCATCTAGTTTTCAAGGCCGTCTTGCATGTTGTTTTACAGCCGGCAATGGCAAGAAAACTTGCTGTTTATTACCGTGCTACCAACCCAAGAAAAATATACGATTTTGTAAGGTTATGTTAACATTGTGTTTACGATTTTATAAGGTTATATTGTGTTTATTTGTGTATTTAAAAATGAATGAAATGGATACTAAAAAAAAGCAAAAAGCTGCAGTTATTTGTATTATGCTCGCTACCGCTGCTCTCTTGTCGAGAGAGACGTCTGAAAGAAGGCCAAGAAGGTGGTGGGTGAGGCCTTGGTTAGATAGGAGCAGAGGAAACATAAATTTAGCAAAAGAATTATTAAACACTGATGTCGAAAAATATAGGAATTATTTAAGAATGGATAACAATACTTTTCAAAAACTTTTATCCAAAATTAATAAAAAAATAAGCAAGCAAAGTATTTATCGTGAAACTATTTCAGCAGAATATAAATTAATTATAACATTGAGATATCTTGCTACAGGGGAAAGTTTTCGTAGTTTAATGTACAACTACCGAATATCTGAATCCACAATTTCCTTGTTTATACCGATAGTGTGCCAGGCCATTTATGATGAATTAAAAAGTGAATATTTGAAGGTATGTAACTAATATAATGTGGGAATTCCTAATGTTTTCCTAAAAATATAAAACTATAACTTAAATTTACATTATTTGTATTATTTTAGTGCCCAACAACTGCAGCCGAATGGTTGGAAATTGAAAGAAATTTTAAAAATTTGTGGAATATACCGAATGTTATAGGTGCAATGGATGGAAAACATGTTGGTATAACTGCACCAACAGGTCAAGGCTCTGCTTTTTTCAACTATAAAAAAACGCATAGCATAGTTTTACTAGCGCTTGTGGATGCAACCTATAAATTTAGCTACATAAATGTTGGAATGAATGGAAGAGTGTCTGATGGTGGGGTCTTTTGGAACAGTGATTTGGCAAAAGCTCTCGAGACAAATAAATTAAATGTACCTGAAAACAAACCACTACCAGGAAGAGTAAAATCAGTACCACATGTCATACTAACTGATGCTGCTTTTGGTCTCTCTACCTATATTTTAAAACCATATCCTTTAAAGAACATGACAAGAGAGCAAAGAATTTTCAATTACAGGCTAAGTCGAGCTCGTCGTGTGGTTGAAAACTCTTTTGGGATATTGGCTAACCGTTTCAGAGTTTTATTGAATACAATTCCATTAAAACCTATAAAGGCAAAAGTAATAACCCAAACATGCTGCGTACTTCATAATTTTTTGACCACAGAAAATAAAACTTTATATTTAGGACAACATCCCGAAGAGGAGATTGATAAAAGATATAGGTTTATTTTTGGCCTAAGTAGGCAAAATAGTGGTAGGCCTAGAAATGAAGCCCTTGCTATAAGGGAAGAATTTAAAGAATATTTTAATGGGTGTGGTAGTGTTCCTTGGCAGGATGATTTAATTTAGTTAGGATATAATATAGTATTATTATGTATACATTAATTTAATAATAAAAATATATTTCAACCCAATTATTACAACAGGGTATCTCATATTTTACCATTCAATATTTTAATACCTAGTTATTTTTTTTTTATTTTAAAATTAGACTCCAAATTATAGTAAGTATACCTAATATATTATTATAGTATAATATTATTATGATTATGTCTGATTTTAAAGCAATGGTTTAATATTTTGAAGAAAAAATATTTATTATCCTATAAAATATTAAACTTTTGCTTTAAAATCAGACATCAAAATCATAATATATCAAATAATTATATTATGATTAAGATGTCCAATTTTTAAGCAAAGGTTAATAATTAAAATATGAGATTTGCCCCTTTGTAACAACTTGACGATGTATTGTAAATTATTTTAAAAATGTCTTATTATCTATTTTATTTTCCCCTTCACTTTCATTTTGTAGGATATGTTATAAATAAATGTAGGCAATGAAATTATAAAAATATATTTAAGTATATAAAATTATATTTATTACTAATTTTGCCTGTCTCTACACTTTCTTTTTGTAGTAAAAATTGCCATCATGATTGACTCCTTTAAATCATCCAAAAGGCCTTCATCATCAATTTTCTCCATTTCTTCTGCCACATATCTGAAATAAATTACAAATGAAATAAATGAATATGCAAAAGTTACAATAACTCTTGAATTAGTCAGTATGTCAAGAAGTAATATACCTTGCAAAAGCCAAATGTTTTAGGCCAGTTGTTTCAGCCTTGTTTAGCCCTTCCAATGCTGATACAGCAGTCGAAAATAGTCCTGACAGTTGTTCTTCTGATTCCCTGGATTGTTTCCTTTTTTTGCCCCGGCCAGTTTGTGGAGTAAAGGAACTTTGGGAACTGGATCCTGAAGGTAAGGGTTGAGACAAAACATTTGTCGGTGAAAAAACATTATCCCTCAAATCTTCCACATCTCCCTCGTATATTATTTCAGAATCGAGCTAAAATAAACCAAAGTTATTGTAATTATTTGTAATTTGTACGCCATAAATAAAATTTCACACTCACCTCATCTTCAAGTATTGATGTAGTGCATATATTTGAAGGAAGCATTAAATTCGACTCTCCACTGCTGACCACCTCCGATCCCTGCTGCAAAAAAACTAACTGGTCGAAACACCATAATTTGGGTGTATATACATCGTCATGCGAAGCCCCTGATACCTCACTTTTTTTTATTTTTGAAATTTCAGACAAAAACTGGGTTCTTATACCATGGATTTTCTTTTTAATAATTTCACCTGTTAACTCATTTGATGAGAGTTTTTTTTTGTTAAATTCTTCAGCTATTGCTTGAAAAGCCTTACTTCTCTGGTTTCTGTCATGGTACCCTTTATAAGTTGTTAAATACAGACATGGATACTGCTCATACAATTGTATAAGTAGGGTGGTGTCCTCCCTGTTCCAGTCATAAGTACTGAAAGAGGTTAATTTATTAGATTCGTAATATTTATTATAATGTAATAAATTTAAACCTACCTCTTGCTACACGCCATATTTAACTAACCACAGATTATTAATGATTAAAAAACACAAAACTTTGAACACAATGCCAATCATAAACAAATAACGACAAAACAAAACAAGCGAACAAGAAGAGTCTATCTAGGGAATTTGTAGTAGGGTTGGTAACATAAAAGTTACCAGATTTCACCCCAGAATTGCCATAAAACGGCAATAAAAATCCATCCGGACCGATTTTCGGCAATTGCAAGAGATTCGTCGAAAGGTCTCAACCGCGCATGCCTATGGCAAGTTTCATTGCAATTGCCGAAAGAATTGCCGGCTGTAATACGGCCTTAACAACGCTGTCGGCCATTTGTAATTTCTCAAACCGAACATCAACGAACAAGTTGGAAAAGACCAATCACAACAAAGTAAGAATCACGTGGTTAATAACTGGGGTTTGTCAAAAACAACTTGGGTTTCAACGCATGCTAGATTTATTTTACTGTTGCCTGTTGTCAAATTCCCCTTATACCCCCCTGGATTTAACACACACCAGCGCCCTCTTATTTTAGGAAGCTATTTGTATACATGAAATTTTCAGAGTAAATTGGTAAAATCTGTTGGCAAAACTGGTTTTTTTGTTGTTCCAACCATAGAAATAATCAGCGCTGCCAGATTTGGGGTTTTTACCCCAAAATGGGGGATTTCATCTTGCTTTGGGGAAACTTTGGGGTAATGCTCGATTTGGGGTATTATGGGGTTGTTTAGGAAATTCCAGAAACTCCTTTGATGTTTATGGGGATTATCTAGTTAAATTTTAATAACATTAAGTATAAATAAATTATAATTAGAGGATTATCGACAGCAAGTTTTGCCAACTTTTTACGAACCAAAACACTGTGTCGTATTGGTTGCCTAATGTATTCTTCATCTTACTTAAGTAAGGGCTCCTTGTGTAGGCTACAATTGTAGCCTACACAAGGAGCCCGAACTTAATAGGGGAAATTGACAAAACCTGCACAAATTAAGTCTTTTTTTCACCACCAGCGGCGCTGATTGTCGATGCGTACTGACGTCTGATCTTTTGCTAGCGTTTCAGTACAAATCAAACAAATGTTATGTGTATTAATAAACGGAACACCAGCGCCCTTTTAAGATTCCTGTTTACATGAAGTTCGGACTCCTTTTGTAGGCTCCATAGTTCTTCATATAAAATCCCGAAGTGGTATTTTGGATTTTGACATTAGGCAACCCATTTCGTAAGAAGTTGGCATAACTTTCTTTAAAGTAGTATTCAGCACATAGGTAATAAAACAAGCGGCTAGGTAAAGCTCACGGGAGGAATAGGTGCCAAACTTATTTTCAAGTTTAGACTGATGCCCGAGAATTGACAAAAAGGGGTACAACGCTATGTCTATTTTCACGCTAACGTGAACACAATTTAATTTTTATTCTCACGCTAACGTCAAAATTTTAAGATTTTATGTTACGATATAATTAGTTGGTTTGTGTTAGTTAACTAACACAAACCAACTAACCTAACCCAACACTTTTTAACAAAGGAACCACAAATTTATAAAATAAAAAAATACAAAAAGTTCGACAACTTCTGAGTATCGAACCCGGTACCTGTCTCATGCTAAGCGACCGCCCTACCATCTGAGCTATCCAGCTTTACTTTAATTTTATAACGCTCGGGGAATAAAAACGGATTTACAGTGTGTGACGTCAGTCGGGATCGAATACGAACACCATTTCCTCCCGTGATCTTTATCTAGCTGCTTATGATAATAAATCATACAATTGTTATTTACGATTTTTTTTTCAGTGTATATTTATTAAAAATTGACAAAGACGTTGTTGACGCCACTTTTAAATAAATCATTTCGCGCGATTTTCTATTTGGGGTATTTTGGGGTTTTTAGCTGCAACATTTGGGGGAAATTCAAGTTTTCAATCTGGCAGCGCTGGAAATAATACTCTATTATTTCTATGGTTCCAACTCTTATGTTCCAACTACTGCATATTTTTCAAATGAACTACTGCAGAGATGAACTACTGTAAGGACACAGATGAACACAGAAGTTCTGTGACAGAACCCTAGACCAGAACAAACCAGGATTTTAACCTTAAAATCATAGATTAATTTAAAAAAAATGGCCAAACTAAAAGTTATAATTTTTGATTTAGGTAAGATAGTTTTAAAACAAAAATAACTTCATATAATTATTGGTAATTTTTAGATTACACCTTATGGCCATTTTGGGTTGACACCCATGTAGATCCTCCATTTAAAAAGAGGTTTAATTAAATTGGATTTGTTTATTTAAATAAACAAATCCATAAATCACAAACTAAATATGAGGTTTTAGTGGTTCAAAAATTGTTGACTCCAGAGGAAAAACGATAAAATGTTATTCTGAAGTACCGCAAGTCTTGGAAATCCTGCATAAACAGGGATATACTTTAGCAGTTGCTTCTCGAACATCAGAAATTAAAGGAGCCAGGCAGTTGATAGACTTATTTGGGTGGGAAAAATATTTCAGTGTTAAGGAAATATTTCCTGGATGTAAAGTAACTCACATTAATAAGTAAGTTTGGTTCTACATTTTGTTTAAATATGTTTAAAAATATATTTTAGTATTAAAAAACAGACTGGTGCTAATTATGAAGAAATGTTATTTTTTGATGATGAACAAAGAAATATATTTGATTTAACCAAAATTGGAGTTGCCTCAATTTTAGTTAAGGATGGAGTAAATAAAAAAGTCATAGAAGAAAGTTTACCTAAATTTTTACAGAAATCTAAATAGGAACCAATTTTAATTTATTTTCGTAAATTAAAAATTTTTAAACATAAAGGTGTTTTATTTTATAAATGTGAAATTGTTTTATTTGCTGCAATTTAAATTGTCTATAAATGTTGTCCCAAACAGCTGCAGTTAATAACATATGACATAATATGTAACATATTAATTATCTTTATGACCTTAAAGTTATTAAATAGACCTATAGGTCAAATCAAATACGTTTGATCTAAGTAAGAATTATTTAATGTTTATTAAAATTAAATATTCTGTATATACATTATTAGATTTAACATTATGATTACCGCAGAATTGGGTGACTTGGGACGATTTAGAAATTCAATTTACCATGGCTGAAAAACGATAAAGTTTTTATCAATTTTAAATATGCCATATCATGCCAAATAGTTGAGGCTATAACTTTTGATGCAGATCTGTACAAAAAAATCGACCCATTTTGAAAAAAAAAATAAAAACATGTCTGTCCCAAGTCACCCGTCGATTTGGAACACTTGGGACACAGTATTAATTTTCATGTTTTTATAAAGTAATGCTTCTTTAACGTGACTTGGGACAAATAAATGCTTTTTAAAAATATTTAATTGTACAAATATTTTATAAAGGAGAAAAAAAACTTCTCTTTTGTGTAGGTAGGTAGTAATTTATTGACCACGAACAAATAAAACAGTGAACAAAAATAAACTAAAAAAAACAAAACAAAATATTAATAATTGTTAATAAATAAAACAGTGAACAAAAATAAACTAAAAAAAAACAAAATAAAATATTAATAATTGTTAATAAATTGGTTCATAGCACTTTCCTTAAATACCATTCCTCCCCTCCTCAGTCTTGGACAGTGGCAGTTTTGCTACAAACTCATGTGGCTCTATATCTCCTTCGTCCAAAATGATGGGGAAGAGATATGCATTTCTCATTTTTGTATTTGCTTTTAGATAGGAAAAACGATATGGATCTTTTCTTTTTTTTTTATTAAATTTTCTTTCCAGAGTCGACTTGGGAATCCCATACTTGTCGGCGGCTGCGCGATACGTCAGATTATTAATTTGAATATCTTCTAAAGCTTCTTGCAGGGTTTCCCCAGAGAAATCGCGATATTTGCGACTTCCCAAACGCCTCTTATATTTGGACGGCATGTCCCAATTCACCTTAAAAACAACAAATAAAAATAAAAAGGGTTGTTAACTTAAAGGTATTGTCTACTGCGCCGCCGGCGGGTTTTTGAAAATTTTATGGCTTCCCCGCCGCCGGCGTTTTTTAAATTTTATTGCCGCACCGTCGTTGTTTACTTAGGTTATGTCAAAGATAATACACCTTTAAATAACTTTATTCAAAGTGTTATATCTATCTAAGTGGAATTATGGTTATGTTATTAGCCGTATATATGTTGTTTTCTTGGAATCACATTACATTACATCCCATTTGATGTTATAATAATTATTAATAATAATATCGTTACGTAAATGTGTAAAACTGACAAGTCCATTTTTTGAAGTTTATGCATTTTTCGTACCAAATGAAAAAATGGTTTTACACATTTAGGTGACGATATGTTAACATTTTTAATGTTAATTTCAAAATATTAGTTGAACAGTACAAGGCAGATCGTTGACTAAGATTTTGGTATAAAAACAATGGGTAATAGTATTATAAAAACAATGGGTAATACTATTACGGGATTGGCGGTTCAACGCCATTCCACATCTTAAGATGTGGATATTGGTTATTCAACAGAGTTATTTAGGTAATAGTAAAAATGTTTTTTTAAGCATTTAAACCAATATTGGATAAAAAATGTATACATGTCCTAGCATTAAGTTAACAATTGTTAATATCAATTAACATTGATTTTTGACCAGTTATTCATACAAAAAAATCAGCTTGTTTTAAAAAATGTGCCACCCATAAAAAGCTTGAAAATATCAAAATGCGTCAGGAGAAAAAATACTTACATATATTGCAATATACTTTTATATTTCATTAAAAAAATCTTTTACACAAGAAAATTTAATATTTAAATTTAATTATAATATATAATTATTTAAGTCAATCTTTTGGCCCTTTTAATGATAAGCTATTCCTTTTAATAATAAGCTACTCAATTAATTTTTTTCCTAGCGAAAAAAGATTTTTGTCATTCCTTATTTTACTTGATAAACATTCTGGAGAAAAAAATGCTTGTTTTATCTCATCTTAAGATCAAACCCTATAGACAATATATACCCAACTTGGGTGGCTGGGGATTTTAGTCAAATCCATTGTTTCCCTAAAATAAAAAAATCATAAACCTTATAAATTTAGAAATACTAATAAAACTTACGAACTCAAAAGTCTGTGGGTAAAAGGCATAAGGGGATAAGTCAAAAAAAGCAATTTTTTGGTAGAGACTTAAACGTGTTCGCATTAATTCAGGAAATATATTTATGGTTAGTGAGTATACCCTTTTGCTAGCATATGACATGTGCTGGCAAAAGGGTATACCCGCTAACCATGAATGTATTTCCTAAATTAATGCGAACACGTTTAAGGCACTGCTAAAAAATTCATATTTTTGACTTATCCCCTTATGCCTTTTACCCACAGAAGTATAGTATATATTGGACCACATTTAGATATTGCCTTTAAAATTGTGTGGGAAAAAGGCTTTGCAGCAGTTTTTACTTTTTTTCAAGCAAAGTTTTTTGAAATTTGATAGCCTATTGACAAATCCAATGAGCTTGTTGTATTTAAAAATTCTTCAACTATATTCTTGTTTATTTCTTTGCCATCAATCATAAATCCATAATCAAGAAAATTGTTACAAACTAATTTTAACAGGTAACACCAATAAATACAAAAATGATTTCATTTGTTGTGGGATTCTTGAAGGTGTTGCTTTTTAATTGACGTTTAACTCATTTAACATTCAACTAGTTTTCTTGTACCATAAACATAACCATATAAAATACACTGATTAAATCACAGAAATTTCTGTGGATTAAATACATAACATAACCTCTGTACACTAACGGCAAGGACGGTGCTGCAATAAAATTTAAAAACGCCGGCGGCGGCGTAGAAATAAGATTTTTAAAACCACGCCGGCGGTGCGGTAGACTCTGCCTAACTTAAAACTAAAATTTTTTTAGGTTAGGTATAATATGTTAAGTAGGGATGCGCATCGAATACAAAAACATCGATGTTGGCATCGATGTTGACATCGAAGGTTGAATATCGATGTCATCGATATATCGGGTAGAAAACATCGATTTTTCAAAAAAATCGATGTTTCAAACTAAAACACAAGTCTAAGAAAAACATGTATAAAATATATTTATTTTCAACTTATAAAAAAAACACATAAAAAAATAAACAAAATAAGTCAAAAAAAGTTAAGTTAAATCCCAATTTTGCCTATCCAAGTTCTGTAGAAACAGTTATTTAGACAACAGTAACATCGCAAAGTCTAACATCGATGTCATTAAAACATCGAAAATACAAGATCGATGTTAAAAAATCGATGTTCACTTCATTAAAATCGATGTTTGATGAACATCGAATATTCGATGCGCATCCCTAATGTTAAGCTTTTACGACATTCTAAATAGTCCGGGAGGCAGTGAAGATTTTCGGTACTTATTTTCCCAGTCGGCAAACACCGATACAATTATTGGGTTTGTTATTCTGAGCAAAATTTATATATATTTAGGGGGGGGTTTTCCGATGGGTTAAGGCGGAAAATGCGTTATAAAGTACAAATATATTGCACTTTTTTTTCCAGTGATAAAAATAATTCCATTAGTGAGAGATATAGTGAACTTAAGAAAAAAAATAGTCTGGCTAATCTGTGAGTATGGGTAATATGTCTGGCAGGTGGAAAAATTATCAAAACCATTGCCCTTATTTTCGCAGTCCTAAAAATTTTGTGAGATGATAGTTTATATTATAATTACAGCTGCAAATATAGTCTGGCTAATGTGGAACACTCCGAAAGCCTTGCCAGACTCGTCCAACCGGGAGGCAGTGAAGATTTTCGGTACTTATTTTCCCAGTCGGCAAACACCAATACAATTATTGGGTTTGTTATTCTGAGCAAAATTTATATATATTTAGGCGGGGGTTTTCGGATGGGTTAAGGCGGAAAATGCGTTATAAAGTACAAATATATTGCACTTTTTTTTTCCAGTGATAAAAATAATTCCATTATAGTGAGAGATATACTGAACTTATGAAAAAAAAATAGTCTGGCTAAACTGTGAGTATGGGTAATATGTCTGGCAGGTGGAAAAATTATCAAAATCATTGCCCTTATTTTCGCAGTCTGGCGGGGCTTTCTTGATTGTAAATAACAGCCAGACGTGTATTTTCTACGAAATTATAGTATTATTTATCATGTGACAAATTTTCAAATCCGGGAAAATAAGAGAAAAATTTTTGTAATTCTTACGATTTTCAAGATGCCGCCAGAACAATTTGCCAATTTCATAAATCAGCCAGACTTAATTTTGATTATAGTTTATGACAGTACCAAATAATGGGTTAAATTTTAAGCATGGGAAAATAAGGGCTACGTATTTCAAAAACCGGTCAAATTTTTGCTTCCGCAAATTTTCAGCCAGACTGACTTTCCTTCACTTGGGATGTGCCAGACTGTTATTTCCATTAATAAAATGACTCACTTTAATTAATGTGAAATATTTATGACTGGGAAAATAAGTGGACTTGACTTTTTGGCTCATCTAGTGAACCCATCCGAAAATTTTAGCCAGACACCCAAATTGTCGTTTTGTGTCACCATTTGAACAAACTTAATGACATTCACAAACTGGGAAAATAAGTACCGAAAATCTTCACTGCCTCCCGGACTAAAAGATCATAAATAAAAATACTAGAATTGCCAATATTAAATACTCTATAGTGGGCCATGGGAAGTGTATCGGCCATAAAATATTTCTTTTTACATACCTGCGTTCAAAGTTGTTTATACCGGCATAGAAACAAATTCAATTCTCAAGTCTATCATCAATACCTACCCTGACATCTACCCAACCCGCCTGCAACAACAGTTTTATTTCCGCTGCCCACTAATAGACGGTGGCACATAAATTATAATGTGACGTAGTTTGTCCCAACTCGCACCAATGTCCCAAGACACCCGAATCTACGGTACATGTATTGACTTTATTTCAATGACCATAAATTATTGAAATAATACATTAGGTTTAATTTTAGTGTTTTACCATTGATTACCCATATTTTGTGAGGTTTTAAATAATTGAAATAGCTATTTTTTTTCTCGAGAAGGTTCGCAAATCATTATTAATTTTTTGAGCAGCATTAAAAATGAGTTATATTGCAAATAATTTTGTTTAGTTTAATTTTTGACGCTTGGTTCCTTTTCGATAAACGCTATAGCGTTTGGATATATCCATTTAGATATATATATATATATATATATATATATTGTCACCATATATATATATATATATATATATATGGTGACAATGTACCCTTTATCAATATATATATATATATATATATATATATATATATATATATATATATATATATATATATATATATATATATATATATATATATATATATATTGATAAAGGGTACATTGTCACCTCCAAAACGGAGACCCTTCATACGTTGTGACCTCATATATGACGCTGTGACCTCCAAATTCGGAGGTCACAGTGTTTAACCATATTTTTGACATTGGGGGAGTGTCAGTAATCAATCTGTGCAAAAATATTTCGGAGGTCACTTTGACCCCCCAGTCTCTTAAAAAGGAACTTTTAGTTCCACCATATATGAATTGGCGCTAGTGTCGCTTTTTAATCAGATTCAGCCACACCAAAGTTACCTCCGTCATGTATACGTACATTTGTTACCTCCGAAATTTGGCAACCTTGCAATATCTGTGGCGCAGTCATAGATGTTCAGACTTGATGATCTTTAATACTTCTTATATGTTATTTGTTACGCAGTTTCGCTTTTGTTCTAACATCTTAAGTGTAAAATAACGATTTAAGTTAAAAATATATCTTCCAGGACTTAATTAATTATCCAGAGAGTCGGTTTTCAAGGTAAGTAAGTTTTTAGTACATAATTAGGTAAATGCATTATGTTTATAGAAATGGATATTGTAAAATAATTCTTTTATATTTAGACGATACTAGTAATGATGAAATCATTACCAAAAAAGATACAGAATTTAAACTAAAAAAGTACAAAATTAACAATATTTTTTACTCACACAATCTTTTTTCACTTTTATTTGTTTAAAAATGTGTTATTATTTTTAGGCTGCACAAACATGGAAATCGGGTTAATAAAGGATAAATTCCTTAACCATATTAAAAAAATTGAGGATGATCTTTTAGGTATCAAATATGAAAATCCGTTGCCGTTTTAATTTTTGGATTCTTTACTTATAATTGGCACCCTTTAGAAATCTGCACAAATATGGAAATCGGGTTAATAAAGGATAAATTCCTTAACCATATTAAAAAAATATTACTTCATCTAGCAAATAAATTAAATCTTTTCTAGAACAAACGAAAATAAAAAGAAGTGTATCCCTTATTAAAGCCAAAGTCCAACACCTTAAAAAAACGAAAAAAACATTAATTAGTTACCCTTATGATAATTATAATTATAATAATTATTATTCATAACTTATTAGATAAAAATGTTTTACTTTACTTATGTTTTTTAATTATCCCTATTTATTGTTTACTTAAATTTCTTTCTTATATTTTTATTAATATAATAATAAAAATATCAAAAATATAAAAAAATATTAAAAATAAAAATATTAGAAATAAAGAAATAATTAAAAAAGTAAAATTGATAAAAATAATAAAAAAGTATACTAATAAATATATTCAAAATGATTGGGTATAATAATTATTAGAAAAATTAATAAAAATAATAACAATAAGATTAATTTTTTAAAATTATAAATAAAAATAATATTAATAAAACAATTAAAATAATACAATAAAACTAAATAAAAATAATGAAGATTGTAAAAGGAATATAAATAATTGAAGTAGATACCTACGTAATAAAAATATTAACAAAAAAATAATTATAATAAAAATAGTAAAAATAACAAAATAATTAGAATAATAAAAATAATACAAAAAAAATTGAAATATTAAAAATAATAATAATATCTACTAATAAATATTAAAATAACAAAACTTATTGATAATATTATTAATAATTCTTTCAAAAGTGAATCGGTTTGAAAAGTTTTTAAAAAACTACTTGCAGGCAAAACAGTACATATACAATGTGACCCATTTTTTTACAACTCACCCCTGTAAAATCATTAATTATTGTGCGATTTTAACCGGATTTGTTTTAAGGTGTAGATCTTGATAAACTGTATATTTGGAGCAAAAAACGCCATATTTGTACAAAATGCAAGGCCTACAGTGTCAGTTTTTAAGAGTATTTTTTTAAGAATTCATATTAGCGATTTTTTAAACAAAATCTAAGCACGGCACTGGATTCACCACCCCCTCAAAACGACCCTTTACTAAACTTTATTAAAAAAATTTAAGTAGAAAAATGCACAATAACTACAAAAATTTATTCCGTCGTTATCCATGAAAAAAACATTGAAATAAAATTAAACTCATAATAATGTTATACTATTAGTTTAATTTTATTTCAATGTTTTTTTCATGTATAACTTGACAAAATAAATTTTTGTAGTTATTATTTCTCTATATTTTTCTATTTACATTTTTAATATAATAGGTCATTTTGAGGGGTGGTGAATCCAGTGCCGTGCTTAGATTTTGTTTAAAAAAATCGCTAATATGAATTCTTAAAAATTAACTCTTAAAAACTGACATAGTAGGCCTTGTATTTAGTAAAAATATGGCGTTTTTGCTTCAAAAATACAGTTTATTAAGATTTTACCTTTAAAACAAATCTGGTAAAAATCGCACGATAAATAAAGATTTTACAGGGGTTATGTAATAAAACATTTTTTTGCCATTATACCTGCAAGACCTATCATATACCAATACGTTCTTTTTTATCAAATAAATTATTTATTTCAAAGTACTCCATTTTTAATATTTTGTCTTTTATAACAAAAATAATAATAATTATTATTATTACTAAATAATGTATGGCACATATAGCATGAAGCAGTGGACAAAATAAATCTGATATATATCCCAGATACTAAAGATACATTGCGACCTCCGAAAATCCGGCAACACTGTCGGAGGATACAAGGCTGTTTGTTTCTCCGAAATTATATATATATTCGGAGGTGACTTTGTATCTTGAGTATCTCCAGTTTGCGTAAAAAAATTGACATTTTAAAAAATTAAAAATTGCTTCCCCTCTTGTGGTGGCGTTAATATTTAATGCTCCCCCCCGCAATATATGCAATCAAAATAAAAATCGTCCATTCCGCAGACCCGGAGGAGAGGTGGCCCTCTCAACTTAACGGAGGTCACAGCTGACCACTTATCTATATATATATATATATATATATATATAGCATTTGAATATACCCATTTGAAAGTTGCACTTTAAACTTGCATTTGTTATGTCACACTGTTTAACAATAAATGTTATCATTCCAACGCGCACATTTCAAAACTCCCACATGTGAATGCGTATACGCACGCACACGTGCAAGATGCGAAAATGCATGATCGCACTTGGGTATTATCGCGAACGCCCAAAACTCACGCGTGACTTTATTTTGAATGTTTATAGCGCAAACGCGTGAGTCTGCATGATATGCGCCTTTTGTGCAACCATTGCTATCAGGGTAACTGTTACAATATTAACAAGCATAGAAAAACCTAGGTTACCTAGTAGCTACAATACAATTAAAACCCCTATGTTTACAATGAAGTTTGTAAATAATAATCTTGATTGAACTGAAACTAAATATGTTTTAAGAATTAGGGAACAGACTGAAAAAGGAAATATTATTGATGTAGAAAAAATTGAATGTTACTTAAATTTTTTCTACATCAATAATATTTCCTTTTTCATTTCTTATTCTTATTGCAATATTGGTTGAAAATGGATTGAACAAAAAGGTTATCAATGAAGGTAGGCTCCATGGGTATTATATGTTTGTAAATAATGCGCATTTTAAATCGTATAAAAGCATTTTATTTTATTCACACAAAGACAACACAATAATATGCATTCATAAAATAATATTATTTTTGTACAATTCCTTATCAAAAAATACAATTCACAATCACAATTCATGTTTTTTGATCTAATCAATATGTACTTATCACTTAATATAATAACAAGACTAGTTATAATTAATTAAGTATGTAAATATTAAGCCTATAAAAATATATTTATAAAAGTCAAGTATAATTTAAAATTTTAAATAAGGACAATTGAAGTATAATTTTAGATAAACAATAAGATTTTAAATAAATAATACAACAGATAGCAATTTATTTTTCTGGACTTTTTCTTATTGGGGTTAATCTTAATCCCTTTGCAAGCATTTGTTCCTCCAAATCACGGTCTTCATTAGTGTACCTAAAAAGTTTATTTTTTAAATATTGTAATAAATAAAATTGCGAATAATAATTTAACATGCAAAAGCAATGTAGTAATAATTATTGTGAGTATTAAAAGGTAAGTACTGCAAAAATATTGTTAAATAGTGCATTCTTACCTAAAATAAAATCTCAACAAATAGGTATGTGAACACAAAATAAAGCAAAGCAATTCAATACCAAATAAAGTAAGAGAGAACAAGGCTACCATATTAATAAAAACTAAGCATATTTTAATAACATAATTATACAATTTAATAACTATAAAAAACATAACACCAAATAAAATAAATAAACAAAAAAAGCGGGCATGCAAGCAAATTAGTGTTTTCATTCTGTGAGGCCAATGCAGGTTTCCTCAATAAAATGGAAGAGCCACTATTTAGGGGAGAAAAGCACCTTAGACGTTCTTCTTCCATGACAGCCAATAATGAATCTCTCTTTGAAACAATATCCAACATCTCTGTTATTATACTTTCTTCAGCTTTTGAGTCTGCTTCAGTTTTTTGATCTAAAAAATAACGAAGTATGTAAACGCGAAACGAGAACAAAAATTTTGTTTTAATAAATAGTTATAAATGAATTACTAAAATGGTTTTTCTACTCAGATTGCATAATATTGTGTTTATTTGTGTTTTTCGTACATAATATACAAGGTAACCATTATACCGCCCCTCCTAACACCGGGCATAATAATTATTAACTATTATTATTATTATAATTATTCACGTTGTTAGGCATCAGTGATTGGCCAATTTAAATATTCACGGCCATTTAAGGGAACGTGCCGAAAGTAACGCGAAACACATATTTGAAAATTAAAATTGTCTAACGCGAAGGATAAGCGAGATAAGAATAAAAAACGAGAGCCAATCCCAATAGATGGCCATAGGGAATTCTTTAAATTGCTAGAATACTTAGGTTGCATTGTTGATAATAAAAAATATGTAAAATATTTGGTCGATTGGAATACAATTCATTGTGACACTGCTGTTAATCTTTACTCCTGTCATTAATATTATATTAGGGAATAAATTAAGTTATTATAAATAATGTTTTCCTTAGATGATTATACCGAAATGATAATTATTTATGGGGAGTGTGGGCGCAACGCCAGGGAGACAGCGCGAGTTTTTTCCCAGCGCCAGGCCCGTTCCTGGGGTGTCTGGCGCCTACTAGCAGCATTCTTTGGCGCGCCCCTTTTATATTTAAATATAATACATTTAATATTTTAATTTAAAGAACAAAAATTTTAAAAAATACATATTTTGCAACAAACTGGCAATATGTAATTGAAAATGTAAAAAAACTGCTTATTAAATTACCAAACAAACCAAATCACAAAAAATATTTAGTAATAAAATCACTCTAAAGAAAACAAAACATAAACAATATAATAACTACAACTGGTTTTTGGTGACGTACTCTCTAAAAATGAATTAGTCAAAAATTACTAGTTTTCAAAGGAAAAAAGCAGTCACTAATAACTGTAGTCCACAGCAATTTGTATCCCGGACATTTAACAGCTTATTATTATTTAAAATTGTCCCGAGAATCCAAAAAGACCGTCAAAAATTATGAAAGTAGAGCAGTTTTTGAAATATATTTAATTCCATATTATATCGAAAATTGACTATATCTCAAAAACTGTTTTACTTTTATATTTTTTGACGACAATTTTACATAGGAGTTGACTGCTAAATGTCCGGGATACAAATTGCTGTTGGCGATAATTATTATTCAATTTTAGAGAGTAAGCTCGTTACCAAAAATTTGCCTTTTGTATATTAGACGTTTCGTTATTATGGTTTCCATGGTAACTAAGCGAGCGTTTTGGATACTTTGTCGCTCGGCGACAAAAATATTATGGCAATTCCTATCCTTTTATTTTGATACTCATATCAAAAAAAATTAAGCCGCCAATATCAAAGCGGCAAAAGGCGCTTTATAGCGGCCGAAAAAAAGAGCGGCATAGGACTTTAATGCGGCCGACGCAAAGAAAGGCGGTAACCTTTATCCCATGTATGTTTAATTATTTGTTTATTTCCAAGAAAGTTTATCGTTACAAAGTACCTACTGATTGACTCTTTGATTTTGCGCCCCCAAAATGTTTATTTCCAAGAAAGTGGAACGGCCCTGCCCAGCGCTTTCCCAATAGTCCCCTGGACAGTAAAGTGATCCTTAGGACTATCACGAGAACCCGAGAGACCGGTCAAGTTGTTCCGCTTCGTAAGGGGATTGGGGGTGCTCCCAAACGTATTAGAACAGTGGAAAATGAAGAAGCTATTTTGATTGCCATTGAGGAAAATAGTAGGAAGAGCATAAGGAAAGTTGCTCGAGAACTAGACTACATAATTGCAATCTTTCCATAAAAGACCGCTCAACATTTCCAAATACTTCATTCGCTACTTCTCTCATTGATGCCGTGATTCTGGATCTTAGATCGTCTAAGTTATTTGTCTGTTCCTGGTACACTGTCTTTAATATGACCCCAAAGAAAAAAATCACAGGGGGTTAAGTCAGATGACCTTGGTGGTCACTCTATCCGCCCCCCACGCCCAATCCACCTTTCCACAAATACTTCGTCCAAAAATTCCTTTACTACTCGTCCAAAATGATGAGGTGCCCCATCCTGTTGAAACCATATAGTGCAGTCATCTGGATACAGGGATTCTATTGCAGGGACAAAGTTCTCTGTTAATAGAGCCAAATATCTCCCCATCGTTAAATTGCCTTCTATGAAGAAAGGTCCTATAATGTCATTTCCAATTATGCCTGACATTGACTTTCTAAGGTCGTTGAGTGCGAAAGACAACTGCCTTTTTTTTGTAAAATTAAAATATACGAGGTGTGTTCAGAAAATATCGGGAATTTTCGTTTTTTGAAACAAATATTTATTTATTCGTCTACATTAATATTGCCGCCTTCAAAATAGTCCCCATTGGGCTCTTCTTCCAATACTCGAAACACTTCTAAAACTCGATCTTTGAGATAGCCTTTAGTTCTTTCAGCGATGCGCTTTTAATGTCATCTATGCTTGCAAAACGACGGCCCTTTAAGGTTCTTTTAATTTTTGGGAATAGGAAAAAGTCAGACAGAGGCATGTCTGGCGAATATGGAGGCTGGGGCATCATTACAGTTGTTTTTGGCCAAATTACAGTATTGTTTTTGGCCAAATTACAGTATTGTTTTTGGCAAAAAAACCCCACGCGTTTCATACCCAAAACATTCGAAAAAATTTCATGGGATGAGCCAATCGATATACCAACATCATCAGCGACTTCTCTGATGGTTTATAACCATTTCTTCCACTTTTCCCATGTTTTTATCGGTTGTTAATGTGCTTGTGCGTTCGGGGCGTTTGTCATCTTCACGGCCATCTTGGAAACTCTTATACCACTTGTAAACTCTTGTTTTACTTATAGCAGACTCACTATAGGCCTTTTTTCACAGAATTTATTTCACTTTTTAAGCAAAATTGGATACAAATTCTTTGATCCATTTCTTTCGAACGAGCGAAAATCGCCGAGATAGCCTTTAGTTCTTTCAGCGATGCGCTTTTAATGTCATCTATGCTTGCAAAACGACGGCCCTTTAAGGTTCTTTTAATTTTTGGGAATAGGAAAAAGTCAGACAGAGGCATGTCTGGCGAATATGGAGGCTGGGGCATCATTACAGTTGTTTTTGGCCAAATTACAGTATTGTTTTTGGCCAAATTACAGTATTGTTTTTGGCAAAAAAAACCCCACGCGTTTCATACCCAAAACATTCGAAAAAATTTCATGGGATGAGCCAATCGATATACCAACATCATCAGCGACTTCTCTGATGGTTTATAACCATTTCTTCCACTTTTCCCATGTTTTTATCGGTTGTTAATGTGCTTGTGCGTTCGGGGCGTTTGTCATCTTCACGGCCATCTTGGAAACTCTTATACCACTTGTAAACTCTTGTTTTACTTATAGCAGACTCACTATAGGCCTTTTTTCACAGAATTTATTTCACTTTTTAAGCAAAATTGGATACAAATTCTTTGATCCATTTCTTTCGAACGAGCGAAAATCGCCGAGCTCATAAAACACGTCTAACCTTATAAGGCTGCTACAGACAAAGTAAACAATCATTGTATAACAATGAAAACAGCTAAAGTTTTTATCATACTTCGGGGGCATGTATACCAACATAATAAAGAAAATTTTATGACAACCGGCCCCTTCGAACCCGCGAAATTTAACAATTCCCGTTATTTTCTGAAAACACCTTGTAATTACTTGTCCTATTTTTCCAAAAATTATTATTTTAGAAACTATATATGCTTATTTTTGAAATCAGAATTTATTACTAAAAAATGAGGGTTGCTTTTTAAATAAATTGGCAGTCACGTCATTCTGTAAAAGGATAAAAATATGAAAAAAATTTCAAAAAATCCTTGGAAAAAACTAAATTTGACATGTAGGAGCGATTTTTGCAGGACCTGATCATTATTTCCATTATTCCATACTTTTGGCCAACCCTGTATACTATAGTATTGCACTCGAAATGCACTAGGATGATTTACGACTCTCGCCTGCCATCTCGAGACGCAAACCTCATCCTCGTGAATAATAAATAGCCTGCACTTTCTCTCGTATAATATATACTATATTATTATTTATAAGGAATAACGAAGATAGGTATAACAATTTTTGTTTCTGCCAGGTTTTTATATATTTTTTTCAATTATTTATGAGAACCGCTGTTTTTTTCAAATTTCATCCTAATCGGCTTGTAATAAGGAGACTTGTCTTTATATAACCAACCTTTTAGCTCTTTAATTAAAAAAAATACCCATACACCTCAGAATAAAAATACTGGATTCTCAGTGTACCTTGTATGTTCAAGGAAATATTAAAAGACGATTGGAACATAATCAAATTTGCGCTTAATTGTCTCAGGTTGGTACACATAAATCTTAAAATTAGTTATTATTATTTTATTTTATTGTTTTGACCTTTACTTGATGAAACTCCATGTCAAAAAGCTACTGTGTTAGCAGACAATTCTCAAATTAAAATAAAGAAGTGAAACTTAAAAAACAGTGTTTGTTTTTTGTAAATTGGTTATTTTATTTTGATTTAAATTTAAATAAAGTATAATAAAAAAAAAATAAATAACTTTTTTACTGAACAATAATTGTTAATAATTACACTGTAGGTAAATTTTCAACGCTTGGACATGTAAATATAATTTTTGGCCGTAGATTCCAAAACCTCTCGTGTCAACATTAATATGATTTTTATTTAGATTAATATAATATCTTCAATTATACTTAATAAAAAAAAATTTGCAAAAAAACATTTTGAATTTCCTTAATTATATATAAAAAACCCTCAGGGACACGAGTTCCTTTTGGTCAATTAACTTCAAATTTTGCAAAAATTTGTTTTTTTTTAATTTGGAAACAATGTGTGGATCCAGCCAAATTGATTTTTTTTAAATTCATACAGGGTGTTTAAATTTATACAGTATATACTGTATTGAATTTTGACCTGATCCAACTAAACCAAACATGGATTTGTAATCTACGACCAAAAAATAGTGTTATTAATCAAATGATATACGCGATGGAGGGTTATTTTAAGTTTAAATAGTGTTGTGTTAAAAGGGTTTTAAAATTGAATTTTATGTTCTTTGTTTTAACTTTTTTTTTAAATATTTATTTCCGTAAAAGGATTAAAAATATACAATTTTTCAATGGCGTTTCAAAAACCATAATTTAAAATTTGTCAAAATCAACAAAGATATATTTTATTTTTTGACAAAAACTGTCGGTTTGGAGGGGTTATATTTCGGTGGTACAGCTTTGCCGAGTTTTTTTAAACTTAAATGTCTAATAGCACATGTGCAATGGAGTAAGTGTGCCATTTTCGGGACACCCAGTATGTTCTTTGCTTAGAGAAGAATTGTATGGCATATTCTGTACAAAAAAAAACATTAAAGAAGAATCAAACTTACCACTTTCAAGTCTTTCACGTAGATCGTGCTGAAGTCGCGCATGCCTGTCTTCAAGTTCCAGCTCCTGCGCGCGCACCATCAATTCCTTCTCGTACCTGCGCAGTTCAGTCCTGTCTCTCATCAAATCGAACCATTCTTGTAACAGTTCGGACTCGTCTTTCGTGCTGTATTCGCTATCTTCGCCTCGGAGCGCTTTCTCGACCAGCACGCCCCGTTTTTCCAGCTCTCTGGTTTTCACTTCTGTTTCCTCCAGTTTACGTTGTATTTCTTGGGCCATTCGGTGTCTAAGGGGTTAGTCGGTTAGTTTATTGCATTGTCTACACTTAGTCAAGTTATAATTGTTTTTATTTTTGGTAATTAATCCCGTGTACCCGTTTATTTTTTAAAAACGAAAGTTACCTTTTGAGCTGGGTTTGTCTAGCTTTTCTAGAGGATTTACTTCTTCTACTTGAAACACTAGTAATGGAGCTTTCAAACATACCAGATTGATCAATATTGTCACAAGAACTAAGCTCATGTTTTTTCCAGTCTTGTTCACCATCGGAACTATCATCTGTAAAAAATAAAACATTATAAAAAACAAAACTTATGTCTATTTGGGAGTATTTAATTGAAACATACATATATTTAAAAAAAAAAATTTATAAGCCTGTAACTTAAAGAAGGATAAGGAAATGCTACCCCAAGTAAAACAAACTTTCACCTCGTCCGTAAAGATTAATTTACAAAGCTTGACACTTAAATAACTATTACCCGGCGGAAAAAATGTACCACATTGAGTATGAGAATAAACAACAACAAAATTAATTACGCCAGTCTTGTTTATTCGGCCCATTACTAGACTAATCGCCAGACCCCACGATACACCCAACCCAGACCCAGCGTATACCGGATGTTGGTGTACAAGAAAATTATAATAGGTATATAATATTTAATAATAATAATAATAATATATAATTTAATACCTTTGATTTTAATTCGGAAAAAGAAGCAAAGGTACCTAAATATAAAAAATAAAAATGAAAACTTAAACTTAATTTTCATCTTTGATCGTTGAATAAACTCTTAAACCGTGAAATGAGGCAAAACGCGCCAAACCTGCCACCTATCCGACAGCAGCGATTTTGACTAAACTTGGAGCAGTTGTATACAGTGTATCTACTTAAGTTGCCAACATATGGAAAACTTTCTTATTATTAATTTTACGAAGAAAAGTTCTTCTCTTTATAAAAAGTTCTAAAATCTAAAATAAAATTATCAGATATCAATTTTTTTCATTCATATACGAGGTTTGACAAAAAATATGAATTTGGTACAAGAGTATGAAAAGTTGATTGTAATGAAAAACTATGTTTTAATAAACAATTACTACTTAAATAATTTTTTTACAAATTTTTCTTAAATTACCGATTCCGAACATTTATCTTTTTTATTTATTACATACATGACTTTGCACCCCGCGGGTGACTTTAGCCCTTTTATGAAAAATCTTTTCGCGCTCGATAAAATTAACATTTATAATTTATTAGCCTAAACCTGTCAATTAAGCGATTCTATATATATTCTCAATATTGAATTTATATTAAAGGAAAATCAATGTTTTAAAAAAATAAATGGGATTTAAATAATTATTACACTTTAAAATTGTATATATTGCATTAGTGCAAAACTCTTAAAAATACAAGCGTTTCAATTTCTATATTATGCGAAATTCTTTGGAATGATGATCCTTGGTTAACTACAGGTCGATTTTTTATTGTTTTTATCGGTAACCCCTTGCAATTGCTATATGTCGCTGCTAACATACCCTCACGTGCAAAATAATCGATCCACACAAATTTTTGATAAATTTCAATCGTAAATAACTTTTTTATTTGATGTCGGATTTAAACGAATATTGTATATAAATTAATGGACAATCGCTCACATTTAAAAAAAATACTAAAAAATAGACGTACGTTTATAATATACAGGTTTAAACAAAAATATGTTTTTTACCATAAGTTTAAGACACTCTGTAGAATGGCAAAACCGTATATTGTTCTAAATTAAGTTTTATTTATCAAGTCACATCTATTCTTAACAGTTTTGTTTTTGGTTCACCTCGATATATTTATTTTTGTGGAAAATCTGGATTCCATAGGCTATGTCAATCTCCATCCATAGGCTATGGAGAATGACAGTGACAGTTTTGTTAAATCATCACATACACGGCTTTCAAAAGCTATCAAATTGTTTTTTGCAAGTTAATATTTAAATTTTGAGGTGTCTTCTTACTTTATAAAATGGATATGTCTCCGACTGATGTTGCCAGAGCTATTAATTTAATCCAGGATGGACGGTCACAGTATTACGTGGCAAGTGTTTTAAACGTCATAAGAAGTAAAGTACAAAGGGCAACATCAGTCGGAGACATTTTTAAAAGTAAGAAGATACCTCAAAATTAACACATTAATTTACAAAAAACAATAGCTTTTGAAAGCTGTACATGACATGTCCAAATATGGGATGGGACCATAGCAACCTTAGTTCTTCATACAGACAAATATTGAAAATTGCAATGTTTTTTAAAAAAATCCATATTTTCCACAAAAATAAATATATCGAGGTGAACCAAAAACAAAACTGTTAAGAATAGAGTTGACTGCCAACTAATAATTATTAGTTGGTGACTTTTAAGTTATTTTTACTGTAAACAAAAACGTTAAAATAACGGTACAAATTACCAAATATTGGGAATGATTTAATACATTATTTTTATAAAGCGTCCAAAAGAACTTAAGTTAACATTTATAAAATTTATTACATTTATAACTTTAAATGCTCCTTGTGATAGTACTCTTTTGTGATAAAAAAATTCCCCATTGATTTTTCTGTTAGAACTACTAAAAGTTCACTTCATTGCATCTATTCTTCTTTAAGACAATAATATTCAGGGACGACACTTAAGATCTTTATACAAGTAATAGAAAACCGTATTTAGTAAAATATAGTTAAAATAAAGAAAAACTGGTTTATTTCTATAATTCACTAAGTTACGAAATAGTTAAAATAAACGTAAAATTAAGTAGCAAATAATATTTAAAGGAGTAAATATTTGACAAAATTTGTCAAATATTTACTCCTTTAATATTAACTTTTCTTTTACTAAAAGATAAATTAAGTATTACTTTTTTGTATACTCGGGTCCAAAACTGTATTAAGCTATTAATTACTCTAATGAGAGAATACAACATATTTACTCACCAGTTCCTTTAATGGAATTGCCAGTATAATTTACAGGTAAAGGTGGGATAGGGGGTGGAGAGACATCATTATCTACATGATTTATTGAAGAAATTTCCGAATAGCTCTTTCTTATTATTGGCGTTTCAATAATGGTTTCCTAAAATAAAGATAATTAAATTTTAGTACTAATTATTAAACGTTTTCAAATTGTTTTCAAATGCACTAAGTACCTACTAAGTAGGTATACAATGGCTAAGTTAATTGTAAATTTTAAGAATTATTCTAAATTAAGAAGATTAGGTTTATTCACTCAGCACTATTTAAATATGATGTGCACCAGTGAAGGTTAATGTAAAATCAATGAACAGACCAAATACATGTATAATATATAAATAAATAATAAAGCAATATTTTTTTATTTAATGAGATTAAAATATAATATACTTTAGGGCAGCCACCAAAAAGATTTTAATTTAATAACCAATATATTATAAGCTATTGAGTCAGGTATTTTGACAAAAAGATTTTAAATAGTACATAACATAATCATAGATCTCAAAATTTGCAAAAAATATATTTATATTAAGCTAAAATAAAGCATATTCTAAAATATTAAATAATTAAACGAATTTGATAAGAATCCACCAAAAACCAACAAAATAAAATAAATAAAACCAAAACCACATGGCATAAATAATAATAAATATAAAATACGAAAAGCAAACAAAGCATGCAAAACAATACATAATAAAAATAGGTTAAGAAGTCTTACAGTGATTTTCTGGTCCAGATTTGAACATGACTGCAAAATATAGTCGAGTTAAGTATTAAATGAATAAAAAGCTTATTGTTATGTGATTGTATTAATTCTTTATACAATATGTACATGATGTAAACAATTAAAACAAAAATTTTAAATAAAAATAAATGTTTAAATTGTTACACCAGAAGAACAATTAAATTACCTTTGATTTGTCTAGCTTTTTTGGGGATAAACTTTTGAAAAATGTCTGCCCTTTCTTGAGAAAGCTTTGACTTTTCTTCAGAAAACTTTCGCCTCTAGTTTTCTTCTTCTTCGAATCTTCAGTATCCAATAAATTAGGATCGGACTTGCACATTTTTAAAGCGTCTGGCGTTTCATTGGCAATCACAAAATTATTGCTAATCCCGGATACGGATTTCGTTCTTGTTGGGGCAGTCGTTAGATTCGTTGTACTTGTGCTGTGCAACTTTGGCGTGGAATTGTTCTTCTTTTTCATAAAAGAATTATTGTGCAACCACGAGTTTCTGTTTTCGACAGACTGGTTATTGACTTGAGTATTTTCTTTGCCCTTCTTGCAGTGTTTATCTTTTACCCTCTGGAACTTGTCCTCCGGACTTAAGCCCAGGTCTTCGTTTGACATTAGTCTCGCTCTTTCTCTAGCTACTTGCTTCATTTTTTCAGAGGTGCGGGTAATGTCATCGTTTTTTGTACGAGGTGGAGCTTTGGGCGTTTGAAAATCATTGAACACGCTGTCATTGTAAGTTGGCTTATTGTTTTCTTTTCTGCCAGAATATTCTGCTGTGTTAACCGAGTGCGATAATTGCAGTGGTACGGAGTTTGTGGATAGTAAAACATCTGGCGTGGAGTACATGCTAGCGTTAGAGTACGTGGAGTTTCTATTTGAATTGTCTAGGTTAATTTGAGAGATGTCCGTGGTTGCGGATTTGGTTAAGTCGTATTGTTTGCTGGGAGTTCTATTTCTTCTACGCCTTTCCAAGGACTTATTCTCCGCCTTCATTTTGTTCATGACCATCTCTTGAATCAACCTCTGATTATCATCTCTCTCTTTCATTATGTTTTCTTTTTTGTATAGAACATCCGGAGTGCGCACTGTAGGGGTTAAATTTAGCGTGATGTCTTTTTTAGCGTGAACGGGACTTGGTTTATCTTTTTCTTCCTGAATTAAGTCAGGTTTCGGGGTGACTTCCGACTTGCTCTTCCTTCTAGATTTCCTAATATCTATGGAATCCTTCGCGTTGCCAAAATCGACTTTGGATTGTAATCTATGGCAATGCTCGTCGAATTCTAAATTAACATCATCTACAATAATTTTATTATGACTAGATTGTTTGTTTTGATCACTATTTTGCTTGAGCAATGCTTGCTCAGCTTTGACTGAGGCTAATTTTTCTTCCAGCCTTTGCTTCTGCGAATTATTGTTTTCAAAAATCGCCTTGGCCTTGTCGATTCTAATATCGGAGACATTTTTGACCGTAGAGTCGCTGCAAGTGTTTTCTTCAGTTGTAGTGCCAGTGTCTACTATTAATAGGCTGTCGTCTTCATGTTCGGTAGCTGCCTGTTTTTGCTTTAATTTTTCTAAATCGGACGGTTTCAAATCGATAACTTCGCTACCGAAATTGTTTTCCATGTTGGATATTATGCAGTATCCAGTGTTTTTGATACCCTCTAACTTTGAGCCTAAATGCTCGTTTTTGGCTTCAACCAATTGGTTTATAATCGGATTTAGGCTGTCTTCAGGTATTTCGTCGTCGTTTTTAAATAACACATAGCCATTTTGGCTATCGACTACTCCTTCATCGCTACTGGTTTCAGTGCCAGTATCCATAAACTCTATATTGTCAAAATTAACATTAATTGACTTGCAACTGTCTTCAAGCACCATATTTTTCACATCAACAAAATCTTGTGCTTTACCACAAACATGTCCAAAATCGTCCAGCTCCGCAATGTCAGCCTTCTTTATGTTCTCAGCCATACAATTTTTAGGATTCTTAGCGCTCCTGTTGGTTTCAATATGTTCATTTAATTCAAACTCGGCAAACTCTTCTAGGTCATCCGACACCTCGCCCTCTCTGGCCCAATCGGAAAGCTCGGTTTCCGTTAGAGCGACTGTCACTTGTTCGGCAAGGGAATCCGGAGTGCTTCTACCACTCGACTTTGTTTCCAATTCGACGTTTTCTTTGTTGGTTTTCGTATTTTCAGGTTCTTCCTTCTTGTAGCGCACATGCAACGAGTTGTGGATTTCTGGTAACATTTTTTCCAAGTACGGTAAAGATTTTGGTTGGTTAAGAGATTTTTTCTCGCTGGCAATTGATTTCACTGGCTCTGCTTGCTCTTCGAGTTCTTTATTTTTGGGATCCTCTATTATGCAAAGGGAGTCTGGAGGTATGTCTTCTTCGTCTATTGCCGAGTGGACTTCCACTTTTGGTATGTTTGTGTAATCGTAGTTTGGAGTGCTCGCAAGCTCGTTTTCCGAGCTGGATTCGCTGGAGGAACTTTCCTCGGTTTGGCTCTTTTTATTTTTGCTCCAATCGATTTCGGGTACTATGATAGATGTCTCATGCACTGGACTTCTTGGTCTACCTTCAAGTTCGTTTTGGAAAACATAATGCTCCGCTTTTTCCGTGTCTTTGGTGATGTCTGGAGGAGGTAGTGGTGGCGTTGATGTATATCCGTTTTTGGTTTCCTCCTGAGTGGTTTCGGTGCTAATCGGTTGAGGCGACGAACTAGGCGAAATTTTCGAAGAATAATTTTCGTCCAACTTTGTGCAGAAGACCTTCATGCTTGCGCTAATTTCTGCGGAGGGTTTAAGCAACTTTTGGTAATCGGAAACGTCAGTTTGGAAATTTTTAAATTTATTGTCTAAAGTTGAAGCACTTCCTGACTTTTGAATGCAGCCTGGATGGGCGGATTCACCTAGTAAGTACTTCTTTTTCAATTCAAGAGATTTTTTAGCAGCAATTCCACCAGTGCTCTGTGTGCGATTTAAAGCATAACCTTCAGTACGTGGCAATAACACAGGTGCGGGTTTTTTAATTATAGGTGCCGAAGGTACAAGAGGACTCAGTTTGAGCTCGATATTGGGCTTCGACGACTTTTTCCCGTTTAGTGGTTTTTGCAAATAGCCGCTGGTCACCTGAAGACGTCGCGGGGCCCCCGAACTGCCTCTCACTTTAGTAACGTTGCAATCGTTAAATGTGATCGAAGGTATTTCCCTTGTCGGAGTGGGATCGTCTTGCGCAAACTCGGAATCGGTCGATATTTCCGTTGCCGAGTTTTGAACTTCACTAGATGATTCGGAACTGGTCTCGTCAGAAACAACCTGTAAAATAATACAGTCGCTATTAGACAATTGCCTTGGCAAACTTTTCAGCTAAAAAGCAGAAATTCTAAATCTAACATACATAATTAGTGATGTAAACTGAAAACATTTTTTTTTATTAAAAAAAAAATTAAAGCGGTTTGGTTTTTTTAGAAAGATTGTTTTCCTTAATAGAGATTCTATAATATTGCACGCAGTCAACCAATCAATATCAAAGGGATCTTTTACTTATTATACCATTGGCAAGAAATGGGATTCCCCGGAAATATGTACGGCAGAAGACGCTGTAGTTTGCTTTGTCGTTCGTTTTAAATTCATCTCGTGGAAGAAAACATTGTTTTCCTGGAAACATATACACAAAATCTCGTATTTTTCGAAAGTTAATAGTGCTTAAAAATAACACTGCGCAGCTAAGCTTTTTTTCTAATAGAAATCTCCCATTTTTCTTGTGTCGGGAATAGGGTTTTAAAATTTCCAGAAATATTGAGCCGGCGAAAAAAAAACGTTTTTTTCGGTAAAAAAACGAAAAATTGGAAATTTTTTAGAAAATCTGAGTTTTGTATTTGTTTATTTTATTTAAAAGGGTAATACGAAAAAACTTCAAAAGTCAATTTTTCTACACAGATATCGACTAAAAAGTGAATTTCCGACTCTAATTATAATCTTATAATATTATGATTATAATAATTATTACTAATATTTTAATTCAGTAAGAAAATTCTACTGAGCCGCAACAACAACATATTTGGTGCTGTATTAATAACAGAACTATCGTTTTATTTGACACATCGATTTATAAAATTATATATTTTTTTTATAAATCATTAATTATTATTAAATAAAATAATTATTTTATAAAAAGATATTTTCAATGGACTCCCTTTTGCAAAAAGAACCCAACAAACACTATATTTAACGTTTACGTTTACTTTCTTAAATAAATTAAATTTAATTTAATGTTTAGTAATATTGTTTTTTTTCTGTAATAAAGGATTTTTTTATATTAAAATAATTAACATTGCTACTTTTATTAAAATTTGTATATTTTCCAAATAAAAATAGAATTTTTCCCAAAAGAGCCAGGAAAAAAAAACGAAAAAACCGTTTTTTACGACACTTTAAAACCCTAATCGGAAAGTATTTTGGTACAATCTTGGAGTTCGTAAGCTATAGATGGCGACACTTGTCCTTGTCATAAATTGTTTTATTTATTTTTTCATAAAAAAAACAAGAAAAAACGTTTTTTTAATTATTTTGTTATTATTTTTTATAATTTGAAAAAAAAATGTTTTTTAACGTTTTTTTTACATCACTAAATATAATATAGAAAACTTTGCGTTACTCATATTATAATAAAATGTGTTAATGTTAAATATAATGTGTAATAATATGAATATGCAGCATGGGTTAAGTATACGCATTTTATAGTTGACACAATGTTATGCGAAAATCATAGAAAAAATTAAAAGTAAAAAATAAAACAGGGTTAAACAACACTCACGTCAGCAATGGATTAAATTGCATTAATACAATAAGTTCACCCCACTCTTAATAGTTACCTTTACAACCATTGCTTTAACGTGATTGTTGACCAGGGAAGCCAAATCATCTCATACTACAAACTCTTAGTAATATTATTAAATGAATGCATAACATAATTTTTTAACATTTTCGATTAAAAATAATAAACTTTACAACACATTTCAACACTTATAAACTTTGATTAAAACTTAACAATTGTTACTTAATCAGCTTCATTCCGGTTATTGAGGAGAATATTTCTACCCGTAAACAGTATAAAATGACTAGAAAATTAAAAAACGTTCTTATTACTGAATACAACAGTCTTTATCCTTATCCTTATTATCTTTGTTTTTATTATGCTTCTCACTATAATTTAGAGTTCCTAAACCAACATCTCCCCTAAATTCGACAGTTTGTGGTCGGGGTAAACTATAGGAACTGACAACCTCCTTCTTTAGTAAATTGGTTGTAGAGGAACTTTTTGAATTTGGCGATAATTTAGCATCATTGTTATTGTCCAAGAATTTTCTTCTAGGCATGGGTGACGCCGTATTTGCCCTAATTCGCTGAGGTGGAATCGGGTGCAAACTGGCATCCTTCTTTTGTTCATTCGACTTTTGCCTGTTGTATCTTTCAGGTTTTATTGGTGCTTCATTTTCTAGTAACTTTTTCTTGCTGCGTCTTGGCACAGGAGGCGAATTCGGGCAACTCCTTACTGGTTTGTTGACTTTTGCATACAGATCCTCAACGTTTACCTGTTTTGAATATGAGGAGGGTTTTTCGTTGATTTCAGAGTAAATTGGTTCTTTTATAATATTTTCTATAATGGAAACAATTGGACTATCCTTAATTTCTTTGTTTTGCTTTGATATGTTTTCTTTTAAACTCTCAGAGCAAATTTTTAGTTCTTTGTTTTCAATTATTTTGTCAGTGTTATCTTGTGGTTCCAGATTTTCTACTAAAGTAGTGATATTTTTAATTTTTTTCTCAAGATTAATGTCAATCTTTTCATTTTTAACATCTTTAGATATTTCTGAATTGGACGGCATTGATACATTTCCTAATGTATCCACTACTACTTCTAAATTGGTGGTATTTTTTATAATGTCTTCTTTCTTCTCAATATTATTTTCAGCCTTTTTAATGTTGACATCTTGTTTAGGTATTTCTAAATTAGACAGTGTTGATTCGTTTTTTAGTGTATCTTCTTTTTTATCTGACATTTTTTCCTTAGAAATTTCAGACATAAATGATACGTCAGCTGATGATCCATCTACCGCCTTTGCAAAATCTAGAGGCACTTCAATATCCGATTCTATTTCATCGGATTCTTCATCAGAATCAGATTCACTGTCATCGGAATCAGATTCTTCATCTGATATATCCGAAGATCCTTCAATGGTTTTATTAAAATCTAAAGGTTTGGTGAAATCTGAGAGATCAGAGAAAGAACTTTCAACGGCCTTGGAAAAATTTTGCGGTTTCGCAAAATCCGACAAATCCGAAAATGAACTTGTTACGCTTTTTGAGGTATCTTGCGTTTCCGATTTAGCAACATCATGAATTTCTTCGTTAGTTGGATTTATTCCATTTTTAAGTTCATTAAATTCGGATTTAATTGTTTTTGGGTTGTTTTGTTCCTCAATATTTTGAGTAAGGTTCAGATATTCCAAGTTAGGATAGGAAGATACTGTTACATTTACACACCAATCGTTGGTTGGTGGTGGTTTAACTTGGCTATCAAAGTTATCTCTAACATACTTTTCCATATCTTTTATGGCATCGTCCAAACTATCATTTGATTTATTTTTTGTATTATCCTTTTTCTCAATAAACTTTTCCATATCTTGGATAGCATTATCCAGCTTTTCGCTGAATTTACTTCTAAGTGAATCAATTTTGTGCTTGGATACGCTTTTTCTGACAGGTTTAACAGGTTTAGGATCAAACTTAATAGTACTTGCTGATCTAAAGCTACCAAAAGATCTACGTTTGACAACTGCTGGCGGAGCATTCTTTTCTTCTTTGAATTCTTCATCCATAGATTCAAACTTCTTCAGCATTTTTTTAATATCAACTTTGCTAACCGCGTCTAAATCAACCGAAGATCTCTGTTTATGACAAGATACGTCTGTTTTGGACCGTTTTAAACCAAACGCCTGTCTTCCTTTATTGGTATTATCTTCCTCATCGCTACTATCTCTAGGTACAGGCTTACCCGATAAATGTCTCTCAAAGTAAGTTAGATTATTTTTAGGTATTTTACTGACAATTCCAGCGCCATGCGTCGGTACTTTAAGCACCTTCTCCAAGTTCCTGTATTTTGCGTCGCTAAACGATCTGTATACTTTCCTGTCTTTTGTTTGGTGATCCAAGTTCTCCATCCACTGAAGAAGGTCGTCGAGTTCGTTTTCGTTTTTAGGATCTTCCAAGTCGCCTTCTTCAATTTTGTTTTCAGAAGTTCCCAATGCTTTAAAGAGATCTTCAATGCTACTAGATATTTTTTCGTCGTCCTCCTCAGGTTCAGGTTCGTAGTGAACTTTAAATTTATTCGGATCTATGGGTTTGTGGAGTTCCTCCTCGTTAGCTAAAAGGTTTTCGATGTAATCATCGATTTCGTTTAAGTCTGAGTCGCCGGGTTCAAAGTTAAACGAATTTTGCTTTTCCAACATTTTACTTTCTTCGTTTGTTTCTGGGAGGCTTTGTTGTTTACGAACGGGGCTTTTAGGGACCGCAGCTAAGGTCTCAGATCTCTTAAGTTGGGGTTTTTTGTTCGTATCACCAAAATATTTTTTGTTGGCATTTATAACTGCAGTATTTACTGCGACTTTAGGTTTTGTTTCTTTAGGGAGATTTATTTTACTTGGAGTTCTTTTGATTATCAATAAAGGTTCAGGTTCGGCCGATTTAAACTTAGAGACAAACTCGTTTCCGAAACTCTTCCTGTTTTCTTTTGGGGGAAGCACAAAATTCCTCACCACCTTTGTATCGGTTACGGTACTGGCTGTGGAACTTTTAGTCAACGAGTTTAATTTCCGCGGTGGTTTTGCTATTGTAAGCTTCCCTTGAACAACGTTAGGTGATTTTCTGTCAGGTTTTTCCTGAGATCTGCCGTTTTGTTCTGCAGATTTTCTGCCATTTTGTTCTGAAGATTGTCTGCCATTTTGTTCTGTTGCTTTGTTCATGTTAAAGTCAAGTTCGTCACCCGACATCGCACTGTTGTAATCACCTGAATTAACTGAAAGATTGTCAGATGACCTGTTTAAATCGTATGCTGCACTAGCGTTTAGATAACAAAGATTAGGTATAATGTCTGGAATAGACGTTGATTTAATTTTCACCTCTGTATCGGTGCCCGTGTCAGTGTGCACGACCGGTGGTTCTACATTCACTTCTTGTTTGCGCAACTCCCTGGCACGGATTTCATCTTCTCCCTCGGTAGCCGTGTCCGATTCGTCATCTAAGAAATAAAATATTATTTTAATATAAGGAATATTTTTGAATGGGAAATTATTTACCATCACTGGAATTTTCATCATAACTTGACTGATCGGAACTGCTGTACCCATCGGAATCAGATTTATTCTTCTTTCGGTAGTATTTTAATTTTTGGGCTAATCTCATGGTACCTTCCTTGGTTGCTGGTTCTTCTAGAGCGTCGTCATAGGCGTCGTCGTCAGAATCGGTATCACTGGAAAAATATTGCAAATAAATAATTTTAGTGCATAACATAAAATATATATTTAAGATTTGCGCCAGAAGATAATACTCAATTTGTAGAATCGTTCTTATTTCAGGTCACTATATCTAAAATGTCCTATTTTGGGTAATTTTTATAATAGAAATTAAAAAACAACATTTACATTAGTAATAAGCCGAACTCGATTTTTAAATAACGGCGATCGCGACATCTTATTTTTTAGTGAGATTTTTTACAGGCGTTGATAACTGATATACCAGTTTGTTAAGGAATAAATGGTAAAAAATCAAGTGGGTAGTAACCTACGCCGAGACAAGCATTTTCTGTCACTTTCAGTAGAATTAAATATTAATATACAAAATAGTAAAAGCCGGCCCTGAAGTGTACGTAATTGGAATACGGCCCTGTGGCAGGCATTGGCTATAGAGAGGGTCGCTCTTCTTATCTTCTGTGATGTTATGTTGTTTACTTTTTAGGCTTTTGTTTATTTTAAGCTTTGATTTATGGGCTGTTATAGTTAATGCTTGTTTTTAAATGCATATACATTAGGGTGTTTCAAAATAAGGTAATATTTTTCTTTTTTCAAATTCATGTAAAATTCTCGTCACTTATGCTAAAAAAAAATTCCGTCAAAATTTGAGCTCTTAATATTTGTACCTCAGAGCCATCAGGAGTTAAGTCCAAAAAGTTAATTATGCGTTGCGGCCATTTAAAGATGAGCCGGTGTTTTATTTTACCATGTATATAACTTACAATTTTCCAATAAATGTACATTTATTGGAAAATTGTTATGTACATTTATTGGAAAATTGTAAGTTATATAGTAAAATAAAACACCGGCTCATCTTTAAATGGCCGCCACGCATAATGAACTTTTTGGACTTAACTCCTGATGGCTCTTAGGTACAGATATTAATTTTAAAAGGTCCATCATCGAATTTAAAGTTTTCCCATTGATTTAACATGAAAAAATAGTTTTTTAAGATTTATTTCGCCTGCATGCTATGTAGAACTTTTTTTTATAAAAAATCACTGGTCCTTTTTTAGCATTAAATTATCTACAAAAAATCTTACAGAGTCCAGTCTGTAGATTCAACTGTTTCTTTTTAATTAACGTTGAAACGTATAAATTGTAAAAAAATTTGATATTTTTACATTTAGCGGCTAAAGTACAAATCGTAGAAAAAAAAGTCAATTAGCAATTTTGAAAATCGTTTAATGTTCTACAAATTCGTTTTGCTCAATTTCACCTACAGTTCAAAAGTTATAACTGTCTAAAATCCCATTTTCATGATTATGCATAATATATTAACTTTAAAATTGCTAATTAACTTTTTCTTCTACGATTAGTACTTTAGCCGCTAAATGTAAAAATATCAATTTTTTTTAAATTTATACGTTTCAACGTTAATAAAAAAGAAAGAGTTGAATCTACAAATTGGAGTCATAAGATTTTTTGTAGATAATTTAATGCTAAAAAAGGACCAGTGATTGTTTATCAAAAAAAAAGTTCTACATAGTATGCAGGCGAAATACATCTTAAAAACCTACTTTTTCATGTTAAATCAATAGCAAAATTTTAAATTCAGTGATTTTAAAATTAATATTAAGGGCTCAAATTTTTACAGAATTTATTTCAGCATAAGTGACAAGAATTTCACATGAATTTGAAAAAAGAAAAATATTGCCTTATTTTGAAACACCCTAATATACATACAATATATACACCCACTAAACACACACAACACTTAGTTATTTATAAAATCTAAATTTTGTTTCGTTCCTGCTTGATTTGGTTTATTTACTTTTACGCCTGTTTCAATTTTTTAAATAAACAATTATGCGCATTGGTCGTATTGAATGTGCAAAAACGGTTCAGTTAATTAAAACTTGAAATAGAGTTTACTTTTCTCAGTGTAGGGACGTGTTTGTTTTCTGAAGCCAGATGACATTTGGTAATAACATTGCGAATTTTGCGTATATAGTTTTTAACGATTAGTTTATAGATTAGAATCGAATTGGTAGTTATTAGGTCATGCAATTAGGAAAATTACTTTTGCCTTTTTTTCGACAAATTGATTGGACTATTTTTCTTCAAATTCTCAGTTATGCCAATTACGGTATTATCGATATTAAGCAACTCTTGCTAACAGCTATTTTTGATTAACAGCTATTAAATCACAGAGATATTTCGCCCCACTATACAATACAATACATTTTAAATTTAATTTAATGGCGGAAATAACACATTCATTTTATTATTACTCATAACAAAATGGTAAAATAAATTCTAAAAGGATATATCATTGTTTCCCATAATTTTATGATTGTTTGCATTTTATTGTACTATCTTATGTATTTTTTTCCAATCATGGGGAGGTAAGTTTTAATAAAAAGCCGATTTTCTCGATGATTTTGCCGAATGCGTTTGAGTTTTAATGGTAAGTATAATTCGTTTAGTCAATATAAGTTATTTATTAATTTTACTTTATGTTAATAATTATTACCTACTTTAGGTAGCAAATAAAATATATACAAATGAAAACAAATGTTAAAGGTTTAGAAAGAGAGAACAGACATTCAGTAATTTTAACGTTATTTTTACGTAAATATGTGGTATTTTTACTACGTTATTCTTTTGGTAGCTTGGATAGTTATTTTGTAGTAAAAATAACGTTTTCAACCATTCCCCGAATTTGGTAGTTTTTCGTATTTGTACCATTATTTTACCGTTTTCGTAAAAATAGCTTATGAGTCAACTTATGAATAAACATTTAGTTATTTTAATTTAAAATGCTGCTTTTTTATTATTTATTTTCATGTTTCATTTAAAAGTACTGAGCGCTGGCATTGTGGCAGGCTGTGCGCACTAAAAAACATTATCAAAGTAAGCCTAATAGGTACCTTAAAATTGTGTAACCTATAAGTATAAGTTAAAATCGCAAAAAAAATCATAAAAAAAGTTATAAAAACCTGTAACTCGAAGAATCATCATCAGAATCGTCCAACTCTTCTGCGCAAGAAGCTCCGAAATTCTTATCAGTCCACTCATCCTCATCCATTTGACTCAAAGGTTCATCGACATCCGATAGAACGCTACCGGTCGATAAATTGGCAAACTCGATCCTCTCTGGAGTTTGTACTAAACAAAAACAAAACATGTAACTGAATTTCCTTATTTAAACACCCAAAATTACCTCTGTCGAGCAGATCCAGACCTGCCACACCAGCGGACCGTTTTTTCTCCGGACTCCTTGAGATCTCTTGCTGCGGTTGTCTGTGGGACGATTTTCTGACGACTTTTGTGGAACGAGGCAGCTCTCCCTGCATTCCATAGTGATGAATGCAGAAGAATTTGTGGCCGTATTGGCCGTCTCGGTCGAAAGAGTACGAGCCCAGACGCAGTTGTGTATGACAATATTGACATCTGAAATAAAAAATATGAGATATTTAATATTTGATTTTGTTTAATATTAGTCACTCAAAAACATTTCTTAAACCATTATGTGCCTGTTTTTTTTTTGAAAATTTTATCATAAAATCAGAGTAGAAATATCATTTTAAAAAATGATAATTTTAGATAAAGATAAAATATAAAAAAATGTTTTACCACAAGGTTTTTTTTTAAAAAGTTTTGTATAAAAATAAGTTAAAAACATGGCCTTATTAAGGTAGTTGTAGTGCTGTAAGCATACCATCAGAAAATTTTAAATTTTTGTATACTTATTAAGGACATGTCAATACAATTATCCTTAAAATTTGAAGTCGATTGACCGTCTATAAACCGAGATAAATTCAATTAAAAATTGGATAATTAACATGGATTGTATAGGCTTTCTGTAGTTCTGTACCAGTTTCTTAGTTATAAAAAAAACTAACTGTCAGAAGCTTTCAAAAAACTAACAGTCTTTTAATGTATTTTTGCTGAGTTTAAAAAAAAATAATTAAAAATTTTTGACCGTCCAATTGTTTATAAATAACCGTTTAAAGTTCAACAATTTGTAAAAAGTACATCACTGGTGTCAGATAAAAACAACTTGGCAACGCTGTACGCGAGTATAGATTTCCGCAGTAAATTCAAACACACTGATTCAGTTTCCAATATATCTATTGGTTGAGCATAAGCGACGTTGCCGGATTAAAACTTATGAAAATATTTGAAGGTATTACGTAAAGTTAACGTCTCCAGGGTACAGTCTTGCGAAAAAATTATGAATCACTTAGCTACAATCTCGTATACTTTTACGGTGCGTATAATCTAAAAATTTTTAACAATATTGTACCACGACAACTACCTTAAACAAAACTTCATAGTATATTTAAGTTGATATTTAAAAAAATAGATAACATTATAAAACAATAAAAATTTAAATTGAAAATATTATAAGAAAGAACATTGAAATATTACTACAAACTAATTTGACACTTACTTAAAGCAACCATGGTGGAAGAACCTTCCTTCGGCCGAGAGCCGCTCCATGAGGTACACCCGTTTGTCGCAGAAGTGACAAAATTCGGAAGCAGCCTGGGTTGGCAGGTTAATTGGTGGACGGGTTACAGCTTTCTCTACAGGTTTTTCCTCTTTAGGTGGCGGTACTTTGCTAACCAACTTTTCAGTTATAGTAGCCACCTTATTCTGCCCCAAATCTCTAACAGTGCCTTCTTTAAGCTTATGGTCCAAAACCTTTATGTTCTTGTCTATATCGGCAAATTTAGCCTCAGCACTGTCCTGCCTATCCAAATGTTTACTCTCCATTTTAGTTTGTCGGGCTAGAAATTCCTCCTTGCTCCATTTCGGGACTCTCTCTTTATCTTTGTTGACCGATTTTCCGAGCTTGTTTTCCAAGATTTTCTTCTCGATTTCCTTAATATTCCAGTCGGTAGAATCAATCTTTCCTATCGCTCTGAGTAAGTCCTTAGGCTTACGGTCCACAGGTTGCGGGTCTTTCCATTTGTTTTCCAGACTTTTGATTCTTGCCTGAAGATCTTCATCATTTCCTGCTCTGAGTGATGGCAATTTGTTCTCATGGTCCTATAATTTAAAATACGAATTAGATAATACAATAAAAATAAATAAATATACAAGCTATGAATAATAATTGATTTAAAATCAATAATTACATGCAGTTTGAGTAAGTATACACCAAAACCTCTTCAAAATTAATTGTTAATCTATTTAACATTCCAATGTTATCATTAAATCAATTTTATGGTAAATAATATTGTTAAATTTTTCTGTTTAAATTTTTGTAGTAATTATGTACATCTATAATTAAACTAATCAAACGGAAATGTTTTATTTTTGTTTACTAAAGAAAATGTTATTAATAAATCATTAATAATTATTTGGTGTAAATAGGTTTTTATATAATCTTTCAATGTAAACTTGTAATCAAATAAAATGTGAATCATTTAATACTTTGAAAATAAATTTTGCGATAAGAAACACTTAAAGTGTAGCAGTTATTTAGTATCACACAAAAAGCAATTAGGTATTGTGTCACTGGCAGTAAAACTGGTTTTTATTATCTAGTTAAGGTTTTTAAAAATTTGTTTATAAAGTATTTATAGTACCAGGAAGCAAGGTACGTTTTTCGTCTCCAGTGGTGATTTAGTTTGCTTTAGTGAACAAATTGTATACAAAATATTTAATTTTATTTAAAAGTGGTGAGTATTGCCTATAAATAAATATAAAATACCGATTGTTTTTAATAAACGTTTGAAAATTTGGTTTTTTATTTTTATCCTTTACTTTATAATATTTATCTTTTTAATTATTAAATAAATAATTCAACAAATAAGAAATATACATACGGTATGTAACATACCAGAAAATAGGGTAAGTACAAAGTTATTTAATTTAATAAATTAAGGTTTCCACTTTCCTCTCGTTTTGACTTTTTTAGAAAGTTTACTTATTCTTTTTGTTAAATAATATTGTAGTAATTTACAGTTCCACATCAAACATATATATAATTTTAAATGTAAACACATTTTATGTAGATTTATTATAATACTTTAAACATTTATTTATTTAATCATAACTTTTTATGATTTTCTAAAAATTTAAATATCCTGTATTTTTCGTTTTCAGATTTTTTTTAGAAAAGTGGCCACCCTGTAAATTGATAATAATTGTTTGTATTCTGTAGTCAAATAAATTATACTGGAATTTCCATTTCAAGCTAAAAACACATTTTAAACTACTTTCTGTTGGATAGAAGAAATTGTTTTTTCTGCGATAAATTGCATTTTATTTTTAAAGATAAATATTTTTGAAGTAATTGAATTATTTAATTTAAGCCTTTTATAATAAAATGGAGAAACTGATAAGAATCTTTTTATATTTATATGATAGGTAAACCATAAAGATAATTGTAATTTATTTGTTAAATACTTCCTAATAATATAAAACAAATTTTAAAAGTTTTAATTACATGTTTAAAATTTTTAATATGTAAATAATTTAATAATTAAATTTGACAAAAGAAAATATTTAATTATGAATAAATTTTGTATGTTAATATTTTGCATCCAATTAAATTATGTCATTGTTTAGTTAAATGGCATAGAGCAGATTTTTTACGTTTACTTACCTTTAAAATTTAATTTGATTATTTTATTACATATATTATTAAATCAGAAAGGTATTTTAGTGAGAAAAAACAAAGGCAGTTTAGTATAAAACACTGAGACTAAGACACAACACACTGTCTTACTGGTACATAGGTGAATTTTTTTTCTAAATCTTTAACTCGTTCTTCGAAATTAGGGGCGTTTTGACGATACAAAAATATCGAGTAATCTTCAAAAGGTTGAGAATGGTCGGGTTTGCAATTTGCCTGAAGCATTTGCATACTTTTCAGAAACTGTTCGGTTTGACGTTTCCTTTGCTGTTTTCTTTTACTTTGCCTTTCGTTTCTGTTTGCTGATATTTCTTCCAACACCTTTTGCCTTTCGACCTTTACAATTTAGACATGTTAAAATTTGATATATACACAACATGGTTAGTATACAAATATATTACGGTAAAAATATTTACAAGGGACTTAAAAAACTATGTTTACTAGAAAATTAGATTTCGGTACCCGTATTGTTCGGCGTTTATGACTAAATCAAATAAAAACAATAACAGAGCTACCACTCCACTCTCAATTACAGCATGCATGAAAACGGAGAACATCTGGAACAAAGGAATGGGATAGGAATTTTAAAAAGGGGTAGGGTTAAATGATTTTTTAATCTTAAAGTTTTATATAAAATACATATTTACTTATAAGTTTATAGTCTTTGTCATAAAATAGTCATGCAGTATATATTATACACTGAGGTGTTCAATGCAAGAACCAGATAATGAAATTTCATTTTAGTTAAGAAAAAAGCTCTCCTTTAAATTCACCTTCAAAATAAATTAATATTTTTTAAATTGTATATACACTCCTGCAATCAGCAAACTTTATGCCAAGTGCAATTTTTAACAAACCACCTAATGAACCCTAAGTTCATTTATTAAAGTGTTTTTCTAACCTCCTGTACAATTGTATTGTTTTGGAGATACCATGGTTCTTGCACTGGTCCCCTCAATTATGATAGCAATATTTTGTATAAACATTTGTTTTCGAATCGTTTAGTATTTTGTTTATACACACAGATAATTCCTAAGCATAACATTTAAAAGTAGAAATAAAAAGGAAACACAGTTTGAAAACAAGGTATTTATGTTGAACAAATTTTAACAACTTTGGGTTTGTTTATTAGGCAGTAAGATAAATTGGTTGATATTAACTTTTTGTTATACCTCACTGAAAGCACAATTTTTAATTTCCATTAAAATTAGAGTGATCAACATTTATTAACCTATCTACTAGATAGTAATTTTTTGTGAACAATTTTATGACAATGCATAAATTACTTTGCACTTAGCATCATGGCAACATAAAAAATTACATGTTGGGTATTGACAAAAATGTGCAAATGATATCTTTTTAAGACAGTCAAAGATTCTATTAAAGAATTTTGCAAAATTGTTATGCTTAGGTATATAATATTGCAATAATGAAGAATATAAAAAAATATATATAAAAATAAAAATATCACAAACTCAATAAAAAAATATAGATGAACAACATTCTTTCTTGTTCAATAAATTTACAGTGCATCCTTAATAATTCGGATATAGATAGATCGGATTCTTCGGTAATCTGAACAAGCATTTTGATTTTATTATATATTTTATAATCCGGATTTAATAGTACTTGTTATTCCTGTTTATTGTTTTAAATTAAATTGTAGAATTATAATTCAAATAAATACACTAAAATTCCCAGTGAGGAGTTTCCTTAACTTCCTACAATGTGAAGTTTAACCGGACCTGATTAGTACGTGCTTATACTTCTAATAAATAAACTTAAATCGCCACCAAACTGTACATCCCATGGATCAAAATGCCAATGACAAAAGTATTTAAAGTCGAGCTTTAGCCCATATTTTATGTGAGTTAAGTAATTAAAAATCTTGAATTTAAAAGACGCAGTATACAGCGTATATGCTTACTATACAATGCTTGGGAAAAAGTCTCCTCCAGGGCTTCGCAGAAGTGCTGGTATAAAGATGTTGGTCAAGTAGTAATAATGGATGAATTTCGGCGCAATGTTTCCTCGACTGAAGAGATTACAGATGCTTTAGATAAGATCAGTATTCTCACAGAGCAAAATCAAAATCTCAAACGTGAAAAAACTGGCTGGAAAACTATGCAAATTTGTTACCACTTAAAGATATAGATGTTGCAAACGAACACCATGGTGGTGAATGAAGATCCGGAGTTAAATACAAAGAAGACTAGCATGAGGAAGTTAAAAGTTTTAATCTATGCATAGAGTACTTCTAGGATTAAAAGAAAGGGCTTTCTTTAAAATGAATCAGAAAAAGATCAAACAAACAAAAATAACCAACTACAAAATAATATAAAATCTAAATTAGTTTGTAGTTGTTTACACCAGAGCCAAAGTAAGGCAAGTCCTAAAACCTGATTTTTGAGAAGAGATTTGAAACGCAGCATTTTCAACTTTGCATTGTGGTTTAAATAAAGCTCGATTTTTATGAAACCCACAGAATATTTTGTAGGTTTGATAAAATCGAGCTTTAAACAAAAATGCAGATTAAAATTCCGTGTTTCAAATCTTTAAACGGATCTCCTTCAAAATCAACTTTTTGGACTTGCCCTGATTTGGCTCTGAGGTATTATATTCTGTATAACTTCTTTTTTTGTTAATAAACTATTTTGTAATTGTTTTAATAGTAAAGTGTACTGCTTCCGTATCCCGAATTATATATATATATTATCTGGATTACCGCGGATTTAATTAGTCCGGTTTATCAAGTTTGCACTGTAATATTAAGTGTGGATTCATAATGACCGTTAGCATAAGCAATACACAACAATACCATACACTTAAAACATAAGCAAAAACGTAAACATAAGAGCGTTCACAATGAGCTTAAAAAATGCATGGAGCCCGAACTTAATAGGTGATTTGACAAAACCTGCCAAATTAAGTATTTTTTTTCACCACCAGCGGGGCTGATTGTCGATGCGTATTGACGTTTTGATACCTAGCGTTTCGGTACAAATCAAACAATTTTATTAATAAACGGAACACCAGCGCCCTCTTATCTTAGGAAGATTTTTGTATACATGAAGTTCGGATTCCTTGTGTAGGCTCCATGCGCAGTACATTCGTAAATTTTAAACTAATGTCATTTTTTAGAACAAAACCTTATAAAATTTGTGAATTGTGTTTTTAAAATGAATGAAACTTAAGTATTGTTATTATTATTACTACGACGATGCCAGGAACACCGAGTGTTGTGACTCCTGTCAAAGAACGCCTAGTTCAAAATAATGTAAATTTCCTAAAATTTACTTAAGAAGTTAAAATATTTTAACTTTCTTATGTAGTTTGTACAAGATTCCATAAGCATAACGTAAACTGATGCGCATTGTGAACAGGGCCATTTAAAACGTGGTATCCAACTTTATGTTATATGTTTTATGTTATTTTTAAGTTTATGTATTTCTTATGCTTACGTTCATTGTGACTCCACACTAATTCTTAATTTTAGACCGCGTTTTATGATTTATTTTATTTTCATCGCCAAACCCATATGCGCGCAACATACAAACAACCTTAGTTCTAACGCATCCACTATAATAACAGATGGCCATGTGCAAACAGAATACCATAATAAAATCAACGACGATCTCGTGCGAGTAGCGGCGTATCGTCAGAAGGGCGCAGTAAATGAGAAACAGTCGCAGCAACGCTGGCAAAATACTTACAACGCTCGCGCCCACTCGTTCCAGCGTGCGACGTTTCCTCGTCTTGCGATCTGGCGTCGGTTTGTTCGAGGAGATGGCGTCCGCGTGGCGTTTGTGTCGACTCGACAGACGTTGGCTGGCAGCTGCCTGGTAATCGGACAACTTGACTGTTTTGAACGTGGTCTCGGTGCGCTTGCTGCTCTCTGGAAGATCCTGCAAACGGAATATGGAAATTGCAAAGATTTATTTTAACCCTTAACTGGTACCGTCGGGTCATTTTTGACCCGCAGCCCCATATTTTAACACAGATGTCTTGTTTTTACGTTAATTGAGATAGGGTTCCGTGACTTCCTGTTGGGTGTGTATCAATCTATACACCAAGTGTCAATTTATAACAATTGGTATATGTGCATGATTTTGCAAAATAGACTGTAAAATAAACCCAAATTTTTTTTTTTATAAAAAAATGATTTTTTTATTAATGTGTATACTAGGTATTAGGTGACTGCACATAATGTGTTATTTTGTCAAAAACGTTTAATTGAGTTGAAAATCTTTAATATGAGGCCTGTCAGAGCAAAGTCAACAATCTCCCATCAGACTAAAACTGAGTAAATTGAGATAATTGATTTTTGTATTTTAAATTCTAGATTTGTAATTTTTTTTATATATTATATTGAAATATTGTTGTTGTTAGTCTAGTAGCCAACTACAAGGTCTCCAGGATGCATAGTATAGGTGAAATCTATAATTATAAATTGGAGATTGCTGACTTTGATATGAATTGCTGGAGATTGCTCATTTTGTTGTAAACGTTTAAGGAGATTTAGAAAAATAAACAAAAAAATAATTGTTTTTTTATTCCTTTAACGGGTATAAAATTTAACTATACAATCAATGTGGGAAAATTCTGAACTGGACCACATAAATCTGGAGTTTCTTCTAAATCTGGGACAGGTTGCCTCGTGCAAAAAAGTTTTTATAGTACAACAACTCATCATCTTCTTCCCACTTTGCCCCGTAATGTTTTACTTGCAATATTTTGACATTATAAGCCTTTTCTTGCTTTACCTTTACGTCTTATTATGGTATAATAGCACAAAATAAACAAGATAACTTTTTTTTATAATTCTTAAAACAATAAAACGTATATATACCTATTTTAAATATATTTTTAAGTGCCATTTACTGCGATAGAACTTAACAGTATGTACCAGTAAAAAAACACAAAATTAAATCTCTAAAATACGTTATAACATCAAATGTTAGGATATCAGGTGACACAAATTACTAATTTCTAATGGTGGAATTGGAGATTGTATACTTTGCTGCAAATCTATCAGTGGAGATTGTCGACTTTGCACTAAATTTCATTTTTAAAATAGGATTTTAGGCAGGATTTAGCTCCTTTTGCAGCACAGCACTTTATCATCTTATAGATAATTAGTTGAGGTATAGTCTCCGCCAAAAATCTAATTTTTCACCAAAAGTGGAGATTGTCGGTTTTGCTATGACAGGCCTAATATGTTATTCCATTTTTATTTTCCTACTTATTTGTTTGGCTTAAAATCAAAAAATTTAGTAGTAATTTACATTTTTATCTGTATGAACCTGTTTTATAGATTGCATTAAACGAGTATTAGGCGGTATATAAAGATACAGTTTTTAACCTTCTTGCTATTTAAAAGTTTCGAAAACACGATACGTTGCTAAATATGATGATACCAGTTAAGGATTAATAATTATTCTGTTTATACGTACAGGGTTTCCCACGTTTTTAAATTTAAAATAACTCGAAATGAGACTGCGCAGCATTTAAAACTTTAAACTCCTTTGGGAAATCATTTGGGTAAAGACCACGTTCTTTCCATGAAAGCCTTTTGCAAAAACATCAATTCGTTGATCGCCGCGCAGAGATTTATCTCGGCATGCTACATCAGTAAAATTAATTAAGAGTTGGGTGAAGAAATTTGAGGAGACGTATAACACAATGTAGAAAAGAGAAGAGGCAACCGTAAGACCATTAAAATACCAGAAAAGTGAGTGCAAGAGGCTGGTTGATTCGTAAAATTCTGCGCTGCTTTTATCAAAATGTATTCTTCAGAAAATCTTAAAAAGGGTGCCCCACGGCAAGTCTGTTTTTTACAAGATATTGATAAATGTTAAATTTTACTGATGGAGCACGATTAATTTTGTCATGATCAGCTGAAACAAATATCCGCGTGGCGATCAAGGAATTGTTTTGGTAAACGGATTTATCGTAAAGAACGCTTCACCCGTCATTGACGGGCCGTCAAGCATACCAATTGATTTACCAAAGGATGACCTTCATCACTAGCACACACTGTAAATGCCACGCAGTCTTATTTCGATTTATTTTAAATTAAAACAATGCAATCTGTGGCAAACTGGTTTTGGAGCACACTAAATCAGTGCGCGTTTCCTCATTAAAATTCGCGATTCTCCCGCCACCAGCAGGCTAAGAATATACAGAGAACTGCATAAGCTCCGCCTACTTATCGCATGTGCGACCGTTCTTCGTCATCAAAGCTGGATCGTTTCATTCCGTTTCACGTGAGCGCGCGAAGCGAGATTAGTATATTTAAGAACTAATGTCATAAGACGTCATTTTATCGCACGCGGACAATTAGTTAGTCATGGAGTCGAAGACTTATAGGAGCAGAGGAATTTTTTTGTAATGGACGAGTGCGACAAAAGGTCTTATGACATGAGTTCTTTATGCTATTTTATCTATTTTGCAAAAATTCTAAAAATTTATTTTATACCTTAAATTTAATTTGGTCGAATTTTACTTTAGATAGTATCACAGACATTGGTTTGACAGTTAATGTCAAAATCGATTCGCCATGCCGTCCTTTATTTACTTATTTACAATAAGCGGCTGTTATTGTTAAAGAAGAAAAAAAGGAGAAAAGTCTCGTGAGTACTAGAAAAATCATAAAAATATTATAACCAATATTATGCTGTTTAAAGTATAGCCAACCTATAAAATCAAAATTTTGGGTGGGATGAAGTATCTCATTACAGCACCGAAAGCGTTGAAGTCATTATGAACGCAAAATAGATAAAATTATTTAGGCGCTTGGGAACGGTGCGATAATAATAGGGAGGTTCGGAAACTTTCCGAAAAATAATATAAATTATAAATGTGAGTGCACGTTAGGCTGGGCTGAAATAGTTATTTTTGGAAATCTCACTTGTCTTAGTTAAAAAAAGTATTTGTATAGGCTGTTTTTTTTTTAATTTTTAAAAATAATTTAGCTCCGGGGGATTAAATGTTTTTAAAATTAAGACAATTTTTTTTAACTTACATTTTGAATTTGGCATATTGAAAAATTATAAGGTATTAACTCATTTGTAACACAACAAAAATCTTGTTAATATATTTTAATTTTAGGCTCCGCCCCAAAGCTTTTAAAGTTCTAATATGCAGTTCTTCGATTAAAAAAAAGCCGTGGGGAGCGGCGTAAAATTAAAATATGTGTGTTAAGTAAGTTAATACCTAATAGTTTTTTAATATGCCAAATTCAAAATATTTTTTTATTGAATTTTAAGAAATTTCAACCCCCCGGGGGCGCGGCTAAATTTGTTTTTAAAAATTAAAAAAAAACAGCTTATTTGTGTACCCTTCTTACAACTTTTTTTAACTAAGCCAAGTAAGATTTCCAAAATTTTTTTTTGCCATTTTCGGTAGTGTACGTGCTCATGTGCTCCTATAGAGAAACAGCCACTGTTTTTTTGTCTTTTTATATTATCACTATTGTGGTTTATTCCATTTATTATTTTATTTGTTATATTTTAATTTTCTTTATTTTGTATTTTGTATCAAGGTTTTTTATTTTCGCATATGTTTTTACGTTTTTAATGATTTTTATAATTAAATTATTTGTCAAGTTTGCGATTTTCCTATTTAGGCCAGTAAAAGGGTAAGATTTTATATAGAGAACCCAATACTTTTATACCAGATGGAATTTAATTTCTTTAATCAAAAGAGCATACATGGAATAGTACCTATGTATTCTGGTTTTCGAATTGATCTGAACAATCCCCGCGACGCTATGCCCCTCTACATTTTTATAAAACCTATTTTGCTCTCCGATCGCTGTTTTTGCTTAAATATAATAAAACCCCTTTTGCGCTATATTTGTTAACAATAATTTTCTCTTGAAATTTTGTAGCTTTTGATATTTCCTATAAAATGACCATTTATTTGTGTTAAATTAATTATCTAGCTAGATAAAACCTAATATTAAAACAACCTGAAATAAAGACAAATTTAATTAAATAAGCTTTTTCAGTTCTTCCTGTTATGATTTCCATAACTTATGCAGGCGCCAGTTCCGGGCGTATCATTTTTTATAAACATACTTAGCCGTGTATACGTTGCAGAAAGGTGGTGTGATTTTGACAGTGTGTCAAGTTAAATCAAATTTTGAACTGTTTTATAACGTCTACAGATTACTCATGTGTCTTTATTTATTGCCCCAATTTGCCTTTCTACAGGGTGTAACCAAAAACCGGCTCACTCCGTTATACTGGTAAATTTTGAAATTTGGTAGTAATAATAAAGAGTTAATTTATAATTATTTCAACTTTCAATGGATACTAGAAAACTTCCGATTTCCCCGAAAATAATGCCAACTTTCGTTTTTTCAATGAAATATTCTGCATATTTTTGCATAATTTTAATCAGGAGAAAATTTTGAATTCGATACTTACACTTTCGAGGGAATTTTAAAATAATCTTATTTTTTTTGTAATTTAAGTTTTCCATAAGTGTAATTTTCGTGGAAAACACTAAACGGATTTCTGGATTGAAAAATAAAACTGGACTAAAATTCAAGGTAAATTGGAAAATGGTAGTGAATGTACATCTAACGGATTCAAAATTTTCTCCAGATTTCAAATATACAAAAATATAAAAACGAAAGTTGAACAATTTCCGACGAAACCGATTATATTGCAAGGCGCCGGCCATTTTGTAATGAACGAATGTAATTTCAGATTCAGTGAACACAAATACCCCGTTTACAGAGAAAATTTATAATTTTTTATGTCATTTAGGTTTTGTCTAGCTAGATTATTAATTTAACACACTTTGCAGTGTAGGGTGGACAATACCACATTTTGACGTCTCTTTAAAAATAAGATTTTAACCCTTTACAACCTTATAATTTGTTGGTAACAAATTAAAGTATTTAAAAATATGTCCATTAACAGCAAAATTTAAAACTATGTAATTTACTTACTTTTTTTATACATTGTTGCGTAATTAAAGAAAAATGCGCTCGAAGCTCCCGAGAAACGAAGCTTGCGACTTCGAGAGTAGATAAACCAATTTAATAGCCAATTTATAGAAAATTTTTTGAGCTACAAAGTTTTAAGGGGATTTTCTAAAAAAAACCATCGCAAAAGTGATAAAAAGGGAGAAAAACAATTTCTAAAAAAGTTGTAACTTTTTTGCATATATTTATGCAACAACGCATTAGTAGGAAAAATAACTTTTGTAAAAAATGTAGCTTTTAAAATTGCCTGTATTTTAAAAGTTAAAAGTTATTGGCGATAAACGGTTCGTAAGTTATTAAAACACTTGGTTGTTTTTTTTGCGGGGGTTGTTCGGATCAATCCGAAAACCAGAATATATATTATTCAATGTATGCTCTTTTGGTTAGAAAAATAAAATTTCAACCGGTATAAAAGTACTGGCTTATTTATTTTTTGTATTTTTAAAATATTCAGGGTTAATATATTTACTTTTTGTGTTATTATGTCATAAGAGTACAAAACACAATGGAAAATAGCACTTAAACATTTTGCCTATAACTAAAACATTAAATTATAAAATTATTAATCAATATAAATTTTGTATTTCTTTGAAACAAAAATAATTAAATTTTAAACTTCAATATGGACAAAACAGATAAAACTCATAAAAATACAAAGCTAAAGTAAAGTAAACTAAAAGGATGGGATATAGTAGCAAGGAAAAACATACTGTCTCTTCGCCTTCTACAATCACAGAGAATTTTTTCGACTGCGTCGTCGTGGGCTTGCTTTTCCCCACCGAGTGCTGCTGACTTCGGAAGGGCGAATAATTCGAAAATTTAGACAGCGTCCTAATCACCTTGTTGCAGGACATGTTTTTCATGATCTGCGTGAAATTTTCCACGGACGGAGCGGGGCTCTGTTTGCATCGCACCTCGTCCGTTCTCTCCTCAATTCTGATGCCGTCCGCGTTAACTTTCTGATTTTTTACCATGGCTCTTGTAACAGATGTAATGTCCGAAGTTACGTCGTCGGTAAGCACCGTTTTGCCGTCCAAATCGGGCCTGCGTGCGTCGTCCGGGACGCGAAAATCGTGCGTGCTTATCCACGTGGACACTCTACTGTAGATTTGGTCGGGTAACACGCCGCTCTCTGGCCGTGTATCGTTCATATTCTTGCTAGACGAAAATTTATGTTTATGTGCCTTATGAAATTTGTATTTGACGGGTCGTTTTTGACATTCAAAGCTGGCTTGCTCTACCGACTTGGACGATATAGTCAACGTGTTTTTCAACGGCTCATAGTGAATTTCTTGACACTTAATCGACTGATCTTTAAGCTTTTCGATTATGTGAATGTTAATCGATGAATTACGCTCGGATTCCCAAACTTTATATGCATTAATAGTACGGTTTTCCTCGGGTATATCTAATACTTTTTCGGCCACTATATCGCTCAAAAGACATAATGAACTTGACCTTGATAAATTAGGATTTGTTATGGTTTCGCTCTTTTTACCTTCAGTTATTTGAAAATCCATTAACTTATCCTCTATTTTATTATCTACCTCCAGTATTGCCATACCACATTCGATATTTTCAAATTTCTCATTTAACTCATCTTTAATGCTTGGTTCAGGAAATAAATTCATAAACTTCGTCAACGAAGTTGAAGAACAAGACTCGTTTATTTCCTTTACTTTTTGTATAATAGTGCATGATTCATTTAATTCGGTTATATATTTTTTAACCTTCTCATTTTTTAGTGGCATATCGCCATTACCTTTATTTATTTCACCATTATTTCTATATGGTAATTCATTTAAAATTATTTCTGTCATGGGGTAAAGTACAAAAGTAAATGGGCTTCTTTTTTTCCTTTTGCGTTTTTTCTTCTTAGTCTCGGCTATAACATTATCTGTAATATTGTTGCATTCTTCAAGTGACTGCTTTTCACATGCATTTAATTTTAAATCAGTATCTTTAATTGGATCAATAATAATATTGTCGTTTGTAGTTTCTTCAATGTTGGAATTGTTTTTAGCCTTTTTGAGTTTTTTTAATTTAACATGTTTTTTTAGTTTGGCTGATCCACTTAATAATTGTTTTTGACTATCTACTTCACAATCACCATTTTCTCCTTTTACCCCTTTTTGTTGTAAACTTAAAAGGTCTTTTTTAATACTAGAATTCAGAATATTAGATTTTTTTGATTTATTATCAAGAAAAACAGAGTTGTAATTTATAATTTCTTTGACGTATTTTTCGAGTTTATTATCTTTTGGTGGTATATCAACAATTTCTTCTGCTCTGTAATTTTTATGTTGGTTTAAGGATTTTTGTTTGTTTTCTTTTGGTGTGTTCTCAACATTTTCTTCTGTTACAGTATTATTTATATGGTTCAAAGATTTTTGTATGTATGTTTCATCTTTGAGTGGTTTTTGGACATTGTCTTCCCATTTGTTATTTTCTTGTTTGTTCAAGGTTTTTTGTATGCACTCAGCTATTTGTTTGGCTTTTTCTTGGGTGGTTTGCAATTTGGATTTAAAATAGGAATTCATGGAATCAAAGGAAATTTGGGACAAGGACTAAAATAAATGAGAAAGCGTTCATTAACTACCATTTAAAATACATTAAATTTAAGAACAAAATGGTTTAAAATTATAAGCATTGCTAGAAAAATAGTTTGACGTTTTATGTCTTTAACCTAATTATTTAAAAGACATACACATATACATACTGTATGTAACATACATATGGTCACACAAAAAATAATTGAAAAGTTAAAGCTCATATAGTTTTACTCAACTAAGTTGGATAACGTTTTACTTACCAATTTAGGATGCTTAATATGAGGAATTTCGCCTCTAAACGTGTGATAAACTTGCGTCAAATACGAAGCCATGGTTAAATAATCTTCAATATTTATTATTTCTTCGCCAGTTGAAATAGGAGGTATACCTGCACAAAAAATTAATCCAATAAAATATACGCGCAAAAAAATAGTTTAAAATGTCCTTACCTAATTCCTTTTCAAGCACATCAAACGCAAGTTGATTATTTGTCGCCGGGTTCCCATCTTTGATAGCATTATAATCCAACAAATCCGGTCTGTAATGATGAACAATCGCGCATAGCACTTTTCCATCCTTTAATACCGATTCTAAATCGGTAATGAAGATGTCTTCGTGTTCTTTTACTTGATCTGATATCCAGCTGAGTAATACTTCGTTGTCAACGTCGCCTAAAAAAGTTAATTTTGTATTACAAACATTTTTTATTTTTCTCTTACCTCTTCTTCGTTTCTTTGGCATTTCAATTTGAGGCGCTTCATAGATGTTTCTTCTCATTTTGTCGATACTGTCCGGGTTGTCAGTTTCATATAAATTAATAACTTGATGCGCAAGCACGACGTTTTTGTTTAAATTTGGGTATCTAGTGGCAGGGTCAAGCGTGTACGATTTCCAGTCTTTATTCAAATTGTCAGGAGTCGTTTGCGCCAGCAGCCTATACGAATAAATATAATTAGCACTAGTACGCCAGTAAAATTTGTTAAAAAAATATCGCAAAAGGAGTAAAAAAGTTGAAAACTATTTACCAAAAAAATGACGTTTTTAAAATATATTTAAGCAACAGCGCATCAGAGAGCAAAATAGCTTTTATAAAAAATGTAGGTTTAAATTACCAGTATTTTAAGAGTGTGTTTCGCCTGCGACAAACGGTTCATGAGTTATTAAAAAAAACGTTAAGAATACATATTGAATTTATTTTCTTTTGAATACAAAATAAAATTCCAACCAGTATAAAAGTATTGGGCTCCCCATATAAAATCTAAGACTTTTACTGTAAATGTAATCCCGCAAAAAGCAAGTATTACTGTGCGAATTCTGTTACAAAAATTATTAAAACATGATAGGACAAATTCACCCAGTAATACAAATTTAAAAAAAAATGTGGGAAAAAATCGCACAGTACTTGATATAAATATAAAAAGACAGGACAGGGCAAACTTTCAATATTTCCAAAAATTTAAAAAATCTGTACAACTTTTTTATTTTTAAATTTTTAAGGTTTAAAACATATTTTCATACCATTGTTTCTACTTTAGAATCAAATGTCGCAATTTCTGATGTAACTGATAAAAACGATATTATTAAATCAAAGAAATAAAATTTTTACCACTAAACAAACATGTTAAATAATTCTTTAAGAAAACCCAAACAATATAGCATACGTGATAATTGAATGAAGGAAAGGTTTTGGACTTCCATTGCCGTATTATTTTTTTATCACAACGTCTTCAGGTGAATAACGAATAAGTTAAGTAGCTACGGGTCTTTTTACATTCAAGCCGGGTGCACTGGAGTATCCAGGTGCAACGAAGCGCATTGCAGCATCCAGGTGTGGCGAATCCATGCAAGGTCACATATATTTAACAGCGGTTTTTAGGCGTTCCTTATGTACACTGAAGGCTTAGTAAAGCAGTCATAGTTCAGAAAAGGGCTTTAAAAAAATTTTGTTTAGTAATATTTTTTTATATTTAATTAATATTTGTAAATAGTCGAGGTTTGTGCGTGGCAGAGCTGTCAAAGATTCCCTTAAAAAGTATCTAGATACAAGATAAGTTACTTTTTGAAAAAGTATCCGAAGTTACTTTGGGTATCTAGTTACTCTTTAAAAAAAGGAACTTAAATACTTATCTTACTTTTTAAGATACTTAATAAGATACTTTTTTAGTTACTTTGTATATTATGTAATAAGTTTCGTATAAACCGCCCAACAAAAATTCGTTCCAACCCCACCCTGATTTTTCAAATAATTTTAAGCTTACTTTTTTAACAATTTTTTTCAATAAAATCTAGTTGATTAAAACCATTGAAGGGTCTAATGCAAAAAGTGTCTAACTTAGGCACTTTTAAAATTTCTTAAAAATAAAAAGAGATAAAATCGTTAATTAAACACCACTTAATTATAAAAATAAAAAAAATATCTCACACTTTTCATTTAATCTTTTTTTTTAAATTTAAAATGGAAAACATACATTGAACATTATAGAATGTACGGTACAATGTAACAACCAATATCCTACTTTAGTCCATCATAAAGAAGCAAGTGCAAGTACTTACCTAACCTAACTTATTTCAGACTTACCACTATAAATTCAAGTCGCAACGAACGGAAACACCCTTCTACAGAGCGGGTGGCGAAGTCACAGATTATAAAAGAAGTATAGGTGAATAAAAATTAAGTAGGTATAACAAAAATCGCCGCCAGTCGATTGGCGCCAGTCGCTGAAGTCGCCAGTATACTTATTATAATAACTTCGATGGCCGCGGCCGTTTCGAACAACTTGACTAAAGGAACTTTTCTTGTGGTATCTTAGATACTTTTTGGTATCGTAGTTACTTTTTGGTATCTAAGATACTTTTCGGTATCTAAGATACATTTTTTAAGTTACAAGATACAGTTCCTTTTAAAAGTATCTAAGATACTAGATACTTTTTGTTAAAAAATAAAGGAACTAAGATACAGTAACTAAGTTACTCTAAAGTAACTAAGATACTTTTTTCTGACAGCTCTGGTGCGTGGCATTGTTTTTTCCAAAAATTTACAAAATTAAACCAACGGTAAGCTTCCTTACTTAATCCAAATTGCTTTCGCATTTTATTGGGCCCGATTTGATCGTTTATTGCTGGCCATCGCAATTGCACAAGAAACATACATTTATTGGCAAGAGAATGGTATGAGAAATATGTTTTTAAGCTTAAAAATTTGGAAATTTCGAAAATTTGTCTTAACATTTTTTATATTATTCATATTGATAACTATATATTACTTATATACCAATTTTTTCCACATTTTTTTAATTTTCTGTTAAATAAAAAATTGTGACTGATTCTAAAGTAGAAACAATAAAACGCATGTCCAAGATTTCCAGTTTTGAAGCATTTATTTTGAGCTTTCAACCTATTTTTAAGCTCAAAATTTTATAAATTTTGGAAATTTTTAATATTTGCCTTTCCATTTTTTATATTTATTCTACTGCGCGAATTTTCCCCACCATTTTTTAATTTTAATCTACTGTGTCAAATTGACCTGCTGTTTTTTAATTTTGAACTTCTGTGCGAAGCAGGCATGTGCGCGCGCCGTTTCCGTTTCATCTTTCGTAACATGTAAGTTTTGATTTAGCCCGTCCGCAAAGAGGTGGTAGTTTTATTTATTGTGTAACTTACCTATAAATGGACTCGCGCTCAGCCATCACGTCCAGCGGAGTGGTCGTCGGCGAAGCCCAACTTCTTATCGCCCACGCGGCGTCCAGTGACGAGAGGAAACCCCTAGCACACCCCGAACCAGTTGGCCAGAAAGGTTCTAGCAAACTGTCGCCGACCAGGATCATGAGCAACTGGTAACCATTGCGTTCAATAGTTTTCGAAGCGTTTTCTGCAGCGTACATCGAGGTAAAATCAAACATGGCGACGTCGGGCTGGCCGTAGTGATTTACTGCGAACTCCAGGTTCGGCATTTGGTAGTTCGTACTAAAGTTGGCCGCCTCTTTAGCGTACTCTTGCAAAGCATCCCTGTCCACGTTCTCCAGACCCAATAATTTCTCCGTATCTGACAAATCCTGCTTGATGACTCCTTTTTCTATGAGACTAGCTTTTTTGGCAGTCATAACAAAGTAATGCGTATCGTCCTTATAATAAACTATATTCTCTAAATCAATTCTGGTTTCTTCGTACAAATCCTTAAAGAATTTTTGGTTGAATATGAAAGCGACACCGCTGATTTCTTCGACCCGCGCTTCCGCCTCCGTTTTTTTATTGATAAAGTTGGCAGTAATGGCTATTGCAAGCTTGCCCCTAAATTCCTTACGCTTAAATCCATGCAGGGTGTTACGTTTTCCATCTGCGGCGAGTATAACATCAAATTCGTATTGCGACACCGGATGATCGGCCGGTTTAAATTCTGCCCTCCAACCAGTCTCTAAAATAAACAAAAATATATATAATAATCTAAAATCTATAAAAGTTACGTATTTTATCTTAATGACTTATATTGTAATACAATTTTTACTTTACGTAAACTTTTATCGATTTTAGACTATTAAATAGCTTACGAATTGGTTATAAGCGCGCTTATAACCAATTCGGAACTAATAACATGCGAAGTTAAATGAGACGAACCATTTTATATACTCTGCGCATGCTTAATATTTCCAAACTGGGTTCAAACTTAAAGTAAAGAATATAGCGAACAAACAACCCAAATGGACTTCAAAACAGATAGTTTATGTTTATGTTTACTAAAAACAGCTACTAGTTGCAAAATGAACGTTTTATTGCAATAGCTGATCCTATCCTATCCTATCCGATCCTATCGAAAATGACACTGACCATAGGATTCCTATGGTCAGTGTTCATTCATTCATATTAATAATCCAGAGCAAACTTCGACTATCACCCAACCCCGGTGAAGGGTCTAATGCTGAATTACGAAAACCGTCTCTCGTGCCGAGAGTCTCGGCGTCCCCCACTCTTAAAAATTATTTTCCCACTCTTAAGAACCAAATGCGGCCTGTCTACATGTAAAATGAAAGTACGGTATATAACATCTTGGTTGCATGAGTAAAATAGTTTATAATAAATACACTGCGCGTCAAAATTAAGGCATAATAAGTAAAAAACTCTAAAACGCCTTCACCAATCTTTATAAATTTTTTTATAAGAATACTTCAACTTATATCTTACTTTCCGTGTTCGAGGGTTTTTCAAGAAAATATTTTTAAAGCCTCTTTATTTAAAAATAAAAAAAACGTTCAAAAAATAACTTTTAGGTATTTTTTTTTAATTAAAAATATGCTGTTAAAGGCCGTATTTTTGTTAGTATACCCTGAAAATTTTGTACAAATCAAAAGAAACAGTAACGAAGATACAGCGCTTCAAAGTCGGTAAAAATTACCCCTTTTTGATTATTTTGCTGAAAAGTTGTCATTTTTGACTACTTTGAAGTAAGGCTGGGAATTTGTTAGTTTTTGGAATTCGAATACTCGTTTAAAAATTATTTGAAATACTCGAATTATTCGAATATTCGAATTATTCGAATATTCGAGTATTCGAATATTCGAGTATTCGAGTATTCGAATTATTCGAATATTCGAGTATTTGAATAATTCGAATATTCGTGTTCTCGTAAATTCGAATAATTCGAATATTCATGTCTTTATAATCTGTGATTCATGTCCTCGTACATTCGAATAATTTGAATATAGAGTACATTTTTAAATATTCAAATAATCGAATTTTTAAATACTTGAATATTAAAATATTTCAATTAATCAAAACTATCTTTGCTTTGCTTATTTTTGATGACATGGGGGGTGGGGGTCTAGATGGTGATTACGTCAGCAGTAGTTATTTACTTTTTTACGTATATGGCAACCCACACATTGTCTATGCTTGAAATTAGTAATTACTGATTACTTTTTGCTACTGTCCAAAACGAAGCCACTACATATATCGCTTTTGTCGAATTTGATTATTTTTGGAATTTTCAAAATTCAAAAGCCATCTAATTTTTGATGAGAGCTGTTATTTTTTTTTAATAAAAATGACAAATTAACATATTCCAAAAAAGTTTTTTTTGCACCACCCTTATATATACTAATTTAAAGTGTTTTAATATTCGAGTATTCAAATATGCGAGTATTAGAATATTCGAGTATTCAAATATGCGAGTATTCGAATATTCGAGTATTCCAGTACCTATTCGAATATTCAAATATTCGAGTATTCGAATATTTGAATATTCGAGTATTCGAATAATTTATAATCGATTTCCACCCCTATTCGAATACTCGAATATTCGAATTATTCGTAATCGATTCCCAGCCTTACTTTGAAGCGATGTATTTTCGTTACTGTTCGTTTGATTTGTACAACATTTTCAGTGTATACTTAAAAAATACGGTATTTCACAGCATATTTTTCATTTACTTTAAAAAAATCCCTATAAAAGTTTTTTTTTCGAGCGTTTTTTTTTATTATTAAATAAAGAATATTTTTTCAAAAAACCCTTGAACACGTAAACTGAGATTCAAGTTAAAGTATTTTTATCCAAAATTTTATAAAGATTGGATAAGGCGTTTTTGATTTTTTTACTATTTGTTAATTTTGACGCGCAGTGTATAAAGAATTGAAAGAATATTATCAGTACCGGGACTCTAGTTGTTAATATATTAAATAATAAAAAGAAAGTAATTTTAAATGCAAATAACCACTATAAATCTTTCTTTACATTAATTAAAAAAAAAACGAAAAACAATCTTAAACAATTGTTTAATTAAAACGTAAATTTGAATATGCTTTTTTAAAAATACAATACCCTTGTCTTCCGCAATAAAAAAACACAAAAAATATAAATACCCTCTACAACATGTAAGTAGTATACAAGATATGTATTATACAAGATAGTATTATTTATCTTATAAATTAAAATAATTAATTATTTTACTTACTATCATTTACATTAGGTTCAATCATCTTTTCAAAGCTGACTTCGGTGTGGATTTCCACGCCAAGCACAAGCGCAATCTTAAGTAAAATGCATTGAAGTTGTCTAATACTAATGTGATCAATAGCACCGGCACAAAATTTGCCGAAAAATCTCTTGGCACCCAAAGCTCGAAGGTCCTCGATCACGAACGGCCATAAATGTAGGACGTTGTTACGAGAGAGCCTGTCACGTTTTTCGATAACTACCTAAAAAGAAAAGATATTTTTGTTGATTTGTTATGTTATAGTCATGTTTTTAATTTAGATTAAAAATAAAGAAAGTAATATAACACTATAAACTAATTAAATTTTAAAAGAATCTTTAAAATCCAAAGAATCACGAAAAACTAAAATTTTACAAAATCAAGACAAAAATAAAGGGTGATTCATTTAGACCTTTTTTTTTTAATTCTAAATTAAACGCATAAAATGGAATTGGATGGTGAAATCTTTATTATGACCTGAAAGAACATTTATTTTTTGAAAATAATTTTATTTAAATGCTGGCCGCGACTACGCCTTACGTGGTCTATTCGGAAGGTCCAACTTTCGATCACTCTTTCTAGCATTGCGACCGGTATCTGCCCAATTACGCGAGTAATGTTGGCTTCCAAGTCCTGAATCGTAGCTTGCTTATCGACGAAGACTTTTGATTTAACATGACCCCAGAAAAAAGTCCAAGGGTGTGATATCACACGATCTAGGCGGCCAATTGACAGGTCCAAAACGCGAAATTATCTGCTCACCAAAATGATTTCTCAATAAAGCTATTGTTTCGCGCGCTGTGTGTGCCGTCGTGGCCAGCATTTAAATAAAATTATTGCCAAAAAATAAATGTCAAAGATTGTTCTTTCAGGTCATAATAAAGATTCCTCCATCCAATTCCATTTTATGCGTTTTATTTAGAATTAAAAAAAAAGGTCTAAATGAATCACCCGTTAAAATAATCTTAAAAAACAATAGTAAAATCAGTACCGCACAGCTCTGTCTAAATAAATATTTAAACATTTAATTTTCTTAGTTTCTTCAAGAAATTTTCTTGACCCATTACTGGTATTATTCAAGAGGAATTGAACTTTAACCTAGCCAGAGTTTTTGTTTTGAGTGCATACCACCAACTTTAAATACCGACAGACAGCTGTATACTGGGTCTTATCAGTGTAGGGCAAGCCAACAAAGGCGAGATGTAAGAACATCACGTGATCCATACTGTCTAAAGACGTAGCATTTACCGCGATTGGTACATACTATGCAACCAAGAACGCACGGCAAATTGTATCACAGATTTTATATGGCCTAAAGGAATCTAGAATTAGCCAACCTGGCTAAACTGTACCAAGTTGTCAGACACTGATGAGACCAAATATAGGTCGAAACAGCTCTGTGTCGGTATTTGAAGTTGGTGGAACGCACTCAAAACAAAAACTCTGGCGTGGTGAAGGTTCAATTATTCTTGAATAATACCAGTAAGGGGCCGTCCATTAATTACGTGAGGCAATTTTGGCGATTTTTCGACCCCCTCCCTCCCCTTGGCGAGATGTCGTGAGATTTTGCTCGACCCCCTCCCCCCTCCCTTAATCTCACGTGAGATTTTTTTTAATTGTATAGTTTTAATAAGTAAGTTTAAATAAGTTAATCTGTGCTTGATTCCATTAGATTTATTTAAAAAAAAACAAATCGCTTATAATTATAATTTTTTACTTAACTTAACCCTCGTTTTCTCGCAATTTTACACTGTTTCTTTCGAAAAAAAAATTACGTGATATTTGCCGAGACCACCCTCCCCCCACGTGAGATTGAGTGAGGTTTGGCTCGACCCCCTCCCCCCTTAAACACCTCACGTAATTAATGGATGACCCCTAATGAGTCAATTAAGATTCTTGAAGAAAATAAGAAAATTAAATGTTTACCTTACAGTTTAGTCAGGTTGGTTAATTCTAGATTCCTTTAGGCAATACAATTTACCGTGCGTTCTTGGTTGCATAGTATGTACCGATCGCGGTAAAGACTACGTCTTTAGACGGTGTGGATGTGATGTTCTTACATCTCGCCTCTGTTAGCTTACTTGGGCAGTATGAGTGTGTTCCACTACAACAAGTTGTCCGACAATGATGAGACCCAATATAGATCGAAACAGCTGTCTGTCGGCATTTGAAGTTGGTGGAACGCACTCAAAACAAGAACACTGTCGAGGTGAAGGTTCAATTACTCTTGATTATACCAGTAATGGGTCAAGAAAATTTATTAAAGAAACTAAGAAAATTGAATGTTTAAATATTTATTTAGACAGAGCTGTGCGGTACTCGAGTACTTGAACTCAAATTTTGTACTTTTAGTACACTCCATGTAGGTAATTGGTACTTTTAAAAATTGCACTTGTACTTATTTTATTGCGAAATTAAAAAAAGGACTTAATTACGTTAGTTAAGTTTTTGTACTCAAGTACATTATTTTTAGTACATATTTAAGGGATATTTTGATTTTAATAATATAGCAGGAGATTTATACATTATTTAGAGGATAAACGAAATAACACACCAATGTTAAAAATGCCTATTTAAAAAAGTAGTAAATAAGTAGGGAATGCAATTTTGCAGGAAAATGTACAATCTTGGTATAGCAAGATTTAAGAGGTGTAATCTCGCAAGATCTCGGTATTTTCCGAGATCTCGCAGATTTAAGATTAATAAAAAAAGAAATTAGTACAATTATTTTATTATAACTTTGTTAGGTTATATCGTAAAGGCAAAATATTAAATTAAAACATAAATTAAATAATTTATTTAAGACTATTCCGCTCATTACTTTATGGACCAATCAGATTTCAAAAAACGAGTGTTTTTTTCAGTGTTGCGGCGATAAAACTACCTAAAACCACTCGTTTATACGACCAACCAATTGGTTGCTATGCCAAAAATAATTGTCAATGTTGTCGTTTCTAATTTTAAAATAAAAAAGTCAAAAAATATCGGCAGTTAAATCTAATTTAAAAAAAAATATTCGTGAAATAGTCTTGCCGAATACCAGTGGTAATAAAATTTTCCCTGAATTAATTTAAAACCACTCGCCTAGCGGCTCTTGGTCTTAAAAATTAATCCCACTTGCAAAATTACCAAGAAAAAAACATTCGTATAAAAGTCAAAAATTTTATTGGTAAAATTTTACCACTGGTGGTACCTATATAATATTATATACGAATAATCATCAAGCTATTGAAGCAAAAAGTATAAACAAGACTTTATTATAATTATTTATTGAAAAAACTACATTATTTTGAAAATGACTTCTCAAAAAAGACAAAACACACATGGAATGCGCTGCGTCCTAATCTCGCAAATCTTGCGAGATCGCGCATGATTTTCGTGCAAGACTAATCTTGCAGAATTAGTGCAAGATCTTGGTATACCAAGATTGCATTCCCTAATAATAAGGTTTGCTTTTCTCAGAAGATATAAAAATAAAATTTTTTTTAGCGCCAAACTTTGTGTTCTTAAAAATTACTTTAAAAAAATCTTTTATTGTTTCTACACTGCCCGTCAAAATTAACACATAATAAGTAAAAAAATTCTAACTCTAAAACGCCTTTACCAATCTTTATGAAATTTTCTATAAAAATACTTTAACTTATATCTCAGTTTACGTTTTCGATGGTTTTTCGAGAAAATATTTTTAAAGCCCTTTTATTTAATAATAAAAAACGTTTGAAAAATAACTTTTAGGGATTTTTTTTAAGTAAATAAAAAATATGCTGTTATTTTTGTTAGTATACCCTGAAAATGTTGTACAAATCAAACGAACAGTAACGAATATATAGCGCTTCAAAGTCGGTAAAAATTACCCCTTTTTGATTATTTTGCTAAAAAGTTGTCATTTTTGACGATTTTGAAGCGCTGTATTTTCGTTACTGTTCGTTTGATTTGTACAACATTTTCAGGGTATACTAACAAAAATAACAGCTTATTTTTTATTTACTTAAAAAAAAATCCCTAAAAGTTATTTTTCAAACGTTTCAGGTTAACAAAAATACGGTCTTTCACAGAATATCTTTTATTTAGTTTAAAAAAAATTTCCTATAAAAGTCTTTTTCAAGCGTTTTTTATTAATAAATAAAAAGGCTGCAAGGATATTTTCTCGAAAAACCCTTAAACACATAAACTGAGATATGTTAAAGTATTATATATGTATAAGTATTTTTATCCAAAATTTTATAAAGATTGGCAAAGGCGTTTTAGAGTTGGATTTTTTTTACTTGTTATGCTTTAATTTTGACGCGCAGTGTAGTAACATAAAAATGGTATTATTTAAAAACTATAACCACATTTGGTATTTTGGAACTTTTGGAACCATTTTTATAGAGAAAAATCATTTTTAGATAGAGCTCAAAAACAGTCCTATAATACAGACAAACTTCTTAAGGATGCTAGATTACTTACAACTTTAGCACCAAGCAGCTGCGCCTCGATGGCGCTTCTCAGTCCGCACGGCCCAGCACCGATAATCAGCACGCGCGTGTTCGCGCAGATCTTTCCCTTGCCGTAGCACTTGTGCGAAGCCCTAGCATCGAACTTCTTGAGCAAAGCCTTCGCCTTCCACGACGTAACGTGCGCCCTCAGCTTCGGATAGAAAAGCGGAAAGACGTTCGGCTTAAGGTGCAGGTACTCGCAGATGCGCCGATAGTAGCCGAGGATCGTTTTCATCGAGGTGGCGTTCATGAAGTGCTCGAAGTACTCGGTAGCGTGGGCGGCGTCCATGCCGCTTACTGGGCGGCCGCGGTGCACCGGCGGCGCCGCGCCCTGGCTGTAGCGATCCATTGCCGCGAAGGCTGTGTCGGATGGTCTGTGATTATTTTTTGTGTGGAGTTGTCATTTAAGTGATGTGCATCTGAAATTTAAAAAATACATTTTAGATAAACATAACTTCTAATACCAGTTCATAATATATTACATGAAAACAAAAAATATAAGAGGCTATAAGATGAATTTTATAAAAAAAATCAAAAAACACAAAAAAACTGGCTATTTTTTAGTGGTGCGCTATTTTTGGCACACCCTTGTAACGATACACATTACGACATCTATGAGATGATTTTCCTAACTACCCGACGTCAAGGAAAGAGTTGGACTACCAGAAACCTGCAGTTAGACGGAACTCTAACAGATGGCGCTTGGACAGTTGTCAACCATATACTTATACTTGGTAAGTATATGTTGTCAACCGCATATGTGTTGTCAACACTTGTTATAAATTAATTTTTTTGCGACGCCGCCTAAAAAGCTTCTTTTTGATGAAAAAATACCAAAAATCCCAGTGTTTTTTCATCAAAACGAAGCTTTTTAGGGGGCGTCGCAAAAAATTTAATTTATAACGACAACCCTAATATTTATATATGTATAATATACATTGTATATACATATACGCATTTTTTTGGTTTTAAGCGAATATTTCGGAAATTGCACAATAAAAAGTAAAAAAGCAAAATTATTTTTTTAAATTTTTAATAATCTTTCCCTGAACTATTTTTTATTTATACAATTGAGGTTAAAATATATTTTGTTAAATTAAAAATTTTTCTTGCAAATATTTCGAAAAATGTGCCTGAGGCAAGGTCAAACGGCGGTTTGAATGTACTAAAAATGGCTACATACAATGCAGGGAAAAATAATAAAACAATATCTTCATGTGTTCCTTTTATAAAACACCTTGATAAATACATGTATATATTCTTTTGTATGTAAAAATCTATATTTAAGGTATTTATCCGCTTAAATCTTAATTTATAAAATAATAAAAGGAAATAATAAATTATAAATATTTATAGTTAAATATATTGAAATTAATTGAATGTAAAAATGCATTTATTTTAAAATCATAAAATACGCAAATTTGAAAATCTATGTCATCCAGTTGGCAACGTTCGGTAATGATTCAAAAATTAAAATTAGAGAAAATACATTTAATATTCAAAACCATTTCAAAACCAACCAATTAATGTAATTAGAACATTCAAATAAAAATAAAAGCCCAATGAATAAAACAAATTATTAATTAGAAATAATTAGATTCTTTCCTAAAAAAAAAAATGTTTGTTGATGTTTATTCATCTCGCTTTAACAGCATGGTTTGTGGCACCATAACTATATTTATACAAAGTGTTAGGAAAATAGGTGCCGACACAGTGTCAGCAAGAAATATGATATTCATTGATATAGGGTGTATAAGTTTTTAGTTGTGTTATTTTTACCAATTTTAACAAAATTTGAAATTTAAAAATAAAAAAATATCAAGAGGCACCTTTTCTTTTAATCTAAACTTTCTACAAAACTATGTTATAAAAAAGTTAAAGTAAAAATTACAAACACGCTGTATTTCAAAAACTAAGCAAAATCGAAAACAATTAAGAATGTTGTTTTTCTGATTATATATTTTACCACCTGTTACGGCTACGGTTCTTATTTATCCAACACCATGTATAGTAAAAAAACTCTTTCACTTTTCAAGGAATTAGGCTGACACCCCCACACCACGAAACAGTCCACGCACCTTCGTCCTAACTAACACAACGAAGTTTAAAAACACATTTTTTCTGTTTCTGGCCATTAGCGAACCGGTACATTGTGTATTTATGGTGTCAAATAATCTGATTAATATTCAAATTAAAAACACTTAAACGCCCAACAATTTAAACACATCGACCGTTTTTAATCACACCTACCTGTATATGTTAAAATGTAAATAAATTTGCGCAAAGACAATACAAGACAAGACCGCGAATACAAATAAAAATAAAATATGCAATTAGGAACATACGTTAAAGTCTTGTTACATGAAACATTCATTGGCATGTAACCAAAGGAAATATTATCCACATAAAAGGAATAAGCACAGAGTGTTTTTTCCGAACTAAATAATAAGAAAAACAAAGCTAAAGAAAGTGAGTACGGTTTCCTGTTTTATGAAGGTTTCCTATGTGAACTCTTTGATGATTCGATTTATAATGCAAACATATAAATTGTAAATTAAAATGCAATATTAATAAACATTAAATTCAAATTAAATCTTACATATTTTGTTTACCAAAGTAATCAACGTTTTCCGTATACATAAAAACAACCCAGAGCATAAACGTGAACATGAAATATGGATACCAGGTCCAAATTAGGTTAGTTCATTAAACGTTTATAAATTATTCTATAGTGACAAAAAAGGGTTAATATAGCTATTGATTTAAGATAAAATATAATTTTTGGGTATACCAAAACTGAAAAGAACATAATATAAAGGTTATTATTTTTTGTAATTATACCTTAGGGGTCGTCCATAAAGAACGTCACGACCTAGGGAGAAAGGGGTCAAGCAAAACAAAACCCTTAAAAAATATCAAAAGCGTGACGTCCTTTATGGACGACCCCTTATTAAAAATACCAAAATCCACCAAAAATTGTGGATTGTGAAAAATACTACGTTTTTATGTCTACTGACTGATGAAATAATGTTGAATATATCATATTTTTCACAATCTATAACATCAATCTATATAATTTTTAGCTTGTTAATATCTAAAATGCCTTAATTAAAAAAGTAAATGTTGAAATATTTATGTACCCATTATTAGTTAAATTATATTTAGACTTAATATATTAAATCTGTTGGTAAGGCATAAGGGAATAAGTCAAAAAGCATTTTCAGTAGAGCCTTTAAACGTATTTTCATTATTTCAGGAAACATATTTAACCGGTTGACGCTATTGCCGACATTTGAAATATTGGATTAGCGTGGACAGGTTGATATAATCTACACTGATATGTTAAAAGCTTTTGGAAACAGTAATTTTATTTTAAAAACTTAATGGTTTTGTTTTCTTCTGAATCATAACTGACTAATCGAAAATGCTACGTAAGTTGTTATGGATTTATTATTTTACTGCCAGCTCTGAAGTACCATAGGGCTCTAATCTAGGCCCAATTTTATTTAATTTGTACATTAATTACTATTAGCATCACTTTCGTGTTTGACTTTGGCTTATACAGATGATATCAAAATTTATAAAAAAAGTTTTATTACCCAAGGATGTTGAGCTGCTACAGCAAGACCTTGATAATTTCCTCATGGTATGCTAAAACTTTTTAAAAACTTTATGAGAAGAAGTGTGCTTTGGTCACTTACCCCTCCTTAAGAAAGTGCCTTTATAGGGCATTTACAATTGTAGCAAGCAAGCTGGATTATGCAAGTTTTTTCTGGTACCCATGCCATCATTTAAATATTTATATAATTTAAAGAAGACTTCTACATAAAATACATTCCTCTTTTAATACATGGAATTTAGTATAGTATTAGGTTAGTATTCTGTTCTGGGTAAATTCAATTTACCCAGAACAGAATACTAACCTGGGCACGTTTTTAACCAAATTAGTTTTAGGTGAAGTTGACTGTGAATATCATCTTTCAAAGATTCAGTTTCATATTCTACGGGCAAACTCAAGAACTTCTGTCTCCTTTCAAATTTAGTGTCCGACCGAATGTCAGTTTTTGGCCGAAGCCGAAGTCGAAGCCGAAGCCGAAGCAGAAGCCGAAGGTCTAATAAGACTTAAAAAAATTGACGACTATAGTTTATAAACTAAAAAAAAATATATAACAATATAAATAGTAAAGTGTTATTGCGTTTAGTATATTGTTAAAATATAAATAGGACATATCCAATAATTGTAACTTAGCTGCGCTGAAGTCCGCCTCATTCGTAAGCCGGCGGCTGGACACAAACCTTCGGCTTCGGCAAAAATCCTTCGGCTGATTTTGGCCGAAGCCGAATGTGCGACCGAATGTGGTTTTTTGGCCGAAGGTGGCCGAAGCCGAAGCCTAAGCCGAAGCTTCGGTCGGACACTATTCAAATTCCCACTGCCAGAACAAACATATTGTCAAACACACCCGTTACAACTAACAGTTGAACTAAGTATTTGCAAAAAGGCTTTATAATAAGGATTTTATATATTATATTAATTTTTACTGTATATAATGTTTTCTTTGTAAATTTGTTCTGTAATTGGAAGAATCCTATTGGGCAATAAAGATTATCATTATTAGGTATTACATTTTGAATTAAATGTATTATGTTTTAGTTAAACTACAGTTTACATTCTAATAAAACATGTAATATAAGGGTTATTACTTTTGACTTGTGTCTTTTATGGTTTGCACGCAATGTCACTGTAGATTTAATACCGTTTCAACTTTATTGAATTGGACGTTCTATTTAAAGAAACCCTAGTAAATCCTATCAATTTGTTTGCAATTCATGTCGTGTCGGCCTTGTCTATCTAATCAAAGAACAGTCGATAATTGTGCCAAATTCTCTACTCAAATTGAATCCCGACAAGATAAGAAACAATATATTTTGTTTGGTAAAATTTATAATTGTAAAATGTGTTAATATAATTTATTTATTATTTATTATTTATTAGATGGTTTAACATAAAAATTAAATAAAAATTGAAGAATTTATATTTCAGTGCCGTAGTTTCCATAACATTGTTCTGAAGATGATATTTGTTTTTGAAATTTAGTTTATTATATTGCTGGTGTCTTGATTCAATAAAGGCTAACTTGATGTTTTTCTATTGCCTACTATTCGCTTTATATTTTTTTTTGTAACGAGACATTTTTAATAGCGTTTTTCTTTAAAACGGCTATTTTTACGAGTAAAATCACCCCCCGAAATAAATTAACGTTATTTCCGGACACCCTGTATATCGAATAGTATTTCCATTAAAACCATCTAATTGCAAGTCTATCGTTTAATTGATTAATCAAAAACAGT